GCACTGACCACCTCTCCGCTTCTTCCAACCAGTCCCAGAGTCGGCAAATAATGCACGACGTGGAATTCTCTGGGACGACATTCGGAGAACATGTCCAAGCCACCGAAGTCGGTGTTTCAAGATGGTGACACCAATTGAGTTATCATCTCTGTGCCCGAACACACGATGCCGAACCTCTGCATTACTGACATGGTGTTGCCACTGAATGTCAGCAATCCTTCGGAGACAGCGATGATCGAACACAGAGAGTCGTCTAACGTCCTCAACTCGGAGAGGCCAGGTTTCACAAGCATAGAGCAAAACTGCTCTCACCGACGCGTTGTAGATCCGACCTTTTACAGCCAGACTAACATCACGAAGGCGCCAAAGGTGGCCCAGATTGGCATAAGCCGCTCTGGCTTTCACTATTCGTGCATTGATCTCATCACTCACACCCCCACCAGCACTTATGCAGCTACCCAGATACACGAACTTCTCAACTACGTCTATCTGCTCACCGTCCAGGGTGAGTACAGGATTAGAATCCTGCCAGTCTTGTAGAAGTACTTTGCACTTCGAAGGTGCAAAGCACATACCATACCTACGGACACTGATTGCCAACTGATTAAGTGCGGATTGCATGCCTTGGGCATTATCGCACAGTAAGACAATATCGTCCGCATACTCAAGGTCGAGAAGTCTTTCTCCAGGCAACAGATCCACACCACCATTACTTACATTCATCAGAGCTGTTTCCAGAATGTCATCGATGGCAAAGTTGAAGAGGAATGGTGAGATTGGGCAACCCTGCCTAACCCCACTGCTCGAATGGAACAATGGAGAGAGGTGGTTGTATGCCCTCACTCTGCCTGAGGTGTTTTTATACAGGGCTTTTAGGATGTTAATAAACTTCTCAGGCACACCCTTCTTCAATAGACAATCCCAGAGAACAGTCCTGTCCAACGAATCGAAGGCAGCCCTGATGTCAAGAAACACTACGATTGTTGGCCTTTGAAAAGTATGGCGGTGTTCTAACATTTGGCGGAGGGTGAAGATATGATCAATACATCCTCGACCAGAACGAAACCCAGCCTGCTCCTCGCGAGTCAATCTTTCTCGGGTTTTGAACAACCTACGAAGAATGACGGAAGCCAATAGCTTGGACGCAATCGGAAGTAAACTTATCCCCCGATAGTTGTTACAAGAACGACGTGAACCCTTTTTAAAGATAGGGACAACTATCGACTCATTCCATGACGTTGGTACACTCTCTAGTTCCCAAACCTTTGTAAACAACGTCGTCAATTCCTTAGTCAAAAAGTCACCACCATCTTTAAAAAGAGCCGGAGGTAAGTCATCTGGGCCAGGTGATTTGTAACGCTTCAAGAGTTGGAGTTCCTTGCGGACTTCCTCCTCATTTGGTGGATCAGTCGTCACCGGCCATGGAGGGCAGGACAGTCTGACCGATGTTGCCGGAGCAGCAGGCCAGTTGAACTGCCCTTCGAAAAATTCTGCCCATCGTCCAAGACGTCGATGGATGTTAGTGATTGGCATCCCATCATCCTCGCAGATTGTTTCACTCACACCAGACTTCTTGCTGCCAGTGGCTCGGATGAGCTGGAAGAGCTTCCGGTAGTTACCAGATGCAGCTGCTGCTTCCAGCTCATTAGCACGCATCGACCACCAGGCTTCTCGGTCCTTACGCAAGCTTTGCCCAATTTCCTTACGTAACATCCTTCGTTTATGGTCAAACTCACGGTCACCCGGAGTAGACCGACGGGCTTCAATGAGTTGTAAGGAACCAGAAGAAACCCAGTGCTTAAAGCGGGACGTTTCGCAAACCCACAACTGACTGTTCCCGCCATTTTCATGGCGTCATGCAATTGCAACCAATGCTCATCTATACTTTTCGGTGGAGTGGTAGCTAGCCTAGAGGCTAGCTCGGTTCGATACTTACTTGCAACAGAAGTTGCAACCAGCTTGCTAACATCAATCCGTTGATGGCGTTCACTTCGTTGTCCACTGAAAAGTAAGGCAAGATTGGCGCAGACCAAGGCATGGTCAGAGTCCAGATAGGTACTCCAAAAGGAGCGGCAGTCTTGTACACAACCACGCCAGCGGTAGCTGATCGCGATGTGATCAATCTGAGTCCAGGCTTGAGATGCAGAGGGAGGACGCCAGGTGGCACATCGGCGATGACTGTGCCGAAAGTTAGTGCTAGCCAGAAACAGGTTGTGGTCTGTGCAAAGTTGCAGTAGACGGTCCCCGTTATCTGACCTGCGACCAACGAGTCCCCATCGGCCACCTAAACGACTCTCTTCTGTGCCTAGACGCCCGACCTGAGCATTCAAGTCTCCGGCTAGTACTACAATATCTGTCGAACGCACTTTCTGGAGAAGAACTGATAACTGGTGGTAAAACTCATCCTTGATTGCATCCGGGCTGCAATCTGTCGGGGCATAGGCGGAGATGACGAAAAGACATCGTTTCTCACGCCGATTTCTTCTCACTTTGATGGAACTTTCTAATCTAACAGCACATAACCGACTGTTAATGGGGATCCAATCGACTAGTGCTGCCTCAGCTCTAGCGCTTAGTGCGACACCAACGCCAGCAAGACCAGACGAAGATGCCACAGGGTCCCCGGATAAGCGCACGTAAAACAAGCTTTTCGAAGCGACAGATGGAGATCGAATTTGTAGTACTTCGCCAGAGTCTTGAATACGGGTCTCGGATAGACAACACACGTCGATATTAAGACTTTCCAAAGACATAGCCAGCCCTATCTGTTGTCCGACCTGCATAAATGTGCGAACGTTGAAGGCAGCCAGTTTGAATGGTGCACGTGGTTTCAGAAAATCTGCTTCAGTCCTCGTATTCGGTGGTAACATACAATTTTCAACCGGACAGTGACTCGAGAACGTTTAGATACAGTCGGATTTCCACCAAAGACGAGCCGCTGTATAAGTATAAAAGAGGGTGAATAATGTGGAAAATAATAATAATAATGATAATAATAACAATAATGACAATAATAGTAGTAATAATAATATTAGTATTAATAATGACAATAATTGTAATGATAATAATCTGAATCAATTGTTTGTTTTTCAAAGCGAGAAAGGTAATTTCCATAGGCATAAAGAGTTCATCATTTGTGTGTGGGCTGTGATACTGCCCGGGTGCCCAAACCGAAGCAGGTGGTTATCTTAGGGGGCCACTCCCCGAGCCTTTGACCTAAAGGTCTAACCCACAAGGCAGTGGAGCATCGTAAGGAGATGCAGTCCCATGGTAGCCGGTGACCAACGATTGGTTCATACGCCATTCGTTCCCGCAGGATACTGGAGCCCATGTGCACCATTGATTTGGAATCCGGTTAAAGCGCCGGACATTCGCTTTTCGTCCTCTCATTTTCGTAGACAACACCCCCGCCACGAGAAGGCAATGAGTAGGACTTCCCTGGCAGAGGCTGTATACGCGTGGCCGTGTGAGAGTATTTCGAGAGGGAGAGCGGACTCTCCCCACTCTCGGCCGTACCAGGGCATTCAGGGGGGCAAGAACACTTCTGACCATGCAATATTAGTGAGACCTGTGCTAACCATCCAGTTGAAGTGTTTAATTTCAGGAAAATATGACGAAAAAGAGTAGGATATGCGTGTGCTATTGCAAATAAAAAAGTAGTTGAAAAAGAAAATTTTGATTAATCTCATAGTTTACTTTGTTTCAATAATGTCAGTTCATCTGTTTATTGTATAGACTACATATATTATCAAAAAGAGAATCTGGTATTCTATCTAATCATACAGGACATAGAGATTACCGGTGAACTTTTCTCTTGAAAATACCACTCAAAAACAGCTTTCCAATATAAACTTATCACCAAATTACTAAGTACGTGAAAAAATGTATTAACCTAGTATGTTCACACATGTTTACAAACCTAATGAAAATACAATTTATAGGGGTTGGTATTTTGGTACGTTTAGTTCTATAGACATAATTCATCATAGAGATTTTCGCAAAAGTGTGTTACTTTTCAACAAAGAATCGTTCACTTTCCCCAATTACTAAAATATATCGATATATCCAAATTTCTGAATAGTTTATCCATGTAAATAAATACAAAGTCAAGAAAACCAGAAATGATAATTGATTTATCTGGCTACTAAGTAGAATGTTACTTGTTTTAGATAAATGCTGAATATGTTTAAATTACTATTTACAATGGATTGTATTTAGTACAGTATGTAGTAAATAATATTGTACTACTAGTATTTAATATAATAATTAGTAATGCAAAACTGATTATCTTATTACTACAATCTCCATAAAACCCTTTCTGATACTAATTTTAAATGCTGTCCTAAGTAATCACATACAACTGTACGGTTCTGAAGAGCCGAGGGAACGGGACGAAGCAGTGATTAGCTTTTACAAAACTGTTGGTGTACGTTTACGCAGTAAAGACGTTTAAAACTACTGCGTTATCAGCGATTTGATTAGGCTTATAGTCTACAGATAGTGACTAAAGTTAGAATTGTTCAGTTATAGTTCCCTGAAGAGAAGCTTAGCAACATCGTTATGGGGACTATTTATTTTCGGTGAAGTTGAATCCAGAGTGGTGTGTGAGATGTATGTTCCTGTCCTCATAAAGCGCAATGCCTTAACGCTTTTTCTAAAATATCTAACCAACCGCAATAAAATAATTATGGTTTCATTTGACTTTCATCATGGGTTTGTTAAATGCTTCCCTGAACGCTAACCAGTTACTAAAGTCGAAAATGTGGCACTATTTCTTCTAGTCAGCTAATATATGATGAGGAATACCTTTGACTTATTGTGTCATCTATTGTGGTATACTGAGGTTTTAACTGTAGAGATAACGATAATCTAATCTTCAGTGGCTAACGCAGTTGAAAATCGTGTATCCCGTTCCTGAGAAACAAAACTGTTGCAAACATTTACTACTGATTTATAAACTGCGGACTGATAATTTTACAGTAGTTGACTTTCTATTACAGACAAGAATTAACCACAGCAGAATGCGAATTCATCAATTGGAGAACATCAATAAGGCACTTGATTTTCTTTATGAAGAAGGAGCACATCTTGAAAATATCGGTGCACAAGATATTGTCGATGGTAACCCAAGAATTACATTAGGTCTAATATGGACAATTATATTACATTACCAGGCAAGTCAATTTTGAAAGACTGTATGTTTATGTTGTAATGAAATGTTGAATTGCATTCCACCATCTTAGATGATTTTCGTGTTGTCAGTGAGGAGAATTATCAGCAAATCTGATAAGATGACTTTTTTATGAGTATAATTTACTTACATATCTGCCTGATATGTTGGGCAGGAGGAACAAAGCTGAGGGGTCAGGTCTTATTCCATTGCCAAGTGAGTGGTCGATTAACTGATATCTATCAAATGTTTATGACACTTAAGTGCGTAAATTTTCGCTTCTGAAATCCATGTAGAAGTATGTAACTGCCAACAAGAAAAAGTAATGTTGCTAGCTAAATTTGTTGTCTTATGGATGTTCTATCCTGGGTTTTTGTTACTTTTTAAATCACATGAGTAGTTATCACTTAGTCACTTGATACAATTAAATATTGTCTATATTTATCTACTATATAATTCAAAATATATCCATCATCATCTTGGACATTGATGTTCTTGAAAGATTTTGGCACACCAATGATCAGGTGAGTTATGGGATAGTGGACTGCTAAAATTACAATGCCGTTTTATGTACATGTTTTGGCTCCTATTGCATTACCTTGAAATGTGAAATTTGAGGAACAGAAAAATGAAAACTGATTCCTGTTAATCGACCTCAACAGATGTAAAACAGAATTACAGGGTAAAGAAATCTTTACATTGACTATTTTCTGAAATCAGTTTGTAGTGACTTACTTTTATCACGAGAACTGTAATGGTTTAATGAAACATATATTATTATATTATAACCACTTTTACTTGTGCGTGTTTTAATGGCTTTTGTTTAACTGTGCTAATGACAGACATTTGTGCTTCCATTACTCTCCATTACTGTTTCACGGTTCGTGACCTCCTTCGCATGTACTTTCTCCTTCCCACTCCGCTTGTACCTTTTCTTGGCACGACCTCGATATTCGTTCGGTACCGCGAGATCGCCAACGAAATAACTTGGTTCTAATTATTTGCACATGTTTCTTGTAGTGGTGTCATAGTCAACTGGGACTCGACACCAGCTACAAGTTAAACGAATAAATATTTTTATTTTTTGGGGAACAAAGAAGGAGTCTACACATCTAGTAAGAGAATATCTGCAAATGCACAATGATTGAACGACAACTGTTCACATTGCGGTGCGTGTTCTTCATCAAAGCTTTTAGATTACCTAAAGAGATATGAATTTAAACAGCATTATGATGTAACCAATTAGGATTTTACACTAAGTTTGAAGCGAAAGAACACTATCATTTAAATTATTTCTAAGTTGCAATATCTCAAATCTTATTTCGAGGATTGAAATATCTGAACAATATACAGATAATTTATAGTCCTGGCAGTAACATCTGAACAGCGAATTCCTCATGATAGCTTAGTTGTCTTTGTAAGTTAAGTTGAATAATAACCAAGAAAAGAACAATTATCGTCGAATGTCATATTTCCTACTGATGTCAAACGACTACTATTATTGTAGTTTTTATGTTGAGTTTATTTGAAATAGTACCGCGGTTCAAAAATGAAAAGTAAGAGATATAATTATCTGCAGCTGGTATTTATTTGGCACGTTTACATATTCACACATAAAATTATTCATCTTATAAACAAAGATGGATAGTGGCTAGTAGTGGAATCCAGGACGCGTGTTTTGTCCTATTTGGGACATCCATCTGACAAGTCCCAAATAAGACGAAACACCCGTCCTTGATTCCACTTCTAGCCGCTGTCCATCTTTGCTAATACTGCTTGCGAATCAAGGCAATACACATAGTATGCACAAATGCTAATAACAGACTGATCAATTGCAGTACTATTCACCAATGGGAAGATTCAAGTAAACAATACCAAGTGAATTTATTCAACTTATAGTTAAAAATAAGTGTGATAAGATTCATGAAAAAAACTATAAGCGAAAGTTTATGTAGTACACCACATTCAATAATCTACTTCTTCATTTTTTTATCTATCTCATGTAATCTATAATTATTATGAATAACTTTCATTCTGTGATTTATTATAATCTGTTTTAGGTTCAGGATATCGTTGTCAAAGAATCAGATGAAACTGGTGAAGTTAGACATGCAAGAGATGCTTTACTTCTTTGGTGCCAGCTTAAAACAGCTGGATATCCTCAAGTAATAAACATTGAGTATTATTGTAATCATCAATTAATTCATAAATATAATCAAAGTATTTTTATAACTAAAGTCTAATTACAAAATGATGTGTGTTACAAATAACTTGTACTCATTTTAATTAGGTACTTCTTTTCCATTCAAATCATGCACAAATGAGTTTTCATAATTGATTGATCACTGAGTGGCGATCAATGTCATGCGTGTCTAGTCCTTATTATTAATGCAGATCGAATGCTATCGATCATGTTGCAATGTGGCCACCAGTCTAGGTTACTCGACACTGCGGGCACTATATATTGAGATTAGATGGTGGTTGGAGGTAGTCGACAGGAAACCCTGGACCCGGGTTTCGTGCTACTTAGCACTCGTCAGCAAGGTGTACCTGTAATCTTGAGGGAACTGGTGCTCTCTGGCGGATTCGATCTCGTGTCACCCAGCTTCACAGTCAAAGACGTTACCACTGAGCTATCCGGGCCTGAGACCGACCTCCTGTAGGACTGAGATGTAATCACAATTGATTGATCACTGGGTGGCGATCAATGTCATGTGTGTCAAGTCCTTATTTTGTTTTAGTGGATGGTGTTATGATGGAACGAAAATTATCAAAATATTGAATCATATTGAAAAATAATTATTTTATAATCTAGGATAATTTCAGTGTTCTGTCTTTGAACTGCACTACCAGTTACTCATTATCAGAACAAGCTGACTGGAAAAATTCACTAGGTATCTTGAGTAATGTTTGAATGATCACATCAATCAGTATCACACGTCATTACAAAATTACTTGTTGTTCCTTTTAGTGAGGTGAAGAAGAATGTTCTGGCATAAAAGCCATAGATAAATTGTAACAATATATGAAGTTATTGGTTTTGAAGGCTGACAGTTATTAGAATTTATCACCTTGCTGAAAAAATGATCCGTGTAGAATTCAGATATCCCATATAGTGAACTAAAGATATCTTCCTTTACCACTCAGTGAAACAGCAACTGTTTTTTCTTCCCATGTTGGTGTTCGTATAGCCAGAATTGAATACGTCAGTATAATATATTCCTTCTGAACTACATTTTGTACACTTATTTCGCGATGTTTGTTCTCGTTAATTCAACTTTTTTATAATTTTGTTAATGTTCTCTTATTGTGTTGTTGTTTAGTATGAGAACAGGAAATGAAACATATCCGTATCGTTATTTTTATTGTCCATTATTGAATAAAAGTTACTCTTGGATTTAAAGCTTACAAAAGGAACTCAATTTCGCACATATGAATATCATAAGCTTGACTAACAATACTGCTCCATCAAGTCATATTGTGGGACAATATTTCTATAAAACTACTTGCGAGCTACGTAAAATAACGCACATGAATCTCAAATGTTTTCAAGTTTTAACTGACCTGTGTTAGCTCTGATGATGAGGATTCCAAATTAATCCTTCCATTTTCAAAATATGGCTAAAGAAGTTATTACTTATTGTAACAAAGAGTACCACTCTTTGAAGAGTTTAGGAAAAGTCAGCTGGACGTTGTAGGTTTAGTGCACATGAATATTTTTTATGTGCCGGAGCAAGCTAATCTTCCCAATATGACAGGAAATAAAACTGACATCTAAAATATAATATCGTTAATAATTGATTCGAAGATTATGGTTGGTAACTTTCACTTCTCTGTACGGTTAGAGGAATAGATTTTATTTAATTAATCGATGCTCATATAAGAACTTAGATACTTTAGGGCTTACTGTAGTGACAGTTCTTTGAAATTTAGTCAGCCGTTAACTATAATTTTGTAAACAAGATGTAGCTACTTATTTACAGTATTCCACTTCTGAGTTAACATATCCTGTCCAGTATCAAAAACTATTAAGGATTTAGTTAATTTAATGTTCCGCCTCTTTTACCAGATGTCCTAAAACCTTCGTCAGCTACCGCTTGGTAGAGTAGTTCGATTCACGGGTCTTGGCTGTTGTTATTAGAATTGAAAATGTTCAAGGTTCCAGGCTTGTATTGTTCAAAGAGGGTGTATTTATCTTATTTTTAGTATTGTTTACAGTCTTTTGTATATGTATTTGTAATATAGTTAAAAAGTAATTAATTCCTCAATTTTTAAAGGTTGAGGTTGTTGATTTTACAAAAAGTTGGCGAGACAGTTTAGCATTTGCAGCTTTACTACATCGACATTATCCAGATTTGATTGATTATGAACGAATACGTCATATTGATAGTTTACAAGTACGACTAGAAATTATCTTTCAACGAGCATATCTACATTTAGGCATACCAATACTAATCGAATCAAAAGATTTTACTCAAACATGTTGGCTAGAAGAACGTTGTGTAATGACTGTTGTTGCGACTTGGTATCGTTATTTAACCAGTTCACATAATACAAAATTATCATCGGAACGTGTTAGTAAAGTGATTCAACACAGCTTAATTATAAGTCACAAAATATTTGATTACATCAAACAAGCAAAACGATGGCTTAAATGGTCCAATGTAAAAATTAAGCAGATTAACCAGTTGCTAATTAAGCTACAAGAATCGAATCAAATTAGAAATGAATTGGATGTAAAGCAAGAATTACAGAATTTAATGATTTGGCGCCGAAAGGAAAAAGCAGAAAAAATGTCTGAACTAGTCCAATTAGAAGTGAGTGCACTGTTTGTTTTGAACTTAAATATAAGTTTTTAATTCAGCACTTAAGGCTTAAAAAACATTATCTGACCTTGTTGTTTAATAAGTACAAACAAGCTTTGTTTACTTCATATATAGACTTCATTTACAAGGTGCAAAACGTTGAATATTATTCCCCTATTTAAGAGTTGTTATTGTCTACTATTGGTTCAAAAGAGATTACTTGGTATTTTATGTACCCAGTTAATACCCGTTTGTCTATTGTAATTGGATACTCAAACGAAGACCCAGTTAACTATTTTCAGTAAGAACCTTTTTTTAACATTTAAAACCCTATGAAGTTCCGCCACTTTATGAAACTAAACTGTTTATGAAAGATTATAAATGGAATACTAGATAAAGGAAGCCAATTTACTAACTTGTATGATTCATCACCATATCTTATTAAAAGTACGATCTGCCTATGAATAACATTGGAATTTGTTGACAAAGCAAAAATGATAATAGAAACAGACGAATACGAATTCTCTTCATTTGATTAAATGTGAGAAAACATTCAGGTTCTTTGGCCTGTAAGTCTTAAGTTTGATCTTTTATAAAGGCTCATATTAGGATGAGAAAGTTCCATAGGGCTTCTTTGTTTTATATAGTTGTCTATCTCCGTACAGTCCCTCTTGTAAACTATTTCCCACCAAATCATGCATAGTAACAAATCAAATTACATTCATCATATTAGAATTGAATTTTTAACCTTTAAAAGAAAAGTTCACACTTAGATTGATAACAAAAGACGTGGTTTTTATAATTAAATCAACACTGATATAAGAGTCATTCGAATTCAGGTAGCTACTTTTATTCTCTTCGTGTCTCAATCTGAATATGACAGTTTAACAAGAAGTTCTAAAGGAAACATTTACATGCAGACACATACATTGCCATGGTTGGAATTAGAACAACGCGTTTACGTGAATAATAGTGTATTCAATAAAATTTCCATCAGGCTTGGTTCTCACATGCAGTGATATTTGTATGCATACATGTGTTAGCGAGTGCCACCCTTCTTAGTTTTGCAAGAAAGAAGAATAAATCAATTTATATCTTCGTTTCATCATATTCTGTTAATGGTAGTCGTGCATCGAATGGAGCAAAAGCATTCAGAGTAATGTATCAAAACGCTCCAATTTTCACGAAGCTTGATGTTATTGCCTATTCATAGTAAAATATATGGTGAATTGATGTCTACAACTTTAGTCTTTGCATTCAAAAACAATCTGTGGTACCCCTGTCTCCTCCATGACACGATAAGACATAATAGATGAATTAACCTTGTTTTGGATTTTTTGCCATGATGTTCATTTCTCCTCACTCATTATGTTTAGTCTGACTAATTATCCTCGTACTTCTTGTTACGCAATTTTTGATGATGATTATTTTATTAGGTTTATTTACACAAGTTTTGATCTACTTCCGAAGTTATTAGAACTGTTATTATTCGTATCGTTGTTAGCATACCTTTCATCTTCCTATCAATGCGTATTTATTGCTTATAACAGTCAGTTACATAGTTCACTTCATTCATACTATTAGCTCACAACCTATCTTGTTTAGTTCAATGTTTATCTTGTCTGCATATGGATATTACTGTATATTAGAGTAAAACCCGATGAAAATCTAATTGAAACAGTATTGTTCACTAATATATGTTCTGACTTAAAATTAACATTAAGAATATTTTACAATCTTTTTAAAAAAAAACTTCAATAGACCCTGTTAACTGAAATTCACACTAGTCAGTTGGCTGAATCACATCGATTATTCAAACCGCCAAATGGTTTCAGCCTCAATGACTTAGAAGAATCTTGGAAATGTTTAATCACAGTTGAACATAATTGTCATTTGGCTATTGTAGACGAATTAATTCGCCGAGTAAGTTCAACGTAAATTCATGGTCATATTCAAAGGTAATTTTTACTTTGTATCACCAAGTTTCTGTCATTTAATTTGTATTAATCAAGGAGATTTTGTGGGTCATCGAATGAATATGCTGTAAACCATTCATTACGTATCGAATATCAAGTTTCAAAATAGCAATGAATAAGCCAACAACTGTACTGTAATATACCCAATCCGTTAAGCTACCAGGTTATAAAAAATGTTCATAAAACAATCACTAAAATGTGGTTTATTAGTAACTGTACAAATACTGTGTAAGCGCTTCCAGACATGTACAGAGTTTTTCAATTTATCAGTTGTTTTGAGGGGGGGGGAATGAAGTCTTAGTGATTGAGCTATTCGGCTTGTAGACATTAAGCACACTGCAATAGTACCGGAGTTGTACAGCAGCTTATTAAAATGAGAGATGATTAGTGTATGTTACAGTATAATATATGCTGATGAACATCTAATCATTTGGCTACATAGCTTCTCAAATGATGTATTAGGTTCTCAGTAACATATTTAATACTAATCATGAAATTCAGTTATCGTGTTGACTGTCGCTGTTGGCATTTAGATAGTCCTATATTGTTCTACAAAATTTATTTTTAAAGCTTCTAGAGAAAGTAAATCAAATAATTTCTGAAATCTAATTTGGATCGAGTTATATAACCAGGTAGAACCACTTGGTATTTCACTTTTTCATTTCAAAAAGTAACTTGTTTCTAAAACACATTGGTCAATCACAGTATTAACACCTTTGGTTAGTCTGAAACTATTTTGGATAGTATTACCGGAGCTTATATCAGCTAACTACATGGTGTTTTTAACCAGATTTTGAATAACAATGACCATGAATTCAAAGCGAATTCATGAACATTAATGCATCGTTTAGATGAAGTTTTCATTGGATAATGGCATTTCCATGATGACATTTATGATAATAGGAACCAAAGACAATCTCATTATTGGACAATAAAAGCGTTAAGTAGCCCTATCATACTGTTAGAATCAAAGAACGTTTATATCTTGTAATTTAAAGCTTGATAACAACTGGTATTGTATATACTTGCTAAACTTTTGTCACATAAAAAGGTCAAGTATTAATAATCACATATCTTCACTTACAAACCAATCAAAATATATTGACTACGCCAAAATCCAAATCTGGAAACGAGATTGTTTAATGAAGGTCTTACTGAAATTCATGTCCACTTCTATCGATATCTCAAGATAAATAATTTCTTTGGTTTTAAGTCGTACTTGAACTGACATTATTACGATAACGAAGATCCCGAACAAGCAAAACTAGCCTAAAGCGAAATTTCTAGGTTAAAATAATACGGTATCGCAACAAACAGTTTCTTTCAGAAACATATACACTACTTTCTTGAATATTCCCAGTAGAATGTAGTCCATAATAGAGATGAACGTGTCCCAACTGGAACAGTGAGCTCGTCTTGGACTCCACTACTATTTATATTTCACTTATTCTATAAATTTATGACATACTCTTGTATTAGAGATCTCTTGATTGAAAGTAGCTAAAAATGCTTGTGACTCGATGGGAATATCGTGACAATCTGCATAGGATACACATATGCCTATAAGTGACTGATAGATTGTGATCCTAAATAACCAATAACAGTTTTATTCATAATCGTTTAACAACTTCCAATGTTTGTTGTTTTCTAATTCCAGGAAAATGTAAGTCTATTAGGCATAAAATATGAACGTAAAATTGAATTATGCTTGAATTGGTTACAAGAGAATATAAAAATTATTAATTTAGCATCACAAACTGATGATATGAAATTATTAGAACAAATGAATTTATTTGAAGTATATTTGATTCATCATTTAACTACTACTCATGAACAATCACAGGAATTTCAGCAGGAATTTCCACTTCATCATTTAATCAATTCTCGTCATCAAATTACATCATCTCAACAGAAACATTCCGCTTTCATGAATGATATAGAAATTTATATCCAATTAAAATTACATAAATTAAATGAATTATTACAATTGTTAACAGTATCATCTATGCCTCAATTACAATGGGATAAATATCAAAAACAATGGGATCATTTATTAATGACTAATCATCTATTACAAATCAAATTATGTAATCGTGCAAATGATTTAAAATTATGTCAAGAATGGTTAGATTATTTATTACAATTCAATGATCAATTAGAAATAATTAATAATCAATTAAAACAATTAAATCAATTTATCAAAGAAAATAAAACCAATTCAGTTGATACATATTTAGATCAATTACAAATAGATATCAATCAACTCGTTATATGGATTGAATCTGTAAAAACTTTATTGTATAGAATAGATCATTCTGAAGAGAAAGATCTTGATAATGATGATCATAATAATCATCAATCAAGATCATACTTACAAATCAATATTATGCATAGTTTAGAATCTATTCAACGGTATCATTTATATCTTGAAAAGATTTTATTAGATATAAGTCAATGGAATACAACAATAAAAAATGTATATCGTTTATTAAATGAAATGAATGAAGAATTATTATGGATAAAAGTTAGTTGATTGTTGTTGAAATGATGATGATAATGAACTTTTATTCATTCATGTATATAACACAATGATATGAACAAAGAATATTCTTTTCAATGAATTTCTTATCAGCTACTACAATTACTACTTACTTAGCTGTTACTCCTCGTGAAGAGCATGGCCGTCACAGCATTCTCCAACCCGTCCAATCCTTTCCACTCTTCCAGTTGTATTGTCTTTCATATTCTTCATCGAGAATGTGTTCTTACTTCCTCTTTTCCGCTCTTCAGATTCCAATAGCTTGCTCGTGATGCAGTTGAGATTTGCGTAATTATGTCCTATCATTTCATCGTCTTTCTATTTCTTTTAGCTGAAGTGGTTTGTCTCTCCAAAACTGTTCTTGGTATCCGCCATGGATGTTGAGTATTTAGACAAATTTATAAATACTTGTACTCTTGATGTGGTTTGTAGTTCTCAAGTTTCAGCCCTACAGTAGAACTGCCTTGACGTTGGTTTGAAGATTCTCACTTTGATATTGGTTGAAAGTTTTTGAGTTCCATATGTTCTTCAATTGTAAATGCCTTGCTTTGCCATCCTCCCTTTACGTCTGCATCTGAACCTCCTTGTTCATCAGATGCTTCCCAGGTATGTGAAGATCCCACATCTTCCAGAGTTTCCATCAATGATTGGATTGCTTTCTCGTTTGAATTTGAGGACCTTGGTTTTCCCCTTGAGCCTACTGATGCAGAGCTGTGCTACACTGGCTTCTTATCTGCATTTGTTCAGTGTATGTGAAGGAGGCTAGGTCATCTCGAAGTCCAAATCGTCTAATTGATTCTTAAATCCAAACTCAATAATCCATAAAATTTGCCAGATTTAAGGTAGAGTACATCATTTGGAAATTGTTTATATGTGAATCGAGAATATAAAATCAAATTAGTCGCTCCTTTGACTTTGGCCAACTTTAGGGCTAACTAGTTAATAATCAATTTCATAATATGATGACGTCATTTGATTAATGTTCATTTTTATGTCCCAAACTTATCTTACTATTATTACTGTTACTATTATTATCTATTATTACACTTGATAAAGTTTCTGAGGAATTCATTCAGTATCCACCCCTAAATCTACTATATCTGACCTAACTCATTATATTCTACAGATGACGTAATTTCTGATTTGCAATTACACTATTCTCTCTCTCTCACCCCATGTTGACCATATTTATCCTGATCATTATTTATCTCAGAATTTCATTTCACTTAGAAACTGATTCAAGTGAACAACTTCAATAGTTATTAGTTAACCCCAATGTTAACGATTTGATTTGATTTGATATGGCAAACAACAATCTTTAATTCACATATAAACAATTTTAAATAAAGTACTCTACCTTAAATCTGCCAAATTTTATGGATTATTAATTTGGATTTATAATTGTAGAAGCTGATAAGAAATTCATTGAAAAGAATATACTTCGTTCATATCATTGTGTTTTAATATAATGGGAATTTTTCAGCTAAATATATATAGAACTTATTTAGTTAAATGTACAGTTTTTGATGGGTCAGGTGATACCGTACTTCGTTAACTTAAGTCATTCACTCAGCTATAACGTAGGACCAGGCACATATATGCATCGGTCCAAGTTGCCATACCTCATTAGCACAAGATGAACATCGAATACATAGTAGTTAACTCAATGGTTGTAATATATAAAGAAAGATTGCAATAAGGAAATAGTACACGAAGAAAGATATGAAATAATTTTATTCTCTTAGTTTAAGGGAAGACAGAGAGTGCATACACCTACGCCATTCTGATTGATTCGATGCCTTGTCACCCAGAGTCTCCAAACATTGGTTACGATAGTCACGAGGACCCCAACCACGTAGTTCGCATCTACCAACATGGCTCGTACCAGAAGTCAGTGGCTTCAAGCACTGATGTCACGTTTTGGTTTGGCCACCCCTAACTTTCTTCTAACCATCTGCAACATTGGTTAGCATTGCGCGTCGTGGTAATCAGTGTTCAGGCATACGTAACACATGGTCCAACCATCTCAGTCGATGAAGATTCACAACCTCATCAACTGGTTTACCATCATTCCCTAATACCGTGCGTCTAACCTCACTCTTACTTACTCGATGGTCCCAGCAGATGCCAGCAATATTTCTAAGGCATCTATGGTCACATACTAGTAGCTTCTGAATATATTCAACTCTTAATGGACACGTTTCGCAGACGTAAAGTAAAACGGAATAAACTGCCGCGCAGTATACTCGTCCTTTTATTGATAGACGAATATCTGGTCTTCGCCATAGGTAACGTAAGTTGGCAAAAGCCAAACGAACTTTTCGAATCCGTGCTGAGATTTTGTCAGACATTGACCCATTAAGGCCGATCAGAATTCCAAGATAAGTGAAGTTGTTAACGCGTTCGACTACTTCACTTCCTATCCTTAGATCAGGTGTTGACACAGACCAATCCGAGAGCAAAGACTTGCATTTAGAGGGGAGAAGCGCATCCCAAACATTCTGGCATTGCTGCTCAGTGCTATCAAAAGACACTACATTTTATCGGTGTCTTCACCAAACAGGACTATATCATCTGGGTATTCTAAGTCGATAAGTGGAGATCAGTACCCGAGAATTCAGTCGACGTGAACAATATTTCCATCAGTAGGTCTCTGGTGAAGTCAAACAAAAGTGGAGAAAGTGGACTACCTTGACGTACACCACTTGAGGTTGCAAAAGCAGCTGACAGTTCGCCATAAGCTCTGACTCGACTGGTAGTGTTCGAGTAAAGAGCCTTCACAAGGTTGACGTACTTCTGGGGTACACCTTTCAATGACAGACACTGCCACAGAATCTCGCGGTCTACGGAGTAAAATGCTGCTTTTAAGTCAAGAAAGACCACCATTGTCGAACGTCGATAAGTATGCTTATGTTCTATAACCTGACGAATGGTGAATATGTGGTCGATGCAGCGACAACCAGGTCTGAAGCCAGCTTGATTCTCTCGTGTTTGCAGTTCACGAGTCTTAGTTAGGTGTCTGATAATTATCGAGGCTAGTATTTTAGATACTATATTAGTTAAACTAATTCCTCTATGGTTGTCACAGGGTGATTCTAACCCTCTCTTATATATTGGGACGATAAGTGATTGTGACCAGTTAGATGGGATAACGTCTGACTCCCAGATCTTAGCTAAAATATTAGTCAACCTAATCGCTAAAATTGGACCACCATCCTTAAAGACCTCTGGAGCCACTCCATCTGGACCAGCTGCCCTTCCTCGTTTCAGATTAGCTATAGCCTTTTGAACTTCAGCTAGAGTTGGGGGACCTACTTCAATGTTCCATTCACGCTGTCTGGGAATGGAGGGTAGTTGTAGAGTAGCTGAAGGCCAGTTGAACTGCTCCTTAAAGTGTTCCGCCCATCGTTCTAAACGTCTGAACTGGGAGCAGATGAGAGTGTAGTCTTTTTCCGAGATCGTTTCACTGCAGTTCCTTTTACTAGTCTGAAGAGGTCTTGTGTTACCTACAGCCAGCACCTTTTCCATCTCTTTTGCTTCCGTTGCCCACCACTGCTCACGGTCGTTTCTTAGACTTTCGATTAACCTAGATGTGATTTGCTTTCGCTCTTCATCGTGTTCGGAGCCTGATGAGATGATTTTAAGAGAATCCTTTAGTGCAACTGACTTGATAGAAATCCACTGGCTTTTCGTGACCTGTTGGTTTAAACCACTAATCGATGTCACTGTTGCTTCCACAGCTGTTTGTATATCTTTACAAGCAACATCTGGGTCAGCCTCGTTTTCAGAACTAAGTGTGATATCAGTTGTTCCTGGAATCTACTTTTGGCTTTCTCGTCACTGAGTTCAATTCTAATGGGTCTTCTTGGTGTGGTTTTTCTGCGTCCACTGAGACACAAGCAAATTTGTGCTCGTATTAGAGCATGATCACAGTCTGAACATGTATTCCGGAACGAGCAACAGTCTTCTATCGAGCCTCTCCAACGATGACTGATAGCAATATGGTCTATTTGAATCCAACGTTGGTTTGGTGCAGGGGGTCACCATGTCAGACGATGTCTCTCCTTAAAATTAGTGTTTACTAAATATAAACGATTGTCTGAGCACAGTTGCAGCAGACAATCACCATTATCTGCTCGCTGAACCGAAATACCGAATTGCCCACCTAAATGTCTTTTCGTTAGGTTTAAGCTAACTACTTGGGCATTAAAGTCACCTGCTATGAATACTATGTCTGAACGTTTAGCTTTCTAAAGAAGTTCAGAAAGCTTTCTATAAAATTCATCTTTCACTTCATCTGAACCGCAGTCAGTGGGAGCGTAGGCAGAAACGACGAAAAGGCAACGACGTGTGTCCCTGTCCTTTGAGTTCTTACGGAGCCGTCCAGCCGAACAGCGAATAGACTTTTAACGGGGATCCATTATAATAGTGCTTGTTCTACTCTCGTATACGGTGCTACGCCTACACCTGCCAGTCCACGAAAACTAGCAATCGGGTCGCCAGATACGCGGAGGGTTTATCTGGTCGGCCCTCCATTTTGGCGAGATGAGATAAAGTGAATGATCACACTAGGATCCTGTATACGTGTTTCGGAGACGCAGTATACATCAGTGCGGGGGCTTTAGCCATGGAGACCTAATGGCCGATTTGACATAGGGTGCGTACGTTGAAGGCTCCAGCGTGTAGTTTGGAGCGAGGTTTCATTAGACCTGGGATAGTGTTTTGCACACTAGAATCGTTAGTTATGGTAACACTTGAGGAGGAAGCCAAAGAGAAATTTTAGTGTTGAAAGTCGATGTAGGAGTTATAGTAGGAACTGAAGAGGGAGGTGCATTGCGAATACAGTGGTCTCGTGTGCTGTTAGAGGTGTGAGGGCGGTTATCACTTCCCGGTTGCCCACACCAAAGAAGGGTTCTTCTGGAGGTATCTGAAAAGGAAATTGGATTAGAGGTGGTCTTAGTGACCTCAGATCGTGGACGCAGTTAAAGATTGTTAACGTCACAGACTGACTTTGACTAAATAACCATTGAACTCTAGGAAGGATCGGACACACTCTATCATATTTTTGGATTAATAAACAGTATGGACTGGGATATTCACCAACAATCGGACAATAGACAACTAGACCTTGGGTTTAACACTTTAAATTAATGAGCTGATTTTCCATCGGCTGACATTCCTATTTTATGCTGATTCGTTATATTACGGGATGATTATCCAGAACCGTAATTGATAACTATCTCGATGATTATCTAAGAAAAATCAAACCGTGACGTTAACGATTTCATAATCGGATAATCTCCACAAATCTGTTATTCTAATAACACATGGAGTTTATCTCATAGTCGTTCCATCCACTAATAGGTTAATAATTGTCACAAACAGTGATAGGTTTAAATACCCCCCTTGAGTCATTAACGACGCACACAATATGCGCAACAATATACTGCTTCCGGGTATTATGCTCTCAAGCCACACACTAACTGCAATGAAAAGTTATTGAGAGCGAAATTCAGTTTGTTTGTTAAAATTCAGTGAGGTTTAATGTTATATAATGTTATAAGTAAGTTTTAACTGTGATCATATAAGGATAATAATACGTTACTCAACAAAATGACTTCATATGACTAAAAAGCCCTTCTCATAAACGTATGAATGTTGGTTAATGTGGATTTAGAAAACGAATATATGAATAAACAATGTTCTTTCCAATAAGTATTAATTACGTTCTATAGATATACATTCAAACTGAAAGTTTAATTTAAACATCGTGTCGTAAAAGTCAATGATGGAGAGTAAACTGTTATGAAATGAGAGTTATAGGATTCATATAAAACTCACACCATACGAACTATCTTGTGGAACTTGTGTAACTTATGCAGCATTTGAAACATATAAACAAGATGATGGAACAATTGTAAACGACATTCAATGAGTGTTTAAAGTTTGCTTCCAGTGTTTTGCACAAATAAACCGGATTCGAGAACCAAATAAACAATACCAAGTGTATTTAATTGTACAAGTAAGCGGCTAAGTTATTGTTTATCTAGGTTTTGTAACTAGTAAAAATTCCTCCTTTGAAAGTACTAAATGTACAGTTTTTCTTTCCTCTTCATATGTACTTAGGATCAAAATGATTCAATTAAACCCCTTGAATTTCTTAAAGAGGAACTCGTTGAAAATTTCGGTCAGGTTGGTGTACAGACTCATCATTTGCAATGTAGATTACATCTACTTAATAATGAACTTCAGTTAAGATACGGAATTAATTATTATGACCATCATTTTACTTCATCAAATCAAACATTGTATGAAGAATTACAACAAATTACAACTAAGTTGAACCCTATGAATTTCAACCAACTAACCATGAATGATATTTGCCTAATGAGTATTTTTAATAACACACATCTTGATGAATACAAATCAAATGAAACTGAAGAATATCATGGAAATGAAATCATCGGGGACTTGAAAAAATGCCCAATAGTACGAATATATGAAGATATTATATTATCTTTAGGAAATATGCATCTATCCAATTTTCCATTGGATAATTCAACATGTACTAACGATCAGAATGTTCATCATGAAGAACGTTGTGCAAAAGTAGTTGAATTCGTTAAATTGTTACAAAGACAATGGAGTAAACTACTGATTGCAATTAATGACATAAATGTTAAACTAGCAAGACATCATCAATATTTAAATGGATTATATAGCTTAGTTATACTCAATACTAAAATTGAAGAAATTAATTTAAGAATATGTGAAACATATAATGGTGTTCAATTGACATCAATGCTTGCCGACTGTTGTCTTGAACCTGTTCGAGATAAATCAACACAGAATGAAGTCATTGATACGTATAAAATGAGAATGAAATCAACCAAAATGAATAAAAATGTTATTACTCATACATTGGGAGAACAAAATGCTATAACAATTAGTAAAGAAATTGTGATTAATTCAACATTAAGGCAAATGGATCATGTAAGTAACAAACCTATAATGACCATGTTGAAATGAATGTTCACTAAATTTGATAGCAACATTTTATGGGTTTGTCTTTAATAAGCAACAAAACTAGAAATATTTTATTTTTTAATGAATCTAAAACAAAATTGCACAATAAATCTTATCTATTACCAGATATCTGGTCCACCAGGGTGCTTAGTACCTGTGTGGTTGCACCACAGGATTGAGCTGTACTATTCAGATTGTAGCGTTAATGCCTATATGGTGTCTGATTCCCCTGCTAAAAGGGGTTGAGCTGTACTGTATGGGTTGTCACGTGAAAGTCTGGATGGTGTCTGGTTCTCCTGAAAACCAATATAAAATTACCCTGGCCGACAAGGGTACATTATATAACTGTGAATTACCAGATATCATTAATTCTATATGTATATATATAGTGGAAAGAATTGAATTTAAGGATAAATGTTTTAATCACTTCAAGAAGATTTCAATAATATCAATGTCTGATCATAACTTTGACCTAGTTCTTATAGATTTGAAAAACAATAGAACTTCTGCGATCATTTAAAAGTTCATAAGAAGCGGAATCAATAGGTTATCAGAAATTGTTTATCTTAATCAAGAAATAATAAATAAATGAAAAACGTTTTATGGAAGAAAGCATTTTTTGTCTACACAGATCTCTTATATACTGATATCAATTATTCATAATTGTTATTTATTTATTTATTTTAACACATAGATATTGATACAAGGAGGTGCCGAATCTCATTCGATATGTGTGAGGGCTGTGATAATGCCCGGGTGCCCAAACAGATGCAGGTGGTTATCTTAGGGGGCCACTGCCCGAGCCTTCGACCTGAAGGTCTGATACGCAAGGCAGTGGATCAACGTAAGGAGATGCAGTCCGATGGTAGCCGGTGACCAACAATTGGTTCATACACCATTTGTTTCTTCAGGATACTGGAGCCCATGTGCACCATTGATTTGGAGTCCAGTTAAAACGCTGGACATTCGCATTTCGTTCTCTCATTTTCGTAAACAACACTGTGGCCACGAGAAGGTAGTGAGCAGGACTTGCCTGGCAGAACCTACATTAGCGTGGCCATGTGAGAGCATTTGGAGAGAGAGAGCGGACTCTCCTCTATTTCGGCCATACCAGGGCATTTTGTTTTATTTATTTATTTATTTGAACACATATATTGGTAAAAGAGAGCGCCAATATATATGCGCCACACAAAACAATGAGAATTCGAAGAGAAAGAAAAAAACGGTAAGGAGCGTGAAAAAAAAAAAAAAGAGAACAATAACGAAGAGGTTTGTGTAAGGTAGTGTAGTAATAATAATAGTAATAATGAGGGAACGGAAAGGTACAATCAGAAGAAATCTTTCAGTTAAGGAAGATACAACCACTTTTTTTAATGAAGAAAGTAAAAGAAGGTTACAGAAGGATCGCCACTGGCTTCTATTCTTAGCCATATCTGATAAAGTCTCTAGCCACTGTGTAGCACCATCTCTCGGACCCCAACCAGGGAGTCGTGAAGGACCGACACAAGCCAGTCCTTTGCAGCTTTCTTTCATACCACGACACCATGTCATGCACTGACCACCTCTCCGATTTTTCCAACCAGTCCCAGAGTCGGCAAATAATGCACGACGTGGAATTCTCTGGGACGACATTCGTAGAACATGTCCAAGCCACCGAAGTCGGTGTTTCAAGATGGTGACACCAATTGGATTATCATCTCTGTGCCCGAACACACGATGCCGAACCTCTGCATTACTGACATGGTGTTGCCACTGAATGTCAGCAATCCTTCGGAGACAGCGATGATCGAACACAGAGAGTCGTCTAACGTCCTCAACTCGGAGAGGCCAGGTTTCACAAGCATAGAGCAAAACTGCTCTCACCGACGCGTTGTAGATCCGACCTTTTACAGCCAAAGATGGCCCAGATTGGCATAAGCCGCTCTGGCTTTCACTATTCGTGCATTGATCTCATCACTCACACCCCCACCAGCACTTATGCAGCTACCCAGATACACGAACTTCTCGACTACGTCTATCTGCTCACCATCCAGGGTGAGTACAGGATTAGAATCCTGCCAGTCTTGTAGAAGTACTTTGCACTTCGAAGGTGCAAAGCACATACCATACCTACGGACACTGATTGCCAACTGATTAAGTGCGGATTGCATGCCTTGGGCATTATCGCACAGTAAGACAATATCGTCCGCATACTCAAGGTCGAGAAGTCTTTCTCCAGGCAACAGATCCACACCACCATTACTTACATTCATCAGAGCTGTTTCCAGAATGTCATCGATGGCAAAGTTGAAGAGGAATGGTGAGATTGGGCAACCCTGCCTAACCCCACTGCTCGAATGGAACAATGGAGAGAGGTGGTTGTATGCCCTCACTCTGCCTGAGGTGTTTTTATATAGGGCTTTTAGGATGTTAATAAACTTCTCAGGCACACCCTTCTTCAATAGACAATCCCAGAGAACAGTCCTGTCCAACGAATCGAAGGCAGCCCTGATGTCAAGAAACACTACGATTGTTGGCCTTTGAAAGTATGGCGGTGTTCTAACATTTGGCGGAGGGTGAAGATATGATCAATACATCCTCGACCAGAACGAAACCCAGCCTGCTCCTCGCGAGTCAATCTTTCTCGGGTTTTGAACAACCTACGAAGAATGACGGAAGCCAATAGCTTGGACGCAATCGGAAGTAACTTATCCCCCGATAGTTGTTACAGGAACGACGTGAACCCTTTTTAAAGATAGGGACAACTATCGACTCATTCCATGACGTTGGTACACTCTCTAGTTCCCAAACCTTTGTAAACAACGTCGTCAATTCCTTAGTCAAAAAGTCACCACCATCTTTAAAAAGAGCCGGAGGTAAGTCATCTGGGCCAGGTGATTTGTAACGCTTCAAGAGTTGGAGTTCCTTGCGGACTTCCTCCTCATTTGGTGGATCAGTCGTCACCGGCCATGGAGGGCAGGACAGTCTGACCGATGTTGCCGGAGCAGCAGGCCAGTTGAACTGCCCTTCGAAAAATTCTGCCCATCGTCCAAGACGTCGATGGATGTTAGTGATTGGCATCCCATCATCCTCGCAGATTGTTTCACTCACACCAGACTTCTTGCTGCCAGTGGCTCGGATGAGCTGGAAGAGCTTCCGGTAGTTACCAGATGCAGCTGCTGCTTCCAGCTCATTAGCACGCATCGACCACCAGGCTTCTCGGTCCTTACGCAAGCTTTGCCCAATTTCCTTACGTAACATCCTTCGTTTATGGTCAAACTCACGGTCACCCGGAGTAGACCGACGGGCTTCAATGAGTTGTAAGGAACCAGAAGAAACCCAGTGCTTAAAAGCGGGACGTTTCGCAAACCCACAACTGACTGTTCCCGCCATTTTCATGGCGTCATGCAATTGCAACCAATGCTCATCTATACTTTTCGGTGGAGTGGTAGCTAGCCTAGAGGCTAGCTCGGTTCGATACTTACTTGCAACAGAAGTTGCAACCAGCTTGCTAACATCAATCCGTTGATGGCGGTCACTTCGTTGTCCACTGAAAAGTAAGGCAAGATTGGCGCAGACCAAGGCATGGTCAGAGTCCAGATAGGTACTCCAAAAGGAGCGGCAGTCTTGTACACAACCACGCCAGCGGTAGCTGATCGCGATGTGATCAATCTGAGTCCAGGCTTGAGATGCAGAGGGAGGACGCCAGGTGGCACATCGGCGATGACTGTGCCGAAAGTTAGTGCTAGCCAGAAACAGGTTGTGGTCTGTGCAAAGTTGCAGTAGACGGTCCCCGTTATCTGACCTGCGACCAACGAGTCCCCATCGGCCACCTAAACGACTCTCTTCTGTGCCTAGACGCCCGACCTGAGCATTCAAGTCTCCGGCTAGTACTACAATATCTGTCGAACGCACTTTCTGGAGAAGAACTGATAACTGGTGGTAAAACTCATCCTTGATTGCATCCGGGCTGCAATCTGTCGGGGCATAGGCGGAGATGACGAAAAGACATCGTTTCTCACGCCGATTTCTTCTCACTTTGATGGAACTTTCTAATCTAACAGCACATAACCGACTGTTAATGGGGATCCAATCGACTAGTGCTGCCTCAGCTCTAGCGCTTAGTGCGACACCAACGCCAGCAAGACCAGACGAAGATGCCACAGGGTCCCCGGATAAGCGCACGTAAAACAAGCTTTTCGAAGCGACAGATGGAGATCGAATTTGTAGTACTTCGCCAGAGTCTTGAATACGGGTCTCGGATAGACAACACACATCGATATTAAGACTTTCCAAAGACATAGCCAGCCCTATCTGTTGTCCGACCTGCATAAATGTGCGAACGTTGAAGGCAGCCAGTTTGAATGGTGCACGTGGTTTCAGAAAAACTGCTTCAGTCCTCGTATTCGGTGGTAACATACAATTTTCAACCGGACAGTGACTCGAGAACGTTTAGATACAGTCGGATTTCCACCAAAGACGAGCCGCTGTATAAGTATAAAAGAGGGTGAATAATGTGGTAAATAATAATAATAATCACTTGATTGTTATTCGAAGCGAGAAAAGTAGTTACCATAGATATAGAAAGTTCACCATTTGGGGGCGCTACACAGATCTCTTGTGTACTGAAATGAATTATTCATAATTCACTTAGTTCAATGATACATAGATACTGGTAATTTAATATTGGATTAGATAATTAGTGAATAGATATATAACGTTTTTATATTTGAATAAGGGTATCCATTCATATAAAAGTAAAAACATTCAATTTCAATGTCCAAGTGAGTAGTTAGTATTTTAAGCTTTGTAATATTAGTTTCTAGTTCTAAGGGGAATATGGTGAACAGTATATGAATGTAATTGGAATTCCGTTTGATCAACTAGCTGAATTCAGTATTATTATTGATTATATTGTAAAAGATATATTTAATTCTTTATTACATTTTTGTTGTTGTTGAGAATGCTACATTTACAGACTATACAATACTGTGAATATTGTTAATTTAGTTTGTTATTTTTCTTCACTCTATTTCATTTGCTTGTTAATCAGAATGATTGAGCACATTAGTCATTCAAATAATTTTGCACATTCATCTCAATGATATTTCTCTAGGGATATCAAATGCTTGTACAAACAATGTTAGTAGTATTAGTAGTATTAGTAGTAGTAGTGGTAGTCATATCTGGTCAAGTTGTATGAGCTACTTAGAATGAAACAAGTAACTAAACCAGTTAATATTAGCATATATATATATATATGTATAATCAACTGCAGTAAACGGAGCGAATAAAAAAAGGATAAAATGAGATAGGCAAAAGTAAACATTTAAAAAGATGCTTAGGCTTAGACAAGATATATATAATTATGTAAAGATGATTGCTTCAATAGTTTGTTTCTTTATTCATTTAAACAATCCTTTGATTACCGAATTACTGTATACTAACCTCAATACTTATTCACCCAAACCGGTTATAATAAATGGTGCTTAATGTTCTGATTTGAGTACAGTTTTCACTATTTAAAATTAAATTCCAATTAAATTGTTTTGTTTTCAGATAATTGAACAGTTGAAATTATTTACTACTCAATTAAATCGACTACAAAATGAAGTATATGCTTTTCTACCAGCCAGATCTATTCTGAATGAAAATGATTATTCAGTATTTCATCTCTTGAAAACCAAATTAAATCATCTTTATAGATCTAGAAAATCCTGTGTGGAAGTAACATTTCAGTCTGCTAAACAACAAAACACCAATAATGAAGACAATTATAGTAGTGATCGTAGTGATGAAGTTTCACTAACCGGTCTACGAACAGTTGGTTCATCATTTCAAGAGGATATAGATTCTGTTATTTCTAAATTCAGTCTTGAAGATGATAAAGAAGAGAAGATAGACAAAAATCAAATCCCAACAACAACTACATTGCATGAAACACTAGATTTACAACAAACTGATTGTGAAATGACTTTGGCTACTACTGAATCTGAGAATAGTCTACAGGGAATAATGTTTAAATCAACAAAATCTATCATAAGTAGTACTGAAGGCAATGAAGCTAATAAATATTCTGAACACAATTATAGAACTCCGATGAATTCCCCTGAAGAACATGAATTACACATCTTATTACTTCCACATGTTTCAATGCTTGCTCATCATTTATTAAACAGATTAAGTTTCATTCATATGCATTTCATAGATTGCTTAGAAAACAGTTTGAAAATAAGGGATAAATTGGAACTTCGACGTGATGTTTTACGTCTTGTTGACAATATTGTATCGATGGGAAATTGGATTGAAGAAAAGTAAGTTGACATTTACTCTTTTTTTTTACACTGATCAACCATATTAATTTTGCTTAGTTTTAAGTTGAGAAGTTTGATTCCCCCCTCCCCCCATTTTTAATTGAGATTTATAAAAAGAAATCATCGAAAATTCAGTAGCATCTAAGAATAAAAACAACCAGCTTATTTGGTTGATATAAGACTTAAAGTTTAGTAGGCGCGAAATTTGTTCATCGCTACTTATGGATCTGATTTCGTCTTTCTAATCATTTGACCAGAAATGAATTTAACTGTCAAGTCCACTTAGTGATGGAATGTGACATTCGGTTGATAAAACAGTGTCTAATTGTATACAAGTGATTATATGTTTAATGTGTTAATTGAATTTCCAAATTTTTAAGTCATGTTATGTAACTAATCTTTACAAAGTAGAATCTAAGTTATTGGATAGTCCAACCGAGGAATGAAAAACAGTTAAGTAAAACTAATTTATAAATAAGAGATGTTAAAATAAATATTCACTTGATGAATGTAAAAACGATAAGGAAACGATCATTAATCTGATAAAATTTTGCATAATCCAAATGATTGTTGAAATCATTATAAAATGAGAGATTAGGTATCTCACTTTTGAACTCACAGAAACATTTTCTAATACAAATGGTTCTTTTGTTTAGATGGTGGTTGGAGGTAGTCAACAGGAAACCCTGCACCAGGGTCTCGTGCTACTTGGTACTGGTCAGCAATGTGTACCTGTAATCTTGAGGGAACTGGTGCTTCCTGGCGGATTCGATCTCGTGTCACCCAGCTTCACAGTCAGAGACGTTACCACTGAGCTATCCAATCTACGACTGACCTCCTGTAGGACTGAGATGTTATCACAATTGATTGATCACTGGGTGGTGATCAATGTCGACTACCTCCAACCACCATCTAATTTCAATATATAGTGCCGGCAGTGTCGATTCACCTAGACTGGTAGCCACATTGCAACATGATCGATAGCATTCGATCTGCACTAATAATAAGGACTAGACAAGCATGACATTGATCACCACCCAGTGATCAATCAATTGTGATGAATGGTTGTTATGGTGAAGATTTGGCATTTTTAAATGTTGCTGTTCACCAAGTTGCGTTCAGTTTTAGATGATGAGACAGGGTAATCCCAGAGATTAGTTCAAAGTGAGCATCACCTTTCTGATCCATATAACTAGCTACATATTAACACTTGAGCTGATAGGTACAAAGTAATGCCTTTCTCAATGAGGTAATGGTTCTATGTTAAGTAGCATGAAGTCTGATCATTTAGCTTCAGTAAATGAAATAGTCAGGAGGAACTATTTTATTTTGCTTGAAACATCCTTGTTTCATTTCTATATTTTCATTCCTGTTTTTATTTTCAAAAAAAGGGAGAGAATTTTGTTAACATTCAATCCTGTAATATATCCTTCGATGGAGTTTTTGAAATCTTTACCAATACCATGTCCTATTACTGTTACGGAAGAAATTATTCATTCACTATCACAACTCTCTATACAAGCTTATCGTTTTAAAACATTTGAACATGAACTAATAAGTCATGCAAATTTAAGATTAAGTGAAATTGGAATGCTTAATGAAGGATTATCGGAAAATTTAAAGAAGCTTGACAAAGAAAGAGATTTTAGTATTCTTCAATTTATTCAATCTACTATAAAACTTAATTTATCAATCGAGGATTATGTAGATGACGATGAAGATGATGTTGATGATGATGATAATGAAGAGGCACATGAGGAAGAGGATAGTAGTGAATCCAGAGATAAACCATATGAAATTAGTGTGGATAAAGAAAGTAGTCAAGAATTTGTTGAAACTAACCATGAAAATAAAATGTTTTATCGACGTATATCGAAAAACGTTAGTGATGAACAAACTGACGACAACAATGTTGACAAACCAAAATATTCAAAATTATTAGATTATATTAACAAGAAATGGCAACGTTTGAAGCTTTTACTCAATGCACGTCGTGAACGGTTTGAATTAGCTGCATATTTATCAAAATACCATACTTTATGTCAAAGTACAAAAGAATGGATAATACGTAAAAGAGAATTACTCATTTCAACTGATGATTTAGGCACAGATTTAAATAGTGTTATGCAATTACAAAGAAGATTATTAGGTTGGGAAAAAGATTTTATTGCATTACAAGATGAAATACAAAGTCTTAATGTAGAAGGTGAAAGATTATTGAAAGCCTTAGTAGAGGAAGCTCCACAAAGAAGAGATTTATACCTTATCTCCGGAGAATTGTATGCTTCAAAAGAAGTCAATCATTTAAGATTAGAATTGAATCAGGAATGGGAACTTTTACAAGTGGAATTAAAAAGTCGTCAAGACAAGTTATTAGCTTCAGCTGAACTGCAACAATTTTTTCAGGTGATAATTATTGAATCAATCTTATGATTATTGTGTGGGTTTTTGTTAATCTATGCAAGAATATTTAAAAAAACATTATTATTTATATACGAAAGATTGCATGTTCAAAGTAGTTAGGGGTAAAATCTATTCGATATATATAATGCCCTATACTATTCGCTATGTATCATTTTTCTCTCTTCAAACGGAGATAAGAATAAATTCAAGTGTAAATGATTTTTATAAAGTCAATTAGTCAATAAATAATTTTCCCGCGAGGTGCGGGATCGTGGATGCTCACTGTTGGCCGTTTCATCCTAGTGTGGGAATCTTCATCAGTGCGCATCCACAATCCCGCCTCGCGAGATTTGAACCAGGGATCTAATGTGCAAGTGCTTAACCACTAGACCACTGAGCGGATATTTAGTGGTGCTAATGTTTGACTTCAACCAATCCAGAAAATCACACTACTGTCCACCATTGTCTTCAGTGAGTTAATAACTTACAACAGACTAGGTTGCACTCCAATGGTAACCGCTTCTCAGTAGAACTCCGGGAAATATCTCTTGAAGATAGCATATGATATTTATAATCAGACAGTGGTTTTGTTATTATTATAGTAAATTAAAACCTGGAAGCGGTGGACGACCGTTTCATCCTTGTGTGGAACTTTTCAACAAATTCACTTTTCTCACTTCATTTTATTACGTTGATTCGTTTATCACTTATGAAGTGTTATATTGTGTTTTATGTTTAGATGCAAAACTTTGTATTCAAGTTGAGTTATGATGAACATTCAACTGAAAGCAAATATCTTTCTGATCAAATTTTCTATTTTAAGTCTTAATGGGAGAATATATAAAATAGAATAGTTACTATAACTTCTCAATTCATTTCTTCATTTTATACCAGATGAATATCAGATATTAATAGAAGTGATAATAGTAATATATGCACAACGTAACTAACTCTCAATTACAATAAAAGGGAATGTACACAGTTTTAATTTCTGTTTACTTTATATCTTAATGTAAAACTATTCAATGTTGTATTATAGTTAATTATTACTGTGTCATTAAAAGATTATATTGGATATATATTACTAGAATAAGTAGTATAAATGTTAAATATAATATTTAATTTATAAATAGCAGAATTTGTGTTAACTTTATAGTTGACCTGAAAATTTGATTGTGGGTTCAAATCTCATGGGGTGAGGGGTCGTGGATGCGCACTGTCGCTGAGGAGTCCCATACTACGACGAAACGGTCGTTCAGTGCTTCCAGGTATTCCATGGTTGTCTAGCTTCAATTGACTCATGATTTCAATCAGTTAAATTACTAAAACCCCCCTCGGATACTTATTTTTAATCATCTATAATGTGATGAAGATTAATTTTAGTTTTTTACATGAAAGGCAGAAAATACTGAAAATGTTTATACTAGAAGTTAAAATTAAGATTAATTTAGTGTGAATACCGGATATTCTTTAAATTTACATGACAATTCAAGTAAAATTACACAAAATTGTTAATTCTTGCGTTTACTTAGGGTTTAGATGACAATCAATTATGGTTACGTAATATTGAAATTCGTGTAGCAACACATCAATTACCATTGTCTGTAGAAGAAGCCAAAGCTGAAATTGATATACATAAAGAATTAGGTGAAGAAATTTTAGCTCGTAAAGATGAATATAGTGATTTAATAAGTTATGGACGATGTATTACAGCTGGTGAAACAGATTTACATTACATACAACTTGATGAACGTTTAGATAGATTAGAAAATGGTTGGTCAGAATTAATGCAAATGTGGACATATGAACAAAAACTTTTACAACAGAATTTAAACTTCCAGGTGAGTTGAAGAAAAAGTTGATCTTTATTATAAACCATTTGTTATAGTTAAACATATGGGCAAATTTTAATGAAGTTGTATCTGTTTCATTTGAAATTATCCGTCAGTAGTTGTTGGGAGATGATCTTTTGATTGTTTCATACGAAATATCGTTGAGTGAGATTATATTGTTTTCGAATTCAAAAACGTTGTGAATGGATACACTGTAGAATGCTGAAGTATTTCTTACTACAACTAAACATTTTTGAATATAACTAACGTTGTATTTCACGTCATCATTGTTTGTGAAGACTTAAAACAGAATTCAAATTCATCCCATTGCACAAGCAATTGGCTATCAGGACTCAGTAGCTGAGTGGATAACGCAATGGCGTTTGGAGCGAATGGTACTGGGTTTGAGTCTTAGAGTGAACATCAACTTTCTGTGATGCAGGTACATCCGGCTGACGACGAGTCTCAAATAGGACGAAACGCGCGTCAAACTGGATTCCATTGCTAGCCACTATCCATCATTGCTTACAAATAGCTTGTGAATTAAGGCAATATCGAGGCATTATGCACAGTATACACATATGCCAATAGCACACTGATCAATTGCAGTCTTAAACCACAATGGGAAGATACAAGCTAAACAATACCAAGTGAATTAAAACAGATTTATCTAAATAAACCTTCTAATGTTGATTAATGTTAAATGTAGAATTTTTGTCTTGAATAATGGGGTCTGTGGAATAGTAGAATACAGAGTTTACATTATAATGAGTTATAAATGATTTGTTGATAATATTCTCATATATATTCATCAATACATGGTAAATGTATAGTTTTAAAAACCAAACAATATCATCTTATACAAGGTAAGCTAATTAACAACTGTTGAAAGTGGAGTTACAGGAGATATAGTATTTTAACATTGTGAAGTAAATCATCAGTTAGTGTATAGTGTTCATTAGTATGAGGATATGTTCTATTCCACATTCATAAGTATGATTTAATAAGTATTATAGTGAATAAACACTTGAATGGGGGAGGGCTCGATTTATTGTTTCATGTAAAACCACACAGTGGTTCAGTATCATGTGAAAATCATATATTAAATATATCATTTGCACGTCCTTTTCTCTTACAAACATCATTGTTTGTTCATTCTTGTTATTATCTTGATTACTATCTTTTTCTTTTTCTCTTCTCTTCACTTCATTTTGCTCAACCTTCTGCTTGCAGGCATTCTACTTCAGGTTGGTGTTGTGTACTACTTGTGTCTGTCAACGTAAGCAGCATACATTACAGTATCAGTTATTATCATGATCTAGAATGTATCGCAAACTTTGTATGCGTTGGAGTTTCACAAAAAAATTAGTTTAATTTAAAGAAATTGTAAGCGTTGATCCGGAAGTCTGAATACGATTAGCTAAAGTACATAAAAGAGGAAAGTCAACAATACGTTTATCTACGAAGTTGTAAATAGATGTAATCGCTTTGAATGTTTCGCAAGAAATTATCATCAATAAAGAAGTATTCACTAGTATAGGGGTTGTGGAGATTACTAAGTTTTTGATTGAGATCATGAACCGATTGATGTTAGACCACCACAATTGAAAACCTAGAAGCACTGGACGGCCGTTTCGTCCTATTGTAGGACTCCTCAGCAGTGCGTATCCACGATCCCGCTCGTGGGATTCGAACTCAGGGCCTTCGGTCTCGCGCGCCAACGCTTAACCTACTGGACCACTAAACCGGCATCCAATGGTGATAGTTTCTAATTATGATGGTTCAACAACAATCGGTTCATGATCTCAATCAAAAAGAAGTATTCAGTTGATTTAAAACACCGTACAGCAGATACATATGAAAAAGATGTCTATCATTGTTGGACAAATCAGTTTTGCTAACGTAAATCCAAAAAATAATAATGAAAATCTATCCATTGTAACATCAGTTTTTATTCATTTCTTTCCGTTTATTGATTTAAACGGATAACAGTGAGTAGTAAATGTAAAATAAAGACTCATTTACGTATTAGATATTTCGGTATTAGAGCTGTAAAGCTTGAAGAAAAGGTAAATGATGAATGTGACAAGTCTCAACACCCTTTTTGTTGATTGATTTATGGTCGTTTATTTTACGACATTTTTTTTAACTTTTAAGAGTATCTTCAAGGTACAGAAGAATGAAATATGCCTTTTTTTAAATTTTCAATAAAGAATACTACATTTAACTGAGAAGATTATGAAAATTAGTTGAATGTGATGAAGAGCTTATTACATAGATGTTGATTCGTATTTGAGTCTTTACGAACCAGGAAACATTCGAAAACTGTTTTTTGTCCACGTTTATGACTACTCAATATTTCATATTTATGACTTTGTTAACCATTAAATTCAGGCCATTCAGGCCTTGATATCAATGTGTCAAATATAGACCAACAAGAGAGTATATGTTTTCAATTTCAGCCAATTCGTGATTTAGTACGACAGTCATCTAATTTAATCGTTTGTGACTGTCTAGTTGTTAAAATGATTAAATGATTACGATGGATCATTTTTCATTTGAGAAGGTTAATTCTCAGAAGAATGTTCAAAATGAAAGATTTTCAATGTTCATTTATTCTTTTGTCACTTTTTTCTTTCTTTTAAAGATGTTTCTACGTGATGCACATTTATTTGAAACTTTGTTGTCAACACAAGAAAGTAAACTAATGAATTATCAACTCATAGTAAGTAATTAATTCACTGACAGTTTACTTTATTCTAGTCACATATTAATGACTATTTTTTTTTGATGAGTTGATATAAAGTATTTTAAACAAAAAAAAAGCACACAAAATGTAAAACTATTGATTACAAGGTATTTTGCTTCGTTTTTGTTTACATTCTAAATTAAATAACACTAGTAACTAAGTATTTCATTATCAATAACAACATCGTCAAAGCTCCACTACAAAATCCAGTGTTATGCGTAATTTCGGGTTACTTGGGACAATATGAGATGGTGGAGAAGATTTGTAGCTCAGCTGGATGATATTGATGAAGTTTTGTTTCACCCCCTCGTCCAATGGGGGACACAACCAAAACAAAGAAGTAAACAATAACAAATTTAAGGTCAATAAGAACCAATCAACGTCGAGGTGTACAGAACAAGCTGTGAAACGCATATGGAGAAATTCGAACACTTCACTGCTATCTGAAGTTTGTGCTGGTGATGATGTCGTTCAAAAGAACGATCAAACCATCCAGCTCAAAGAACAAAACATTATCAAAAATATTGACAATGATTCTTATTAGCTCAAATTAAGAAAATAAATTCATACTGATAGCTGATAAAATAAGAATTACTATTCATTATGTAGAAATTAAGCGGAGAAAGCATCGAAACATTCTCAGAGATATTGTGAACATATGAATGATGTATAAACCAAGACGATGATGATCAACGGGTACTGATTCTACTTGTAGATGTATGGATGGAAGCGACTGGAAACATTTTCCATCATTTTCAAACACCGAAGTCATTTTCAAGCCTAAAATATATATGTAATAATAGCCATATATTAAGATTAATGATCTGTCAAGTAAAAGCAAATACTTGATGAGACCGTTGTGTTGCATGGGCAAACTTTAAATTTAGTATGTATTAATTCGTTTACGGGTTCGAATCATACAGATCATGATAGAATAAATAATTTCCTGTTTGAATTTTATTCAGACACAGTGGGCATAACCAAAGTTAAGGATAAATATCTCTTAAATCTAGATCATAGGTTATGACATTTCTTAACAAACTGAACAACTAAATGCAATCAAAAGTGTATTTTGTAGATCCTTTCCCTTTACATAACTCTTGGAGTAATAATTTCAATCATTTGTCATTTCCACAAGTTTAAAGGATAACCCTAAAGAAATCTGAATTTTCATATATTTTTATGTGATTCTTTTCCTACTATTAATCATGTGGCTTTTTTGAGGTTGATTTCATTATGGGGAATGGTCAAGATGACAAAAGAATTTAACATTTAACAGTTAAGAAAGTGTTATATCTTGAAAGTTGATTTCTTGATATACCGCCTATAACACCCGTGATCCATCGTCACAGGAGGTTACTATTCATTTCAATAAATTGTGAAATCTGATACCTGTTACGTTCAACATTTTCAATGATGAATCAATCGTATGAATTAATAAATGATTAAAGGGTATAGAAGAAAAAAAGAGATCGGGAACATATTTAATATTAAAAATATTTCTTTAGATATCAGAAACATGATAAGAATCAGATCAAATGAACAATTTGAGATGTTTAGTGTTTATAGAATATCAACTTCAAAGTGAAGTAAGTGAGGGAGTGACGGAGTAAATATGAATGTTTGTTAGATTTGTAGATATGATGATATGATTAAGATCTGAATTATTATGTAATAATGAAGAATGATGATTGACAGATTGTTTCATGCCTCCTTTCTTCTCTTTTCTTTTAATGATCCATTTATCATTTCCATACATTTGTACCTCTCTACCTGAAAAATGGATTCTAGTTCATATGGTTTAAAATATGATCATATTTAATGTCACTGTAATAATAAACATGATTAAAGTTGAGATTTAGATGGTGGTTGGAGGTAGTCAATAAGAAACCCTGAACCCGGATTTCGTGCTACTTGACACTCGTCAACAAGGTGTACCTGTAGTCTTGAGGGAACTGGTGTTCCCTGGCGGATTCGATCTCGTGTCAATCACGAATAAAGTTGTTTATCGGTAAAATGTGACAGTGATAAAAATAATTTGCTAAACTAAGGAAATCTTATCAGTTTTCAACTTCTACTTCTTAACAATTACAAAAATGTGTTGTTGTGAAACCGAAGAAATATTTGCACAGTTTACTTGCAATAGATACTTTCAAAGTGAAAATGATAAGAATAGAATAGATTCTATAGTAATTGTAAAGAAGGGAAACGTAAAGAAGTTATTTTTCATGTTCTCTAACTTATAAATGAAAACCAAAACAATTCCACTTCATACATACAATATACTTACTTACTTACTTACTTACTTACTTACTTACTTACGCCTGTTACTCCTAATGGAGCATAGGCGGCCGACGGGATGAGGTCACTAACCCCATGCCTAAAACTTCTCCTTTATCCAGGCTTGTGGCCGGCAGTAGCTCCCGGAGGGACTCCAGGTGGAGTTATACATACAATATGTATCACTGTTATTCATATTCCGTATATATGTATAAAAGTAGAATATAATCTAAATGAATAAGAAAGAAAGGTTCATTGTTGATATAATGACCATAGTTAGAAAATATAAAGTAGAAAAGATTTACGTCATTGATATAGAAATTGATAACAATTTGATAAACAGTACACAAATCAAAGAAAACACTTGAAAAATCACTACATACATACATATTACATCACTTCAGTCATAGTGACAGATTTGAAAAGTAAAAGCAATTGTACCATGATAATAATAATAATAATTAAAAGTGACATTTGTTTTGCTATTTTTCTTTGTTTAAACTTTATAGAAAATGGTCATAAAGTTAAAAAATAATTTTATGTCTCGGTATAGACGAATATTACTGAATAACTTTTGCATCATATTACACAGTGATATAATGAAAGTGAAAGATAGAAAGAGACAGAGTATATAATGTTGATTTTAGTTAACTGGTTTCAAAAGGAAAAACTGAAACTGAATTCATTAACTTTTTAATGATAATAGAATGAATTATTTCATTAGATAGTAGTGAAAAAATGATGTTTACTGAGTTGATTTTTAACGTATATAGAGATTCGCCCCCAAATGCCCTGGTACGGCAGAGAGTGGGGAGAGTCCGCTCTCCCTCTCGAAATGCTCTCACACGGCCACGCATATACAACCTCTGTCAGGGAAGTCCTACTCACTGACTTCTCGTGGCTACAATGTTGTTCACGAAATTGAGAGGACGAAATGCGAATGTCCGGCGCTTTAACCGGATTCAAAACCAATGGTGCACATGGGCTCCAGTATCCTGAGGGAACAAATGGTGTATGAACCAATTGTTGGTCACCGGCTTCTATGGGACTGCATCTCCTTACGATGCTCCACTGCCTTGTGGATCAAACCTTCAGGTCGAAGGCTCGGGGAGTGGCCCCCTAAGAAAACCACCTGCTTCGGTTTGAGCACCCGGGCAATATCACAGCCCTCACACATATCGAATGAGATTTGTGTGGCGCATATGTATTTGGTGCCTCTTTGTACCATTATCTATGTGTTGAAATAAATAAATAAATATATATATAGAGATTCAATCGGTATCATGAATAGGTGAATGTTAGAACATCATTAAAAACCTGGAAGTATTAGATGAACGTCCTGTTCTAGTATGGGACTCCTCAGCAGTGAGCATTCACATTAACACCGTTGGATGCCGACTCCGTAGTCTAAAGGCTAAATGTTCACCCGTGAGAACGAAGACTCTGAGTTCGAGTCCGGCGTACGGGATCGTGGATGCGTGTTGATGAGGAGTTCCGTACTAGGACAAAACGGCCGTCTAGTAGTTCCAGGTTTCCGGTAGTGATTTGACATTCATCCATTCATGATATCGATTGAAACTCAACAATCTTCGAAACCTTATACTGGTATATAGAGATCATGTAAATGGAACTTGTGGAATAATACAATTCTAAGATTCGATTTGAAACAGAAAGTTTTCATGAAACAGATTCAAACCAGTCATTATTTGATATCTAATAAATAGTATTCTGTTAAAATTATTAAATCAGATGTCTTAAATTCGTCGAGTATTGTATGAAATTATCACGCAAAGTGAGAAAATAGAAGTATTTTAGACTTGAATTTGTCAATCATTACGATATATAGTTATGTCTCAGAAGTATATATAAAAACAGAACTATTTTAAGGTGTCTGGAAATGTATTAAAATGTGTGTCCAATTTTAAAAGATCACTCAGGCACCGAATACGGAGAAGACGTAAAAAGGAAAGAATACTTGTGAGTATCTTATAGAATGAAATCCAAGTCAATTCAACGATCAATCCAATGGGTGGATCCGATCATTGCCAAAAATGAATCAAAAGTCAAAATTATCAAAAACTCAGAAAGTATGGACAAATATCTAGGAAAAGTTGAGGAAATTCTGTAATGGAATAAAACAGAATGAAGATGTCAACAGTTTTCTGACCAAGACATGTGATTCAGTTCATGATTACATTTTCTCATAATTTTATCATTCCTTAAACACTTAAGTTTGTGTTGAATGGAAGATCTATTGAACGTGTATGAGAACCATTTTATGTGAAACTAGTTTATATTGTGGATTATTTTCAGTTCTAGATAGATTCAAAACTGAGAAGAATCAGCTTGATATTCGTTCTGATCGTAGGAACTCTACAAATGGAACTTGACATAATAAGATAAAATTTAAATACCCAATTATGTATCAGAGTGACTGTGATATTTTTAAACCTATTTGTAGGAAATGTGTGACTGTTATTTTCAATTCCAGTGAGTTGATCAGTTGACGATGATTTGGTATCGGTACTTGCAATCCTCACAAGACGTTAAATAACTAGTTTGTAGCATGGAACAATTCTTCTAGAATTGACTGAGTATCACTTCAATATTCACGTGAATTACTGTAGCTAATGCAATTATACTTAAAGTTGCTTGTGATTCAAGTCATTTGCTGTTTTTCCTCCAAATCTTGACATGTGGGTAAATGCATTTGAGACTTGTAAAGCTTAACAGTTTCTTCAAAAGTGCCCAAATATCTTGTTAATGAGTTTTAATGGACTCCAGTCAACATATCTTCAGCTTGAAGAAATCTACTCAAAAACAACTCAATCTATTTACTGAGTTCTTAACAAACTCAAGTAATTTCATTAATTATTGTATGAATATAAGTGGATAAATTTGTGAGGTAGCTCATTGAGTTCTATTAAGAAGCCATTATCAGATTAGGGAGACAATATCACCAATCGTAATAGCTATTTCTTGGAGATTAGAACCCTTAACTACTGAATGTCAACTCAAAATTCTGAAACTTAAATCCTCGTTGTGAAGATCATCTGATACTTGAAAAGTGATGATTACAAACTACTTGACAAGTTTTAAACAGGAAGAAGGCTACTTTATAGTATCTACGGTTGTCACTATCTCCCTAACGAACATTTGTCCATGATATGAAACTTCAAATTGAAAGATTTCTGAATGACTCTTTAATCAGAATGTAGAATAAATTCATGATCTCTCTATATATATTGATGGATATTAGGGAAATTTCTTTGAATCATTCAAACATGGTGACATTTATCATGAATATTGATTACTCGATGTGAAACTAGAAGAAAAAAAACAAAAAACAAATGGTTCGACTGTATCTCGTTTCTTGAAAAAAAAAACACAAGAGAAAATAGAGTGAAACTAATTTGAATATTTAAAATGTTATCAACCATTAAATCAATTGTGTCTATCTCTGTTTATTTTTCGTTTATAGTTATGTGTTGTTTTTCAAACAAAAAAAAATGTATTCAAATGTTAAATGATCAAGTATTAAAACAAAATATAAGTGAAGTATTCAGATGTTAGACATTCACACCATTAGATGCCGACTCAGTGGTCTAGTTGGTTAAGCGCCTGACCCAAGACAGATAGATCCTGGGTTCGAACCTCGCAGGGGGGCGGGATCGTGGATGCATACTGCTGAGGAGTCCCATATTAGGACGAAACGGCCATCCAGTGCTTCCAGGTTTTCCATGGTGGTCTAGCTTCAATTGACTCATGATTTCAACCAGTTAACAATATTATTATTATTATTATTATAACTGTTGAATGTTTATTGAAGTAAAATACATTTGTTTTTGTTTTGTTTTTATTGTTTAAATTCATCAATAATACTTGACTATTGTTTATTTAAACAATCACTAAAAAGAAAAGTAGTTTAAATTTCATTCAGTAGAAAATACAGATAATACGAATCAATGATTGTCTCGATGCTTAATTACTAAGTGGACTATTTAAGTTTTTTTAAAGACTAATATTTAAAAAGAGAGAATATTCTTTTCAATAATTTATTTATTTAGTTAGTTAGTTACATAAACACTGGTACAAAGAGGCACGAAATACATATGCTCCACACAAATCTCATTCGATTTGTGTGAGGGCTGTGATACTGCCCCGATGCCCAAACCAAAGCAGGTGGTTTTCTTAGGAGGACAAATCCAGTGCCTTGGACCTAAAGGTCCTCTCAATTTCGTAAACAAAGCTGTGGCCACGAGAAGGTAGTGAGTAGGACTTCCCTGACAGAGGTTGTATATGCGTGGCCGTGTGAGAGCATTTCGAGAGGGACGGCGGGCCCAATCCTACTGTGTGACTCCTCAGCAGTACGCATCCACGATCCCGCCTCCCTAGACATTCGAACCCAGGACCTATCATTCTCGCGCCAGGCGCTCAAACACCTAGACCACTGAGCCAGCCGGCATCTATCGGTGTTAATGTCTAACTTCAACCAATTCACGAAGTTGCATCACCGTACAACATTGTCTTCAGTGAGCTGATATCTCACAAGAGACCTGGTTGAACTCCACTGGTAACGGCTTCTCACTAGAACTTCAGGAGTGTCTCTTGAAGTCAGTTACTAGTGAGCAGATGATTATTATCAGAAGGGGTTTGTGGAGATTTTAGAAATTTCACAAATTGAAATCATGAGTCAAATGAAGCTAGACCAATTACATTAGACTACGAAAGCTCGTAAGTACAATGGTCAAATTAGATCATTCAATAGCTAAGATTACTATTGATTAATTGGCCTTGATGTTGACCAAGGGAAGAGAAGCGGTTGAAGATATTTCTTTTGTGCTCACAGTTCCAGTCTCTTAATCCGGATGGCTACGGCTTCAGCCATTTGAAGGACTTTAAGTCTCACAAGCTTTGGCAAAAAATTACTGACTTTATAAATAATTGAAAAGGATTGGTTTATACTGGCACTATGACCAATTTGTATTAAATGGGCTAATATCGAGCTCTTCACTTTCTTCATCAAACCTTCTTTCAGTCACGCTGGGAGCTGTTCACGAGCACAAAAATGCAAATTCCTAGAACTTCGACCAATGTGAACTGCTCCACAGAAGCAGTCAAACTGATAAATACAAAATGAAATGATCATTCTAAGAAATTCATCTTTTAGCTTTTACGTCACCATTGGGAGCGTAGGAAATACTATCCGTAGTTCTCGGGCGTTAAAACATTTTTGGATTGTTTTCCGTAATCTCTGAGTTAATATTTCACTGGCCGCATCCCCTCTGAATTGTAGGAGCATGAACAGGCATTTCTTATTCACCGTTTGTATTTCGCCTAGTCTCACCTTCGTGAACATATATTTCATTATAAACGTTCTAAGATATCTGTTATCCCTAAGAGTATTACGCAAGGTTTTTAGCTCTTTTTCAACTATATCCATAGAACGTATAGTGCATATTCAGTAACTAATAGTTGTGATCAGGTTTCTTTTGTACTGCAGAGGTACAAAGCTAAGGAAATGTTTGTACTGCCCTGTCCAGGTATTTTTCCTGTTTCAATTCCTTTTTAATGATCCATCAGTTTTCGTGGTTGAGAGCACGTGCAAAAGGCTAATCTACCACTACTTTCTTCTTCAGATGTAAACTGAATGTCTGGATACACTTCATTAAACTGCCTGAGAACCTCTTGTTGTGATGTATTATCTTTTCAGAGGATGAACGTATCATCCATATATTGACAGTAAAATGTGAATTTTGGATAATCTTTTTGAGTGGACCATTTTCTAGTTTGGCCAGAAAAATACCAACTAGTATAAGGCCTAATCGTGAACCCATCGCAACACCACCCGTGTGTTTATATATTCATCCATTGAACATGGAATTCACATTCGTGGTGCATCTCAGTAATAACTCTTTTACGACATTGATAGAAACTGTAGTTTCAATTTCGTTTTCACTCGATTGTTCACATGTATATTCTACGGTCTCTATGAGTGGAACATTTATGAATAATGATGTAACATTTTTGATCTTGTCAACAAATTGGAATACATACTTAACACTAGGTTTTACAAGTTTTTCATGGAGACGTTTCAATATAGTTACAAACCATTTAGCTATACTATGATAAGGAGAGTTATGCATATCTAAAATTGGTTTTAGTGGGATCCCTGATTTGTGTACCTTTAACAATCCATACAATCTTGGCAGAAAAGTTCTCACTAGTTTAATTATTTCATATAAACCCAATCAAATCGTCTGTTGGTCCCTGAGCTTCTTCAAAGATCTGATTAGCTCATTCTCTATCTCATTATTAAGAACTTTCTGGTCAGTTATTTTTTGAAGTTTTAATTTGTCATCTAAAATGGTAGCCGTTTTGTCAATCTAATCGCACTTTGTCCTTGACCTGGCCAGTTTTCGAACTATTAATTTGGATATAAGAATTGTAGAACTTGAATAGAATTTATCGAAAAGAATATTCTTCGTTCAAATATTAGTCTTTTAGTGAGGATCTTTGAATAATTAAACTACTTAGGTTTTAATCAGAGAGGAGTTTTGCGGATATTATAATAACTTAATAATTGAATGCATGAGTCAATCGAAGCTCGACTCAGTGGTCTGAAGGTGAAGCGCTTGCACACGAGACTGATGGGACCTGAGTCCGAATCTCGTGAGGCGGGATCGTAGATACGCACTGCTGAGGAGTCGCACACGAAGACTAAACGGCCGTCTAGTGCTTCTAGGTTTTCCATGGTGGTCTAGCTTCAATCGACTCATGAATACAACGATTCAATTTAAGTTTTGGTTAAATTCAAAAAACGAAGAAGGTTGTCTTTGTTTAACACATGTATTTAACAACTAACAAAAGTATTTAGTCAACATTAAAACTTTCTTATTTGGTAATATTAACTCTATGTGAATAACAACAATGTTTTGCATATCAAAAATCAATGATTAGTGAAATCATTTCTGATCATTATTTTATCTTCTCTAATTGAATTCCATTTAGAAACAAAAGAATACAACTGATATTGTTGCTGCGTTAAAATCTCAAAATGAAATTGTTCAATGTTTAATCAATGCTAATGAATCATTGAATCATTTATGTGATACCGGGAATCAACTCATTATAGATAAAGTATATTCAATGGAGAAAATACAAAATAGAATCTTTTTTATAAAAAACAGGTTAGTGATAATAATACTTTATGTTTCTAGATTTTAACTTTTCAAAAGTTGCATCTGTTTACCATGTTCATGGGTTGTAGTTTTGACGTTTAGACAAAGTTTTCAATAATTATCCCCACTACTGATTGATTTTAGATAAACTAGAAATCCTGAAATTAAAGGTCTTTATCTAAGTTCTTCAACAGTAGATTTTAACTGAAATCAACGGGTGCAACTGCATTTGATAGGTAACTTAAAGCACGGAAACGTGGTTAGTGTTGATAGATTAAAGGCTTAGGATTTTAACACTAACAATCGATTGACCTATTAAATAATGTCTGAAGGCTAGGAGATGAATTTTGGGATCTAATAAATATGTACGAAACAAATATGGTGGGTTCTTAACATAAAACAACTTACCAACTCTTGTACATAGATGTTTTTCTTTATCAGGAGTTTGATGATTTCGTCAATGTATATCCTACCTCCAAAATCTTTTCCTCATTTCCTCCTCATTTGGAAGCTGATTCGTTCACTCTCACAGTAGGCTGTTTCTGCTGATAATCAGCAAACGAAAATTAAGTATCTTGGGCAGACAATTGTTTAGAAACACTTGTACAATTTTGTTGGTGGTTGTGGTAGTTCTCTAAGTTCCGACTTCTTACAATAGAACTGTCTCGACATTCGTACTGAAGATTCATACTTTGATATTGGTTGACAGTTGTTTTGAGTTCCATATGTTCTTCACTTGTAGTAATGCTTCCCTTGGTTTGCCAATCCTTGACTTTACGTCTGTATCAGATCCTCCACGTTCATAGATGATGCTGATCAGCCAAGTCTGCACCTCTTCCAGAGTTGATGTTCTCCATGTTTTATTTGAGGATCTTGCTTTTTCCCTCGTGCATATTGAGGCCTTCTGATGCAGAGGCTGATGCAACACTAGTTGTCTTCACCTGCATTTGTTCATGTGTATGTGATCGAAGGGTCATGTCATCTGTAAAGTCTAAATCGTCTATTTGTTTATAATCTATCGATTGTATTCCGTGCTTCACCTCAGAAGTGGAGGTCTTCATAATCCAATCAGACGTCAGAAGAAAGAAGGGAGAGAGTAAGCTACCCTATCTGACTCCGTTCTTCAATTCGAATGTGTTTGCCAGCTGTTCTGCATTCACGACTTTGCACTGTAGTCCATCGTGTGAATTCCGTATGATGTTGATGATTTTCTCAGGTACACCACAGTGTCGAAGTAGTTTCCAAAACGTTCTCTTATCCACACTGTCAAACGCCTTCTCTTAATCATGGAAGTTGATGTATACTGACGATTTCCACTCAATTGACCATTCAACGATGATCCATAGTTTCACAATTCGGTCTGTGCACGACCGATCCTTACGTAATTCAGTTCGTTGAGATCGAATTTTTCATCCAGTTCAGCAACATTATTGAAAACCTTTCCTGGTACCGACAGTATTGTGATGTCTCTGTAGTTCTCATACCTCAGATCCTTCGTTGGTATCTTGATGAGGTGTCCTTCTTTCCAGTCTCTCAGTGGCAGTCGTTCCCTCTCCCAAATTTTCCTGAATAAAATTTGGAGCATGTTAGCACTTGTTTGTGTATGTGGCTTCTGTCAAAGAAACGAATTTTTCTATAATCATTCTCCTGAAGTACACCTTATCAAAGATTTATTCACCTGACTTCCCAGTAATCAATCTCTTGATAGATTAAGTTGTTGACCTAAATGACGAATATAATGTAGTTTTATTTAGTGAAGAGGATATAAAAATGAAGTATTCTAAACACCTTGAAAAACGATGCAAGAGTGTTCGAAGTAGGAGTTTTTATTCTCAGTGAAAACGTTTTCCTCTAAAATCATCTTCACTTATGCCTAGTCTAATTATAGTTGAAGAAATCATCAAACATGCTAAGTTTCGGCAGACGTGACTGGCGTATACCTGATTAAATCTTTGCATGAATTGAAAATGTTCCCTTGGTTTCTGAAATCATGCACCATCTATAGATTATGTTATTTTATGAAGTCATAAACTCTTTATCTGAACTGTATCATTATCGGAGTAAGTTTTTCACGATATTCGTAATCAATCATATTTTCGATGTTTCGGTTGTTTTTTTCAAAAATACATATACACACTATTATGACTTTGTATCAGACTAATTAAAAGTCGAAAGTTATTATTCATGTGAAAATTAGATGTTGCTAAGGTAAACAGCTGATTGATGCATAGATGATTCTTGACAGAAGTTGAAAGAGGTTTCATCTTTGCTATCATCACTTTACCAACGAATCAGAGCAAAAAATTATAAACTTAATAATTTAAAGCAATTAGTCCCTTTTATAAATTTCGATAGAACAATGAGAAGATGGAGTTGATCTGAAAAATGTTAGAAAATTGGAATCAAGAGTGAAGTCCAATCTATTAAAGCTTTTGAAAATGAACGTCATAAACAACGAGGAGTTTAATATACTAAAACCGTCGGGTTCAGTTCTCCCGAATTTATATGGATTACCTAAAATTCATAAACCTAATATTCCATTACGACCAATTTTGTCTATGCGTGGTTCTCCCACACACGAGCTAGCTAAATGGTTAGTAAAACTGTTAAATCCAATTCGTACTAATCTATGTAAGTTCTCTTTAAAAAACACATTTGAACTAATTGACCATCTTGGTGACATTAATATTAAAGATAAATCTTTGCATTCATTTGATGTAAACTGCCTCTTCACGAATGTACCATTAACCAAGACGGTGGATTTCCTTTGTGACTATATTTCAAAAAACTTTCCCCTTTTTCCTATTCCGTTACCATTTTTAAAAGAATTACTTTTATTATCTACAGCTAATGTTCAATTTACGTTTGATGGTGAATATTTTCGACAAGTTGATGGTGTAGCTATGGGTAGCCCTTTAGGGCCTCTCTTAGCTGAGGTATTCATGTCATATGTGGAAAATATGACGAGCGACCTTATTAGTGAGACAACTCTATATAGAAGATGCGTGGATGATATTCTAATTATATGTGATAAAGATTTTGATGTTTACCGATTATTGGATAAACTCAATGGTGTTCAAAACGATATTGTGATGACACATGAATTAGAAAGTAATGGCCAATTAGCCTTTCTAGACATACTTTTAAGTCGAAGGGATGATGGCACTATTAGACGGTCAGTGTGTAGGAAACCAACTTGGACGGGACGATACTTAAATTTCCATAGTTTCTGTCCATTGCAATACAAGAGAGGTCTGATTAAGTGCCTCTTTAAGAGGACTCGAAGAATATGTACCTCTGACATGGTGGAAAAAGATGAAAAGTTACTGACTGACACATTAATACCAAATGGTTATCCACTCAAGTTTATTAATAGGTGCAAAAGTCAGTTAATACCAAGACCTCTAATTTATTCAGTGCCAAAGAAAAATGTTTATATCAATCTACCATATAGAGGCGAATCTAACAGTATAGTTTTAAGGCAGAGATTGAAAGCAGCTATGGAGAATACGTATTATGCTGTTCAGTTGGTAGTGATTGAAAAGTCTAAGGCCATGATTCCTAATAGACCCAAATAATGCACTAATGATTACGTCACATCCGATTATATTTACCAATTTACATGTTTGTGTGGACACACATACGTGGGGAGGAGTAATCGAACAATGCAATCAAGGATCAATGAACATGTGCCTAGATGACTTCAAAATCAATGTATTTCAAATGATCCGATCAATGTAGGAGGTAGAAAACCAAGCTCATCGATAGCAAAACATACAATTGAGACGGGGCACAAAATTCACATTAATACAGCATTTATTAATTTTCATATAAAAAAATGCCTTAACAAGTATATGTGTGTGACCAGATTGTTCGAAATGTATAGCGCTAATACATCACATTTTTCAGATCAACTCCGTCTTCTCATTGTTCTATCGAAACTTAATAATGTTTAGAATATTTTAGAATATTCAATGATTGTTGCTTAGTGAAGTAATGACAAAAGTGTCTCATATGATTTACATATTATTTACATTTATTTTTGTCGCCAACAGAAAAGGGAACAGATATCTGTTGTATGATCTACAAATAACTTCATCCAAATAACTTTATCCAACCACTATACCTTAATATTGGATAATACTCGTTACATTTAGATATCTGAATAGAATACTTTGGTCAATAATGAATTAATAAGTAGATATATATTTTATTCAATCATTTAAAACTGGATTCATTCTATATTCGGGGGATTTTTTTTGTGTGTGTGTTTCATATGAAGTTAAAATAATCTTCAACAATGAGATGGTGGATAAGATTTGTAGCTCAGGTGGATGATTTTGGTGGGATTTTGTTCTCTAAACTGAACGATGAAAGCTCCACGACCAAACCATCCAGCTCAGAGAACAAAACTCCACCAAAATATCTTCGACAATTTTGTTTGTTTGTTTTTTGTTTTGCATTGAGCACTTGATTAGAAATTTTATCAAGATCTTTTGTCATTTCATCTTGGTATTCTTGTTTTTTTTAAAAAAAAAAAATACTTCTCACCCTATTTCTAGCTTCTTTTTATTGTTTCCAGGGGGAGAATCGTTTTTTTCTTTTGTTTATTTTAGATATATATCGGTATTTATTGTTTTCTAGATGTGTCACTAACTGTCCAACTAAACACACATACACACACACACATAAATAAAATGCTTAGAATAACCCTAAAACAATGTCATTAAAAAAAAGTTCTGTTTTTCATTCTCCTGGAAACAAAAAAAATTGTTTATTTACATTTTCCTTTTATGGTAAACAATCTATGGTTCATAATTAGACTAAACTAAGAGAAACTAAAGTTTTCGTTTACTGATTCAGAATAGATTCACTTTTCAAATGTTTTATGATCTTCTTTTTTTTTTTTTAGTTTTTGATTCTTCATTTACCGATTGACTATTTTCATTGACAACTTGTATACAAACACTTACTCAATAACTAAGCATTTTTAGTTTTGTTGTCAATAATGAGGGAAAGTGATAGTTGATCTCTAGGGTGTCATCTTTCATAAATCATTATATGATTACTAATTTTATCGGTAAAACTAACATCATGGATTTTATCTAATTGTTAATTCGGAATATAAATAAATTTTATGTTTTTATGATTAATCACTTGTTTACTTCTATGTACTTGTGTCAATAAACAAAATAATAAACTTTTTACTAGTAGTAGAGGTTGTGGAGATTAGTACGTTTTTAATTGAGATCATGAACCTCTATACTAGTTAATTAACATGTGCTCACTAGTGACTAGTGAGGGAATTCTCGGAGTTCAAGTGAGAAGCCGTGACCAGTGGAGCTAATCCTTGTCGGGTAGAGACAGTTATCTACTTAAGTACAATGGAAGTTGGTCGCGCAATTTCGTGGATTGGTTGATGTTAGAAACTATCACCATTGGATGCCGGCTCAGTGGTCCAGTTGGTTAAGCGTTCGCGCGCGAGACCGAAGGCCCTGGGTTCGAATCCCGCTCGCGGGATCGTGGATGCGCACTGCTGAGGAGTCCCACAATAGGACGAAACGGCCGTCCAGTGCTTCCAGGTTTTCAATCGTGATGGTCTAACATCAATTGGTTCAAGATCTCAATCAAAACTTAATAATCTCCACAACCCCTACACTACAGTTCTATTTATCAAAACATCAATTAGAAAAGTTAGTTCGTATATGTGTGGAGATGTATACAACTTTTGATATGTGATGTAAATCTTTAGACCTAATCAGGCTCATCCCCATTCTATTTAGCATTCTAAAGTATAATTACATCATTGTGATATTACTGGTTTTAATGTTTTCACAATGGTATTTACATGCTAAACGTTGAAAGCATAGAACAGTGATAGATTAGATTAGATAGATTAGATCAGTACATTTATTTTGCATACTGATGTGATCTTAATTGTAAATTGTAAATTTCAATGGTTAATATCATGAGTCAGTTGAAGCTAGACCACCATGGAAAACCTGAAAAACTTGGAAACCTGAACGGCCGTTTCGTCTCAGCATGAGACTCCTCAGCAGTGCGCATCCACGACCTCACCACCTGCGAGATTCGAACCCAGGGCCTACTGGTTTCGCGCACGAGGTTTTCCATGGTGGTCTAGCTTCAACTGACTCATGATCTTAACCATTGAAATTACTATAATCTCCACAAAAAACCCATCTGAAATTGTAACTTATTATTTCAAATATTAAATAGAATTGTGTTTTAAAAAGCAAAAAGGCCTTTGAGCAAATTCCACTCTCTATATTTTACAGTTTTACATCTATAAATATTCTTTTGCAATAGTCCATGTAAATTATAAGTAACATGTAGGCTTGATAATGAATAAACTGATTTATTTCTAAATGGAATAATAGTGAAGTCATATAGTTTTTCGTGGAGTTTTGTTCTATGAGCTGGATGGTTTGATCGTGTAGCTTTCATCGTTCTTCTGAATGACATCATCACCAGCACAAACTTCAGATAGAAGTGAAGTGTCCGAATTTCTCCATATGTGTTTCACAGCTTGTTCTGTGCACCTCGACGTTGATCGAGGTGCATCATCCAGCTGAGCTCCATCATCTCGAAGTCATATAGTTTTTTATTATATTTTCTATTTGAATAGTAGTTTATTGATTTTAAAATTAAAAGAGAACGATTTTGTTACAGTAGGATAAATGAATTCAGCGGACTTACAATCGTGAAAATGAAGCTGGTGAGAGAAAAATATTTGAGGAAAAAACTAATATTATTAGTGCTATTAACGACACTGATTATAAATGGAAACTAATAATAACAAATAGGAGAATATAGTATTCCGTATAGAAGAACAAATGCAGAAATAACACCAAGAAATGTTTAAAAGATTTGACAGTGTAAATCAGTCAAACATAACCTCCTATCAATTCATTCGATGTTGTTTGCTTGTATCTTACCATTGTTGTTTAGGACTGCGATCGATCAGTCACTTGTTAGCATATGTGCATCTTGTGCGGATTGCCTCAATATTGCCTTAAGTCAAAAGCATTATAAGCAAAGATGGATAGTGGCTAGCAGCGGGATCCAGGACGTGCGTTTCGCCCTATTTAGGACTCGTCAGCTGAATGTGCCTGCATCTCAGGGATTCGAAGCCAGTACCGTCCGCTTCATACGTCATCACGTTATCCACTTAGCTGCTGGGAAGATTCAAGTAAACAATACCAAGTAAATTTAAACTTCACCCGATTGTACAAGCAAGTGGCTAACTAGATAACACGATGGAATTTGAAGCGAATGGTACTAAGTTTGAGTCCCACGGTGAACATCGACTCTGAGATGCAGGTACATCCAGCTGACGAGTCCCAAATGGGACGAATTGCGCGTCTTGAATTCCACTGCTAGCCACCATCCATCTTTGCTTATAAACTCCTGTAGTTGCCTCAATCTAAACTTACTGATTTGATACAAGTCTTTCTGATACAAAAATAGATTTTCCAATTAGATTTCGGCGGAACTTGATCCCAACTGTTTAAAGATCCCCAACATTATTATATGTATGAAGAATATTGTTTCCAATACATTCTTTACAAGTTTTACAGCTATATATATTCAAATGTATAATCCGAAAAGTGGTCAGGTTTATGCCAAATGCATAGTTAGTATGTGTATTCAGGATTGTTTATAGATTAAACATTGCTAATATTCAAATAATTAATATTCATTGTTACCTTGAACAGGCTCATAAGTTAGATGAATTTATTCGATTCATTAACAGAATAAATGCAGCATGGCCTGCATTAATACTTGTATATTTGTTTGCGCTTGGATGAGCTGAACAAGTCTCTTATGATATTTAACTGTCTAATATAACCAAATACAAACAACATAATTGTCAACTAAACAAAGCACGTTATTTATACGAATCTAGGAAGTTGGAATAATCCATTTACGATGAAATTATAATTTATTCAATTCAGAAAATGTTTATCATCAAACTTCGATAATTAGCGAGTTTACAACTAATTGATCACTGGATTTAGGTTTCGTGTTGTTTGGCAAGGTTTACCTGTAATCTGGAGACAACTGGTGTTTCCTGAAGGACCCAATCTTCTGTCACACAGCTTCACAGTTAGAGACGTTAGCACAGAGATATCCATGCCACGTTTAACCTCATTATAGTGCACTCGATGTGGAGTTACTTAGATTAGTGACTGCATTGGAACTTGATCGACAAAATTCAATCCGCACTAAGGAGGACCTGACACACGTGACAATGGTCATCACACAATGGTCAACCAATTTTAAATAAAACTCAGTCCTGCAGGAGGTCAGTCGTGCCTCGGACAGCTCATTGATAACATCTCTGACTATGAAGCTGGGTGACAGGAGATCGACTCCGTCAAAGAGCATCAGATCCCTCATGATTACGGGTACGCTCTACTGACGAGTGTCAAATGGCAGGAAACCTTGGTCCAGTGTTTCTTGCTCATTAGCATCTCAACTAGCTACTTTCTTTAATATGCCATCTAGCAGTATGAACAAAGGTCCTTCAGTCTAAATATTCGCAATTCATTGGTCTTTATCAGATCAAATGTATTTTTATATCTTATTTTAGATATATCACACTACTTGATGAAGCTCGCACACTAGTGGATTCAACTAAAGATTTAATAGCACTTCGAGAGAATATGCAACAAATTCAAACGGTATGTATCATAGGATTATGCTAGTTGTAAATAAATCATTGTTATTAGTCAAATATTACGTAAGACTTATATTATCTAATATGTTTCATGTTTTTGTAACTACTCCAAAGAGACAAGTTAACAATATTATATTAGTTATGTTCAGCTGGTTAATTTGAGATGAGATTCTAGTGAATGAGGTTTTGAAGAAAATTATTTACTGAGTAGTTAAACAATCAGCAAAACATTCAAATCCCTCTTCCGAATAACAAATACCGGAAAATGTAGCGAATTCATTCTATATCGTGAACTTACAGCCTTCCATAGAGGCGCCTAATGTATAAATGTATTCTTGTTTTTGAATGTTATCTATAGAAATTTATTTGACAATAATTTATCTAGTGACTGATTTCAGGAGATACTCCTGGAGTTCTAGTGAGAAGCCGTTATCACTGGAGTTCAACCAGATCTGTTGTGAGATATCAGCTCACTGAAGACAATGGTGTACGGTGGCGCAAATTCTTGGATTTTTTGAAGTTAGACATTAACACCGATGGATGCCAGCTGGCTCAGTGGTCTAATGGTTAAGTGCTAGCGCGCGAAACCAGCAGCTCGAGGGTTCGAATCCCGGGGGTTGCGGGATCGTGGATGAGCACTACTGACGAGTCCCATACTAGGACGAAACGGCTTTCCAGTGCTTCCAGGTTTTCCATGGTGGTCTAGCTTCAACTGACTCATGATTTCAACAAGTGAAATTTCCAAAAACCTCCACAAAACCCATTCTGATAATAATTTATCTAACTAGTACAGATATAAGTAGAGATTATTTCGTTATAATTATGAGACATTATCTTTAATAAATAAAATAATTTCATAGTATAAATGTAGTGAACGAGAACACAAATCTTGACAATCAAACAGAATTTATTGCTAAAACATGAGAACCATACAGTAAATACTTCGTTTGCAAAATGTCAATCAATTGTCACAGACTTGATTGTTCCTTCGTTTCCACAGCAATCATTCTCTATTCTCATTTACTTTCTTCGATCTTCCTTAACCTGATATCAGGCTTTTCACTTTCGATCAGTAATACACACTACTTATATTTGTCAACATCAGTAGCACATACCACACAAATATTCTTCTTATTCAAAGGCATTTTACGCTGGCTATTTGTCCAAATTGAACCAATATACAGGTCTTAAATTTCGGCATGAAATTCACTCGCCCATTTGGCTAAATAGAGTTTTGGCATTATAGCTGATGTCAATTCATGATTAAAACTCTAAATCGAATTTCTAACCTTAACCAGCAACCCTCATTTGGTCCTAATTATCAGGTGGACACTCTCAAGGTGACCATACCGTCTCTCAAATTGATTATTGTCTTATCCCAAGATACTAATATACCAGACTAAAGCTAATAAATGTCAACATTCTAGTTTTGTACTTCTGGAACTCGTCGGAACGAATGTTTTCTTTTGTCTAAAATATTTACGGATCAAATTTGAATGATACATCTAAATCAGAAATTGTTCTTCTTGGTGAATAAATTAAATGAGTAAATATAAACTTCTCAAAATAATCTCAATGTCAAAATATTTGTTGTATATCAAAAACAAATGACGATGTTTATTCAATCTTATTTACAATGAAGGCGGGGGGGGGGTGTTCATGAAAGTAGATATGAGTTTCCTTTCACTTCTTTACTCTTATGTCATAATGATTTGGCATGAAGGTGGATAAGCTTAATTGAGGGAAATTTGTGGGACAATTTGTACATTTGTTAATCTAATGACCTATCTTTTGAAAGTGATTAGTTTGTCCACTTTTTTTTATTTATATGGATCACTTGTGCTTGTGTAAAAAAAACTATGATATGATATTGCTGAAAGTGTATGTATTTCAGTTTATCCTACCAATGTTACCAATGGATATGATATTCGATTTAGACAGATAGATAGGTGCATATATCCACATACAAATATCTATGATTAGTGTAACTTTTATGAAGATAAAAAGTTATAAACTGGCCAGCATTATCACACAAATCCAAAAAAACTTTTAAGGTCAAAATAAAATGATGTTTGTTTATTATTTCGTGTTATCTAACAATGTTATTCATGTTATCATTATTCTATACTCATTCTCTATCCATTTATCTTAATAATCTATATTACAAGAAGCATGAAAATTCAATTTATCTAAAATAGAAACTATTTATAACGATGAATCGGATCAAATGACTGTTAATGCTGATGTTAATTGAATAGTCTGAATAATCAGTGATAACAATTATCATTCATTCTGAATTCAATGAGCTTGATGTTTCTATGGAAATCGAGAGTTAATCTTTTTATTAATAATGAGTTGTTTCCCAACTTCTGTCCCCCCCAAAAAATTTCCCCTTTTCTTTCCAGTTAATTTAGATAAAGATATTGATGATAAGCTTTCATTAATCGATTGTTTCTGGAAATTTTATTTACGATTTTCATTGAATATTTCTCAGTAGATGTTTGCTTTATATTTTTTGTCTTGACAACGCAAACAATTTAGTCGCTTTCAGGTGGAACACTTTTTTTGGTTTTATGAATACTTAAGAGTTAGAATGAAGTAAATACTCACTTTTATCTGGATTCAAGTGAATCGTTTACTGATTTTATCTAGACATGCATTTAAAAAATGGAAATCACCGAAAGGCTTTTTTGTCCTAATATTGAACTCATCAATTTTGCCCAACTGACCCTGTTAACATCTTCATGAAGAACTCATCATCTTAGGAATACCAAGCTGTTAGTCAGTGGTTCACGATTCTGAAGTAACGAGTTACTAACCAAAAACATCCAAGTTCTTCAGGAAATGATTTTTCATTGCACTACGCCACCTAATCGGAATCAATAACCAGCTATTTTCATTTGTACGCATGATAAAAGTATTTCGTGATAATATTTTATTTATTCGCTTGTCAAAATTAATTGGTAACTGATATCTGAGACATTATACAAGAATAGAAGGATAAAGAGTGCTTATGTTTAGTCACTTGTTATTTTGGTATGTTCATGAATTTACTGTATATCAACATGTTTTATTTAGCTTCAAGAATGGCTTATAGAAAAGAAAGAACTTGTTGAAGAATATGATCAAGCAGGTAAACTATCAAATATGAGTTCATTGGTACCATACAAAGTATTCGTCAGTAAACAATATACACAACATCGTGTACTTGAAAGTGAAATTGAATCTAATAATGATCGTATTGAACAGGTTTTCCAAGTATGTTTTATTGCAGAATATTAAATGACTGCTAGATTGATGAAATGTCTAATTGATGTGTCTGTTGTCAATTGTTGTAAAAAATAATTTTACATCAATGATTTACATTTATATGCATATATAATTTTGTAGCTCGAAGTTGAACTACTGAATGACATACTCAGATTTCACATTTTACAAAGTTAACTTGTTCCTTTAAGTTTTGAGGGCGAGACTAAAATTTATGGACAAACCAATCAGATATAAGATAACGAGCCACGAATTTTGGTGCGAAATTCATCCATACATTTAGCTAAATAAAGTTTTGGCATTATAGCTGATGTCAATTCGTGATGAAAACCCTAAATCTAATTTTTAATTCTAATCACCAACTGTAAATGAGAATTCTAACGGCTCTATAACCTTCATTTAGTCCTAATCAGTAGGTGTCCACCCTCAGGGTCACTTCAGTGTCGCTCAAAGGTCGTTCATAAATTATAATCTCAACGTTTTCAGTTCCAGTAGTTCGAAGGTATTGATATTGAACAGTTGCATAATTTCACTTATAAACTCTCCAGTATAACATTCCTACAATCAGTTCTTAGGTAAGGTTTCTAACAGGATGAATTGTTTTCAAGTGAATTGGAAGTTATGAGTTATGAAATTCAACTACTTTTGATAAGTTTCACAAAAATTTCAAAGTTTGTTCAGTGATTTGCGCAAAATATGTCTGTTTCAAGTGTGTTATCTGCCATTGTATTGCAAAACAGTTTAGCCCGAGTTCCATGCTAAACATGATGAGTTCTATAAATTTAGTGCTTATTCTAAAGAATTTACACTCTTGTTTTAATTATAACAATCATTGTTGCTGATTTTTTTCCTATATCATCAATTCTAATCGACAAAACGCACGAAATGATTGAAACGACGTTTTTTACAACCCAAAGATAAAATCGGAAAAGTATACTTAAATAATTTGTCGACATTTATTACTTATATAAGGTTACGGTTTTGACAAGATTACTAACAGTACAGGGGGTGTGGAGATTGTTAAGTTTTTGATTGAGATCATGAACCGATTGATGTTAGGCCACCGTTGGAAACCTGGAAGCACTGGGGGCCGTTTCGTCTTATCGTGTGACTCTTCAGTAGTGCGTATCGACGGTCCCGCTCCCCGCGAGATTCGAACCCGGTGCCTACGGTCTCGCGCTCTGACGCTTAACCAACTAGACCACTGAGCTGGCATCCAGTGGCGATAGTGTCTAACATCAACCAATCAACGTAATTGTGCGACCAACTTCCATTGTACTGAGGTAGATACCTGGGTTCGAATCCCGCGAGCGGCCTCGTGGATACGCGCCGCTGAGGAGTACCACAATAGGACGAAACAGCTCTCCAGTGCTTCCAGGTTTCTAACGGTGGTCTAACATCAATCGGTTCATGATCTCAATCAAGATTACTATCGTTGTACTTTTCAATGATAAATTAGATACACATTTATGCCATTTGAAACAAACTCTATGTAGTTACCAAAGATTAATTTACCGTTTAATTCCTTCAGTGATTGTATGAAAAGAAGAAAAACTCTCTGAAGGATAAATATCACTGTTAGTAAAATAAAATTATTTTTTTTAGTTTTCTTAACTATTCATCTAATAGTCATGACGATTACTTGAAGCGTTTAGAAGAGTATTTACTTACAAAACAAAAAACCCACGTAAAAATAACATTCAAGATAGATGATGATTTTGCCGGTTAAAAACTATTGAGAAACTGCGTATTTATGAATACTTGGCTTAAAAATGCTTACTAGATAAGTATTTCAAGAGTAAAGTCAACAACAGTTTTTTTGCCCTTGTAAGTTGTTTTATGTGTGTGTGTGTGTTCTCCCTTCCTCTTCTTATGGTGGTCGACTGGATTATGAAGACCTCGACATATGAGGGAAAACACGGAATACAATGGACAGCTCAGAACCAATTAGACGATTTGGACTACTCAGATGACCTAGCTCTTCTATCTCATACACACGAACAGATGCAGACAAAGACAGCCAGTGTGGCAGCAGTCTCTGCATCAGTAGGCCTCAGCATACACAAAGGGAAAACCAAGGTCCTCAGATTCAAGGAGGAGAACAGCAATCCAATCACTCTTGATGGCGAAACTCTGGAAGATGTAGAGTCCTTCACATACATGGAAGCATCATCGATGAACAAGGAGGCTCAGATGCAGATGTAAAGGCAAGAATTGGCAAAGCAAGGGTTGCATTTCTACAATCGAAGAACATATGGAACTCAAAACAAATTTCAATCAATATCAAAGTGAGAATCTTCAACACCAACGTCAATGTAGTTCTACTGTACGGAGCTGAAACTTGGAGAACTACAACAACCACTATCAAGAAAGTACAAGTATTTATAAATAGCTGTCTTCGCAAAATACTCATCATCCATTGACCGGATACCATCAGCAACAGCCTTTTGTGGGAGAGAACAAACCAACTTCCACCAAAAGAAGAAATTAGGAAAAGACGATGGAAATGGATAGGACATACATTACGCAAACCCTCGAACTGCATCACGAGACAAGCCCTAATTTGGAATCCTGAAGGGAAGCGGAAAAGAGGAAGGTAAAAGAACACATTACGTCGGGAAATAGAAGTAAATATGAAAAGGATGAATAACAACTGGAAAGAGTTGGAAAGGATTGGTTGAGACATGGTTGGAGTGAGAATGCTGGTGAGCGGCCTATGCTTCTTCACGAGGAGTAACAGGCGAGAGTAAGTAAGTAAGTAAGTAAGTAAGTAAGTAAGTAAGTAAGTGTGTGTTCGGTAAACTATGGTGAATCTATAGCGTTTCTTATTGCATGTGCCTATTTTAATGTACCAATGTTATGTTTTCTTAGAAGACATATCAATGAAAAGATGGAAAAGGATCGAATGGTTCACATTACCTAATAGAATTATGTCAGTCAGTGATTTTCATCATTTTAAATCTCCAAAAATTGTACATCATTCTGAAGACAAACTGTATTTGTTAAAAAAATGATTAACGTGTTGAATAATTCTAACAGATAATTATCATCCTTAACTTTTTAACATCTTATTTTGTATAATAGAAACTGATTTATGCTTTTAATGAGCAAGATGATCTCAGTAGTTAAATGTTCATTCTAAAATAGTAAAAATAGATTGTATGGGAGATAATAAAGTTAATGAACGAGGTAGTTCTACTAGTTTCATTAACAAACTATAATGCTATTAGGTTATTTCTTTGAAGCTATCAACCAGTATCACGTGCGCCGAGTTGCCACTCGGAACCTTATTTCTATTTCGGACTGCTATTTACTTTACAGATTAGTGTCTCTGAATTGAACGGGTACTAACTCAACCAGCACTAATGTGGTCGACTCGACAGTCATGTTCCTATTACTTCACTATTCGCTTACGTCTCTCTATGCCCAGGCTTATATCCGGAAGTAGCAATCAGCTTGTATTGAATTTATTCTGTAACAATTGTAGTTCATATTCAAGCATACCAGAGCACATGGCACTATAAAACTAAATATAATAACTATACATGAACAATTCAAAGTGTCTTTGAATAGGAAAGACTGTAAATATTCAATTGACAACGAATGAAGAAGATTAAATCGTATATCAGTAGTGAATGAATCAACCGAAAACTTATCATAAATGACCTACTTATTCCTAATAATCGAGTTACTCAAAATTGTATATAAAAATGACAATCAATGATCATTCGAAAAACTAGTCTCAATTTCAACAAGGTTCTTTTTTTTTAATTAGAATGTAGTCAATACCATTGTACAATATCCACGTATTGCGGATCAATTGAGTGAATCACTTGGTAATTTAATGATACTATGGGAGAGTTTACGTAAATTGATACGGGAAAGAGGTGATTATATGGTTCAGTTACACAGGGGTATGTTAACTTTGTATCTGGTTGCATTATATATTAGTTAATTCTGAACCTGGTTGTATCGTTTAATTGAATATCTTCCTTTTCATTCATTATAATGAACACTCAATTCCGAATATAATGAAGTCAGTTTCTTTTGAGGTTATGTGTAAAATCATATACGGTATGTTTTAAGAAAGAAATATTGTTTGTTATAGAATATATTCTTCAATTAGTTGGGATTACACATTCGAATGTCATAGAGCATAATAAATATCGAACTTGCAAAACATTTTCAAGAAGCATCTAAATACAAAATGCTGATCAATTTTTATCGAAAACTGAATACTTGACATTTGGATTTTTGCTTTTCAACCCCTAACCTAAATATACCGAAAACACTTGGTCACAATGTGACAATCAGAAGTTTAGTTAAAAAGTTTCAAAGATGTTTTCATTTCACAATTACGTACTTACTTACTTACTTACTTACTTACTTACTTACTTACTTACTTACTTACTTACTTACTTACTTACTTACTTACTTACTTACTTACTTATTACTACTTACTTACTTACTTACTTACCTACTTACTTACTTACTTACGCCTGCTACTCCTAATGGAGCATAGGCCGCCGACCAGCATTCTCCAACCCACTCTGTGCTCCGCCTTCTTTTCTAGCTCCATCCAATTCTTGTTCATTTGGTCTTCCTCTTCTCCTTTGGCCTTGAGAATTCCATGTGAGGGCTTGTCTTGTGACACAGTTGGGTGCTTTCCTCAATGTGTGTTCTATCCACTTCTAGCTCTTCTTCCTAATTTCTTACTCCGCTGGAATCTGAATTGTTCTCTCCCACAGTAGGTTCTTGCTGATCGTGTCTGGCCCATGGATAAGAAGTATTTTGCGTAGACAACTGTTAATAAACACCTGTATCTTCTGGATGATGGCTTTCGTAGTTCTTCAGGTTTCTGCCCCATACAGTAGAACTGTCTTGACATTTGTATTGAAAATGTTGACTTTGGTGTTGGTTGACAGACAGTTGTTTTGAGTTGCAGATGTTCTTCAGTTGTAAATATGCTGCTCTTCCTTTATCGATCCGCGACTTCACTGATTCATTAGCAATATTTAAATAGTAAACTATTCATTCATGTAAATTTAAAGTTAGTTATGATTTTCTAGTATAAAACTATTTTCACTGTTTATAAACTTATTTTATTACATGAATACGATTGAACTAATGGAATATAGACATTAAGATCTAATATGTTGAGAATTAACTTGTCCTGGATTCCACTACTACCCACTATCCATCATTGCTTACAAATAGCTTGTCAATTAAGGCTATATCGAGGCAATACGCACAGTATGCACATATGCCAATAACAGACTGATCAATTACAGTTTTAAACCTTAATGGGAAGATACAAGCCAAACAATACCAAGTGAACTAACTTGTTTATAGTTTGTACTAATGCATTAGTAGTAATACAAATAATTTACAGATTTTCATAATCAATCATTGAAAAAAAAGTTATACTAACGATCAATGTTGTTCTGGATCCTTCAGCATTCTTTACTTGAATGTTCTGTAATATTTTTTTGACGCGATAATGAGCATGAGCATTTCAACAAAGAGTAGGTTTAAACGAAATAAATAAAATGATTAGAATTATAACTATGTAATACGTTATGCATGAATAGTCAATTTAAGTGTACTCTATTAGTGAAAGAGAGGTGAGATAAATCAATGTAACAATAAACTAATCAGAAATTTTTGTAATACACTAATTGAATTTCTGACGTTTCTCTCGACTAAGTTGTTTCTATGGTGAATATATGACCAAATGAAAATAACAACACCAAAAAAATTAAATTGTACAATAGTAATACGGTACAATATATAGACAGTCCTAGAAATTCAAACCATAGTGGTGATACTTATAAACAAGAGTTTGGAAAGAATGATTGAATAACCTATTAAGTTTTTTGTCATTCATTAACGGATACATTTGTTTCAAGCTTATTTTAAATACAACAAAGTCTTATCTGTTACATGATTAATTAAATAGATTGAAAAGGTGCTTCTATTTGAGCATTTTGCCAATCACTTGGGGAAATTTACGCTTACTTGTGTAACATTGACTGAGTTGATGTTTCCTGTTATTCGTCATACAATTTGATTTGCGGAAACAATGATAAACAGTGATACTTCTGAAAACAATTGTGTTTTCATTTATTATCAGAATGAGTTTTGTGGAGATTTTAGTAAATTTCACAGGTTGAAATCATGAGTCAGTTGAAGCTAGACCACCATTGAAAACCTGGAAGCACTGGACGGTCGTTTCGTCCTAGTATGGGACTCCTCGTGGATGCGCACTGCTGAGGAGTCCCACACTAGGACGAAACGGCCGTCCAGTGCTTCCAGGTTTTCAATGGTGGTCTAGCTTCAACTGACTCATGATTTTCATTTATTGTTAGTTCTTTTTTTTACCCGTTTAGCTCTAACAGAATCTAATTGTTACAACTATCACTAGATTGATTAACACGGCACAAATTATGATTTGCAGATCACTTATACGAAAAAGCATTTGTTACATTGCACTTCCATGTTCAAGTTCATTTCAATAACAAAGTGTATAAAGATAGAACTATGATGAGATCACTGTTGAATCCACTTCTGGTGAATCATTTTATGATTAAATTTGAGAGAACATTCAATTAGTTTTTACGAATCAAACTCCGTTTTCCATGTGTAAAACGAAAAGTTACTCGCCTGACTGTCCTAATTTGCTCTACGTGTTCACCTCCTACTCTAAATTAAGATAAATTATCAATAGTCAGTGTTAACTTCTGAAAAAATTATAACAACTAATTCCAGTTTAATTTAGCTTATTCTAGACTAGGTATATATATATATGCTGCTAAGAAATTCTCTGACCATAAATCATCTCTGAATAGAAATTTGATGAAACTAAATAACTTGCTGGATGATATGAATCAAACATGCTTCAGCATGCATAAAATGAGGATAAATAAATACATTAACTGTCAGCATTGGGTTGTGGAGATTGTTGAATCGATCAATGTCAGATCACCACTGAAAACCTGGAAGTACTGGAGCGCCGTTTGGTCCCATTACTTTGAAGTGAGGACCTATGACCCGCTGGAAACAACCGTTCACTGTTTACAGGTTTTTAAGGGTGGTCTAGCATTGATCGGTTCATGATTTCAATGCTATTGTCTTGACCAAGCTAAATTAAATAAAATAAAATATGAAGTGATGTTAAGGTTTATTTATTCATCCCTAATTGCTATTAGACTGCTAATTGTATTCCATCTTCTGTACTTATAATGTCTAGGTATTCAATAATTTTGATGTTTGATTATAGTTCCTTGAAAATGCTTGAACCAAATTGTCGAGCAAAACTTTGGATTTACCCATAGTTTAATCACTGAAAGTTTTATAAATCTAATTCTCTTCCATTAAATCCCCATGTACTTTTAGAGAGCAACTTTGAACTTGCATCCGAACTTTTTCCAACTTTACATTCAAATTCACTCAATAAACATCCATTATATAATGTATCGAATCAGGTAATACTCATATCACTGTACGTTATGAAGTAATAAGACTCACTACTAACACTTGAATATATACAGCAAAATATGTTTAAGCCAACCTATTTATTGTGCAAACTAGAGATTCTCAGATAGTGTTTAAAAACAAAGAAAGATTTCCAAGTGATTAAGTATTTATGAATCAACTAACCTTGGGAACGCAAACTTCTAAATCCATAAATACGTAATATAACAGCCAACGTAAGGCATCCATATGTTGTGGTTTTATCGGAGCATATTTTTTAAATTACTTACGCCTGTTACACCTCGCAAAGGAGCGTCGGTCGCCCACCAACACTACCCACCGAAATCTGTACTGTGGAATCCTTTCCAGTTGTTCCCAGTTGCTATTCATCCTTTTCATGTCTGCTTACAATTCTTGACCAGTGTGTTCTTCGACCTTCCTGTTTTTTGCTTCCGATAGCGCTTGCCTCGTGATGCAGTTTGTGATTCCCTCAATGTATATCCTATCTACCTCCAACGTCGTTTTCTAATTTCCTCGTTCGTTTCTCCCACAGTAGGCTATTGCTAGTGGTATTCGGCGAACGAACACTGGGCATATTGCGTAGACAATTGTTTAAGAACACTTGTATCTTATTGATGATGGTTGTGGTAGTTCTTTAAGTTTGAGCTCCGTACAGTAGAACTGTCTTGACATTTAATTTGTTTAATCTGGTTGGTGTCTTTTAGCGAGATTTTTTTCTACGGAATGGGGTTGACGACCTCACGCTCAACCCTCCTTCTTTACTCGGGCTTGTGATCGACGATAACTCTGAAAGAGCTACAGGCGGAGTTGGATTTTTTATTTAGTAAATTCTAAATAAGAGCAGCAAGATCATGTGAATCGAATAAATATGTTACAGTTTAATTGACTTGATTCATTTAGTTCTTCCAAATTTCAACAATCTAATTAACAATCATTTCGATTTATGTATTGGATACTCAGTTTATTTCATTTCACGTATTACGTAATCGCTTATTAAATATTACCCTACTAACATTTAATCCAATTATAATTATTCTCAAATTTCTATTCGTTCAACAGCCTCATACGAGCATCCTTTCAAACTGTGACAAAAAAGCTGTATGTCGAAATAGAACTAGTCGTTAACTTTAATTTGTGTCTCATTTAAACATAGCCACTTCGTTCATTGTTTGAGCAACAATCATTGGGAGACTAGTAAACGATAAAAACAGAAAGGCAAGAGAATGTGGTGAAGTAAAATACAATGAAATAGTGAGAGTATATTTAGCTGGTGTAACCTTTATAGTGGATCAAACAAGAACTACAGATATGATTTTCTGTATATATGTATTAGGTTTTTAGAATTGATCAGGACGAATTCCATCGTACAATGGAGACATTATCATGGACATTTCACTAGATTACTCATGACCAAATGCAACATCTATAAAGTGTGCTTTAATGATAATAAACTATTCACGAATTGTAATTTCATTCAGATTTTACTGTACGCATAAATTTAGCCTAATCCGAATCCTTATTTAATAGTTGAGTTCAAGAGTCATTTGAAGGTAGGCCACCATAAAAAACCTGGAAGCGCTGGATTGGCGCTTCGTCCCAGTGTGGGACTCCTCAACAGTACACATCCCCGATCCTGTCTCGCAAGATTCCAACCCAGAACTTATTGGGCCGTTGGATGCCAGCTCATTGGTATAGAGGTTAAGCGTCCGTGCGCGAGACCGATAGGTCCTGGTTTCGAATCTCGTGAGCGAGATCATGGATGCGCAGTGCCGAGAATTCTTGCACTAAGACGAAGCGGCCGTCCAGTGATTCCAGGTTTTCCACGATGCTCTATCCTATTTTAAAATCAGTAATTTTATGATAATTATTGTTATCAGAAATCAAATCAAGTTGCTTCATGAGTCAAGTTGTATTATTTCCAAAATACTTTTTATCGAAGAAAATATTCATGATAGAACAAGAGAGCTTTGTGAAAAACTGGTTCAATGCAACATTACAATAACAATAAAATTGCCTTCAAACGTAATGTTACACATTTACAAGCATTTTTAAATGAAAATTTCTAGTGATTGTCATTCTGAACTTTATTCGATTAGTCTGTGACAGAAAATGGGCGCTTTGAATGTTAGATTCGAAAATGTATTTTTTTTTGGCTAAAAGTGAATCAAATTTTAATTGCTAAGCAGTGAAATCTAACAAGATCTGTGCATACTGTGCGTATTGCCTCGATATTGCCTTAATTTACAAGCTTTATAAGCAATGATGGATAGTGGCTAGCAGTGGAATCCAGGAGGTGTGCCAATAACAGACTGATCAATTTCAGTGCTAAACATCAATGGGAAGATTCAAGTAAAACACTACCAAATGAATTCAAATTCACTCCATTGCACAAGCAAGTGGCTATCAGGACTCAGTAGCTGAATGGATGACGCGATGGCGTTTGAAGCGAATGGTACTGAGTCCCAGAGTGAACATCAACTCTCTGACATGGAGGTATATCCAGCTGACGACGAGCCCCCGAATAGGACGAGATGCGCGTCAAACTGATTTCCACTGCTAGCCACTATTCCATCTTTGCTTAAAATGTATTATTGCTAACCAAAAGACAATTGATATCTATGTATGATTAGACTCATGCTGAATCTTATATCACTCTGATCATTACCAATGTAATATTCTTTCTCCTTTTTTTTCTTTAACAATTAGCGATTATATTTGAAGATGGATACAACGAATTAAATCGTTGGTTAGACAAATTTTTTATAGAATTTTTATCTTTTAAATCATTTGATCAATTAAAACAATTCGAAGCATATGCTGAACAAGATCCATCAATAATGGTGGAAAGTTTCATTGAACAATTCACATCAGAATATAATCAGAATATGAAAATGATTGAAGGAACAACAGAATCATCAAGTGACATTATGGAATATCTTATAGAAAATAAGTTTATGAATCAAAATTGGACCAATAAAGCTAATATACCAGGTTGTACTAGTATGAATGAGGTATCTTCTTATTTGAACAAAATGATCGAATGTTTAATCAATATTGATGTAAAGAAAAAACTTCTAGTGGAACTTCATGTAAGATGTAATTTTTGTTTTTTGTGTTTTTTTAGTGTTCGTAAATACGTTTTTTATAAATAGCCCTTGTTTGTAGGCCTTAGATACAAGTATTCAGACGAAATACCATTAACTGACCTTATTCTCAATTATAATAAACATTTCTTTTGTAAAGATTAAATATAAAACTATTAAACTTGTACTTAATTATCATTCCTTCACGGCAGTCCGTTCTGTTTTAATTTACGGCAGCGAAACGTGGCCATTAAGAGTAGAAGACACTCGTAAGCTACTAGTATTTGACCACAGATGCCTTAGAAATATTGCTGGCGTCTGCTGGGATCACCGGGTAAGTAATAGTGAGGTTAGACGCACGGTATTAGGTAATGATGGTAAATCAATTGAAGAGGTTGTGAATCTTCATCGACTGAGATGGTTGGGCCATGTGTTACGTATGCCTGAACACCGATTACTACGACGTGCAATGCTAACTGGTGTAGGGGATGGTTGGAAGAAAGTTAGGAGTGGCCAAACCATAACGTGGTGTCAGTGCTTGAACACACTAACATTTGGTCTTAGCCATGTTGGTAGATGCAGACTACTTGATTGGGGTCCACGTAACTATCGTAACCAATGGTTGAAGACTGTTGATGACATGGCTCATAATCGATCACAATGGCTTCGGTTTATACACTCTCTGTCTTCCTTAAACTAAGAGATTAAAATTGCCTCATATCTTTCTTTCTACAAACTAATTCTTTCTTCCTGTACTATATCCTTATTGCAATCTTTCTTTTATATATTACCACAACTGAATTAACTACTTTTATGAATTCGGTGTTCATCTTGTTGTGTTAATGAGGTATGGCAACTTGGACAGATGCATATATGTGCTTGGTCCTACGTTGTAGCTGACTAATTGACTGATTCCTTCGTGTTAAGCCTTTATGAGAATTTATTATCTGATAACATCATAGTATGTATTAATTTAAACTAATAAGATTTAGAATTACGCAACATTAGCACGCTACATTTCCAATTTTCTGTCAATCTAATATGTCATAGACACTGGATAAACTTTGTGATGATAAGTGGTGTGGCATAAGGAAAATGGTAATGGTTTTGAAGGTTGTAGATGAGAACACTTGTTGTATTTTGTAAGTGTTTGCACTAAATAGTAGTTTACTTAGAAAATCTATCAAAAGATCAGAATTCGCACTCATATTTTCGAGATAAGTTTTAGTCTACAATTTATGCAAGACAGTAACTACTCAATAACTTAATATTATTGTTGTCATGTGTTGGGGATGAAAATTTCTAAAATATTTCTATTCGTAAACAAAATGTATTTTGTTGTTTATCATTGAACATTTCAATGATTCTAGTTGAATAATATCAGTTACATCAGGGAATAGTTTTTAGTTGCGTAAAGTATTTAAACAGTCCTACAACTGTCCAGTGTTTCATAACATAGTTGATCAGCTGTACGTCTACCTGAAGTTTGTGCTGATGATGTCATTCAGAAGAACAGTAAAAACTCCAATGCCAAACCATCTAGTTCGGAGAACAAAGGTGTATAATCGCTTATTTCATGGATATTTCACTTTTATGGAAGTTCTCCAAATATGATAGTGAAGTGATTCACTGAAAAACAATTAGGATAGGATTCATATACCTTTAACCGTGATAAGTGAATTGTGAGTATTTCATTCATAACTGAATAACTAAACTGTAATTTATTTACGATATCACATTCGTGGTCAGTAACCATTTTGATGAGATAATAGCAACTTTTAATGTTAAACTAGACATTATAGTATGCCATTTAATCATCTATTATTCTATTGACAAATATATCTTTGAATGATTCTCATTTTCTTATATACGATTCACTGGAAACAATTTTTACCTATGCGATATTAGCAATAACCAGTAGTAAAAATTAATGAATGTAAAATAAGAATTAATACAATGATGTGTGGCTTGTATCTTCCCATTGATGACTCAGTAGCTGAGTGAATAACACGATGGCGTTTGAAGCGAATGGTACTGAGTTTGAGTCTCAGAGTGAACATCAACACCTCTGAGATGTAGGTACATCCAGCTGACGACGGGTCCGAAATAGGACGAAACGCGCGTTAAACTGAATTCCACTGCTAGCCCCTATTCCATCACTGCTTAATAATACATATTGTTACAGATGAATGAAATAAACAGATTCTATCATCATTCTTGTTTTTTAATGGTAAACAAATTTCTTATTTCCCCCCCCGCCCCCCAAAAAATGTTACGAATGATCATTATTTCATTAAACAATCAAACGTTTTTATCGTTTTGTTATTTCATCTTTTGAAATTTATTTCCAAGACAACAACAACAACATTACCTCCCATTTTGTAGTCATGAATTCATATTGTTTCCCTTTGGATAATATAATGAAAATTATGTTATTATATAATACATCATAGAACTAATCAATGTACAACATATTTATTAGTCAATATTCAATTGTTATTCATTTCATTTTTTTTTGTTTTAAAATGGATTTTAATTTCCTGTTCAATGTTAAAGATGTTTATATTACTTACTATGGAATACAAGTACATGGCTAAGTATATATATATGGGTTGATGTATTCAATCAACATTATGAAAGGAACTATAGTGATTAGAAGACCTTTTGTTATATGAAATATGTCAATCATTTAAAACAAAAAGAAACTAAGATAAACATGTAATTTTCTTCGAATTAATTCGTAAAAGTATTCGAACAACAATAATAATGTTTTTGGTTGAGATCATGAATCATTTGATGTTAGACCACCGTTGGAAACCTGGAAGCACTGGACGGCCGTTTCGTCCTAGTATGGGACTCCTCAGTAGTGCGCGTCCACGATCCCTCACTCCACTAGATTCGAACCCAGGACCTATTAGTCTCGCGCCAGGCGCTTAACCAACTAGACCACTGAGCCGGCCAGCATCCAACAGTGTTAATGTCTAACTTCAACCAATCCACTAAGTTGCGCCACCGTACACCATTGTCTTCAGTTAGCTGATATCTCACAACAGACCTGGTTGAACTCCACTGGTAACGACTTCTCACTAGAACTCCAGGAGTGTCTCTTGAAGTCAGTTACTAGTGAGCAGATGATTATTATCAGGATGGGTTTTGTGGATATTTATAGTAATTTCAACAGTTGAGATCATGAGTCCTGGGTTTGAATCTCGTGGGGTGCGGGATCGTGGATGCGCACTACGGAGGAGTCCCACACTAGTACGAAACGGCCGTTCAGTGCTTCCAGGTTTTCCATGGTGGTCTAGCTTCAATTGACTCATAATTTCAATCTGTGAGATTACATAAATCATAAAATTTAACAATTGGTGATCAGTAAACGAGGTTCATTTCATTCAACACGTCAAATTGTATAGTGAAACGTGTTGCAGTAAATTGGATAATGATTTCAGTAACTAAACTGTGTAAAGCCAGACACATCCAACCCTTAAGTGTCGTTGCCAAAACGATTCAACTACATCATTAAAATGAAATTGATAATGAAATTGTTTGTTAAGAACAATAAAATCAACAGTTTGTTTGTAGTAGTACTTCTGATAAGGGCATAATCCACATTGAAATACTCTAAGTACATTATAATGATCAATAAACAATGTATTTCATAATGTTAATCTATCATTAGTTCCATTAATATTCATAATTAAAGTGAAAGAAAACTCATCATACTATGCATAATATTTTAAGTGATATCGATGAAAGGAAGAGTAAGGCAAACTTTCTCATAGAATATGCAATCAAATGACAGTTTCATGTATCCTAATATCCTGATAGAACGCGAGCTGAACTATTATCATGTGTTAGTGTTCTTTTTAAAGCAACCACATTATGAAATGAATCAAACTGTCAAGTTTCATTATTTTCTTCTTATCACATGAAATATGTAGATTACAGTTTTCATGTTAAGTATCTTCCTAGATCTTAAAGAAATCATATGTGATTAAGTAGAACACTATATATTATACAATGTTCACTGATGACTATTTGTACGGACTAAAACCAATAGTGTGTCGTAGAGAACATATGAAACAAAAAAATGGTTCGACATATAAATATTTCCGTTCATTCATAGAATGGTATTTTCAATCTTTTTTTGGGCACATTATGTAGATACAGAATATTTATGACCATAAAAGATACCTGAAAAATCGTAAATCGATAATTCTCAGTTCGTGGATGCGCACTGTCACTGAGGTGTCCAACAATAGGACGACACGGCCGTCCAGTGCTTCCAGGTTTCCAACGGTAGTCTGACATCAATCGGTTAATGATCTCAATCAAAAACTTAATAATTTCTACAACCCCTATAGTCTTTTAAAATAATTTTTAAGTTTAAAAGTTAACATTTCAAACAAATATGTTTCACTATTTCATAAATAAAACTATTGATGGAATAAATACGTTCTGACGTCAACATCTGGAGGGAAGCACAGGATACAGTGGACATCTAGGATGCAGCTGGACGATCTAGACTTCGCAGATGATCTGGCTGTTCTATCACAAACGCAACAACAAATGCAGGAGAAAATGACCAGGTTAGCAGCAGCCTCAGCAGCAGTAGGTCTCAATATACACAAAGGGAAAAGCAAGATTCTCCGATACAACACAGCATGCACCAATCCAGTCACAATTAACGGAGAAGATTTGGAAGATGAAAAAAACCTTTACATATTTGGGTAGCATCACTGATGAACACAGAGGATCTGATGCAGATATGAAGGTGCGGATCGGCAAAGCAACAGCAGCATATTTACAACTGAAGAACATCTGGAACTCAAAACAACTGTCTGTCAACTAACACCAAAGTCAACATTTTCAATAGAAATGTCAAGACAGTTCTACTGTATGGAACGGAAACCTGAAGAACTACGAAAGCCATCATCCAGAAGATACAGGTGTTTATTAACAGTTGTCTACGCAAACTACTTCAGATCCATTGGCCGGACACTATTAGCAAGAACGTACTGTGGGAGAGAACAAACCAGATCCCGTAGCGGAGGAAGAAATCAGGAAGAAGCGCTGGAAGTGGATAGGACACACATTGAGGAAAGCACCGAACTGCGTCACAAGACAAGCCCTCACATGGAATCTTCGAGGCCGAATGAAAAGAGGAAGACCAAAGAACACATTACGCCGAGAAATGGAGATACACGTAAGGAGAATGAACAAGAATTGGATGGAATTAGAAAATAAGGCGGAGGACAGAGTGGGTTGGAGAATGCTGGTCGGCGGACTATGCTCCATTAGGAGTAACAGGCGTAAGTAAGTAAGTAAGTAAGTAAGTAAATAAGTTCTGACGATTAAGGATGAATTTCTTTAAACTTCGATGAAATAAAATAAAATGAAATATTCGTACGTTTTTGTCAAAGGTAAAATGTAGTGAATATAAAACACTTTATCATCAATTGATTCACCTATCGGTTATCTACATATTTCTCTACCGATACTGACATAATGAACATTGACGATAAAACAAAATCCGTCTTGTGCAGAGTAAGATGTTAGTTCTTTTCGAATAGACTTCATCGCTCACGTTTATTCTGTTTGAAGTGTGTCTTGATCATATAGTTTAAAAACAGATATGTTGATTGCCTAGATGTCCTTGAAGGAAAAAGTAATAGAGTATTGATTTTTCATCAAACCAACATTTTGATCGACTGTAGTGAATGACAAGAGTATGAATATTGAATTTCAAGCCATTATTTTCAACGCTTTTTATGGTATTGAAAGTATCCTACGTTTTCTTGTAAACATTTTTGATTTTCTAAATAGTTGCTTAAATGAATGTTCATGATTCACTTTTGATTTGTTGTATTAGTTTTCACATTCACATCACATTTTAATAGATCATGTTTACTGGTATACTAAATAACCGCAATTCCTTCATCAGTCAAATCCTGGTACAAATAAATGGTGCATATAGGCTCCAGTATCCTGAGGGAGCAAATGGCGTATGAACCAATTGTTGGTCACCAGCTACCATGGGACTGCATCTCCTTACGTTGATACACTGCCTTGTAGACCAGACCTTCAGGTCAAAGGATCGGGGAGTGACCTCCTGCTTCGGTTTACGCACCCGGGCAGTATCACAGCCCTCACACATATCGAATGAGATTTGTGTGGCGCATATGTATTTGGTGCCTCCTTGTACCAATATCTATGTTTTAAAATAAATAAATAAGTGAATATGAAGTTTGCTTCATAAAAGAAAATGTAGTAAATCGACATTTATGTACATCACATTTATGGGAAAAGTCAGTTATTATTTGTCCTACGCTTCTGTTACACTTTTTCCACGCCTTACACACTTTGAATGAACAGACTAGGATTGTTATTAGCATTGTAATGACTAAGATTATGGTAATTCTCAAATACTCCTTGCTTAATGGTTTCTACACTCCTTATGAAATTAATAACCATACCAATTTACAATGAAAGGATATCTTGATCTGAATAGTTTTCATCCATATGTGTACTGTTTTGTATTGCAAATTTTTTTTTAATGTGCTGGTTGCCATGCAACTATTTCATACTTCCTCTATATCTTCATATATTTTTTAAGTATCATATATTGTGTGAGTAAGTGTCATCATTGTTGTGTATCGTAATGCTTCATTCAAATGCTAATAATTGATATACGACACTGTTTTGCACAATACTGATACATATATTACTTATATCGAAATTTTACTAAGGAACAAATGTACAAGTCAAATCACCAATCACTTCAATTTATGATATGTATTCATTGGAAAGCTAAATGTGGTATCACAAATAGTGATAAGTGCCTCAAAGACAGAACAGGAAATCAAATGTTTCGTTAAAAGATGTATGAAAAAATTGTAAGCAGAAAATATTAACATCAGTAATATAACCACAGTTATTAAAACTGTCACTATTGGTTTAGGAGAATTGAATGTCATTAAAGTTCTCAATTAGCTTTTTATCATGAAATTCTATTTTGAATACTGCATAAATGAATACTTAATGAATAATACCTCAATTCATTCGGAAATGATGGTCGATAAGGCTGAACTGCAACTAAGAGGGTATGGATTACCTCTAATAAATACATTTCAGTGATTATGTCTTTAGGTCTATCAACGAGCTTGCTTAACCTCTAAACTATTAAGTTGAATTTCAATCGTTCACATATTTAATCTCATTCATTTCTTGATACAGCCATACGATTGTAAGATAAAAACAACGGTTTCTATCTTCTAATGTAAATTAAGTTCATCAGTCTGAACTTTCTACTAGGTACTTTGAGAGGTAAATGCGTCAATCCAGATAAGAACTAAATCAATCATTCTCTATTAAACTAATTTTAAATAATCTTAGTTTAATGATTTACCCAATTTGCATTACTTTCAGGAACATTCCAAGATCCTATCAAATCTTGATAACCAAAATCAGAATACTGAAGTAAAGTTAAAAATGCAGAGTTTAATCAAGAAATTTTGGAAAATTCAAATATTTGTTTATGAACATACTGAAGAACTGAAAGCACAAAAACACATTTATCAACTTTATAGGTAAGTTTTGCTATCGTTATCATTGCTCTCGTAATCATCATCATCAAACAATTTATAAATGATCAGAAAGACGTTTTGTGGATATTATGGTGATTTAATAGTTGAATTTATGAGTCAATTAAACCTAGGTCACCATGAAAAACCTGTTGTGAGATAGTAACTCACTAAAAACGATGGTAGATAGTGGCTCAATTCCGTGGATTGGTTGAAGTTAGACATTGATACTATTGGATGCTGACTATGTGGTATAGAGGTTAAGCGTTCGCGCACAAAACTGGTTAGTGCTGGGTTCAAATCTCGTAAGCGGGATCGTGAATGCAAACTAGTGGAATGAAACAACCGTCCAGTGCTTTCAGGTTTTTCATGATGGTCTAGCTTTCATCGATTCATAACTATTAAATTTATAAATCAGCGGATTCGAACCCAGAACCTACTGGCTTCGTTGAATCATTTTATATAGCTAGTTAGTACTATAGTGGAAATGTTTCGATATCATTCATTGATGAATCATAATTTTCTTGACCGTTGTCACAAAGCTTTTAAACTAGCGTGATATCCGGACCAAATCGATAAGAGGATTTCATTGACCTAATTAAACAAACATGATTTCATTAAAATTGAGTTTTATTTATTGCGTGTGAGACCAATTACATTCATTTTAATAAACAATCCTGTTCAATTAAATTATCAGAGCGTAAACAAATATACATATTTATGATTATCTTTATGCACGCAATTATGCTGAGATATTCTGAAGTAATACAAACGAAATATAAAGTTTTAAGAATCTGCCATCCACAGAGTGAAGGTTATTAGATTGTAAATAGTTGCCAATTGGCAACAAAATCTGACATGTGTAATATGTAAATGAATTTCTTTTTTTTAAAAATTATTGTTGGGTCGGCTTCCGGAGAACTTCAACCGAGCCTCCAGAGGCCCAAAAGGAGCCAAAGAGTCCTAGCCAATCAGAGTATGATAGAACGTTCGAGAATTCCAGCGTGGCGTGCTATCTTTGGTCGGTAGCATAATATAACGTTAACGGATTGGCTGAAATACGATGTTGATTTAACAGACGCCAACATCTATAAATACCCTTGATTTTCTGTACAAGAATGAACCTTGGAATAAAGTGTTTTCTCTCATACTTGTATCTTCTCTCTGGAGTTAAAGTCGCCGTGTAGTTCTAGACTGCGGGTTACCGGAATAGCTTAGGAATCGTATATAGCGTTCAACCTACACGACTTATCAGTGGCGACGGGGATGGGATTCGAACCCATGCGGGGAGACCCCAATGGATTAGCAACCCATTAGATACAATTTTTTTATCAGAAGGGGTTTGTGGAGATTTTTAGAAATTTCACAGATCGAAATCATGAGTCCATTGAAGTTAGACCACCATGGAAAACATGGAAGCATTGGACGGTCGTTTCGTCCTAGTATGGGACTTCTCAGTGGCAGTGCACATCCACGGTCCCGCACCTCACGAGATTTGAACTCAGGACCTATCAGTCTTGCGCCAATTTTTTTACCAAAATTAAATAGAGACCCTAATGAAAGGTTATCAAGATCACTTATGTGCCATAATTATGTAAAACTGCAAAACTGCATTCCAAGATGTTCTTAGTGGAAAAGAATAGTTCACTCTTTAAGATGCATACTATGAATAGAATGACACAATTATGTTTTATTAGTATTCTAAAAAGATATCATTTTAAATAATATTGCGTGTGATTAATTTAAGGTGAAACAGTCGATTTTCTTTTGACGATGGAAACTTAAAAGAATATAAGGTCATTTCGGTTCAAGTTGGAGGAATCCACATTTAGCGTCCCTTATGTGTTACAACTCTAACAAGCTTAAATATATTTAACAATGAGGAATAACATAAAGTTATTCCATATAACTCAGTTTTCATGGATGGTTTAACTAAAGTTAGATCGTTTCATTTGTGTAGTCTTCATAACTTGATTTGTTCTATCGATGCTAGTGTACAAATAAATGATATATGATCACTTTTCTAATAATTTACCTTACGAAAAAGTGTACTTCAGCTTTAAATAGCCTGAATATGATTATTGAATGTTTTTTTTTTTCAGAGATTTAGAAAATGAGAGGATTTGGACTCATGAAAAACTTCTTTTAGCCGATAACACTTATATTGGTCGTTCCTTATTTGCTGTAAATCAGCTAATCAGACAACATCAATTACTCATAAAAGAAGTAGCCAATAGGAGAAATAGAATGGAAATCGCGATACAAGTGGGTAAATTTCTAAACTATGAGTATTCATGCTATTTGGCATGAGATTATTATATTTGACACGACTTACATTGCATATTCTTTATCAATGGTTTTTTGTAAATAATACCAACTGAGAACATAATGAACTATATATCTGTTTCTTCTCCACTGAAACTCGTTGGATGTGGTTAAAAGCAATTGAGTATCCAATCAGTCAATGATCTATTGCTAATGTATCAGAAAATGGTAGGAATCGTGTTATTTAGATCTATAGGTATCATTGTAGTGAGCAGAACACGGGTGGAGACAATCGAATGTTTTTAGCACAAAACTACAGAGTTACTTGGTAAAATGGAAAAACCATATGGTAAATCGTTAATTTACAAAATATCAATCCATCATATCAACCTGAGCTGTCCCCGTTGCAAACATCAATCTCTTGTCTCACATTTCATTGTTCATGCGTTCTCTTACAAATTGCATTGTGTTCCCGCTTTTCATTTCTTGATCTTCCCCCATATTCTGCTGCCAGACATTGCGCTTTTAACTCGCGTCATATACTACCTACATCAATATAAGTAGCACGCATCACATCATTACCAAGATTTGACTTGATAGTTTCAAATAAAATGAACATTAGGTTGATTGTTATAAATAAATTAATATATATTTGTAATACTCAATGAGTAGAGAAAGTAAGTTTTTCGATTTTTCGTGACTCTCTGATTTTCTGAATAAGTCGCTTACTCTGAGTCATGAAACGTCAGAAAATTTAATTTTTCTACTCATTGAGATATTACAATGTTATAACTCAAAGGGCCGCCGATTAGAGGGTAGTAACTTATCGATCGAATCAAAGGATTCAAAATCTCGATAGACTATTCTGGTCCGTTGTCCCCGACTCAGCTAACGCGATCAAGAAGTCTTGACAAGGCGTAGAAAGTGTATTCCACAGGCAACCAGCAGAAACCAGGTCAGGTCAGGTCAAGTCAATCAGGCACACAAATCAAGCGTATTCATACAAATATTTATAATCGATATTGACATGGAAATCTTTTTAAGCATTCAACAATAAGTTCGTCAATTGACTGCCATTCAAATATTTAAACATTTAATCGATAAGATGAAATTAGAAAATATGAGTTTTGGGGATCTATCGTTCCCAACATAGAAATATATTAATTTTCTTTATACTTAGATCTATATTTTCAACATATGAGTAAAACACATGGGATCAAGTAGTTTATAACCGTAAAAGAGTTATGAAATCAACTAATCTAGTTTTTTACATTAAGTAGTTGTAACTATGAATTGCATATACTGAGGTTCTTTTAATTTCACCTGGATTAATCAACCTGAAAGATTCTACATCAAAGGATCTGCTTTTTTTTAAAAAAATGATTGGTTTATTCACTTTGAATATTACGTGCGTTATCAGAAATGAAAGTAGAGACAACCAACTTCTAACTCAGTAGTCAAGAGACACTATTCTCCTAGATTTTATTCCTTGTCGAGTTATAAATGTTTTCTGACCTGAAAACCTATTTTTTGCTCATCTAAATGACTATCTAGTTTTAAATATTTTGCGATTATAATCTAGAAAGATTTTTTTAGGATGAAATAAACTACTCTATTCTTTAGAGGCAGTAATAGAAAGTTTACTCCATCCAATTGGTTATCACAGGGCACTTTTATATCTAACCTAAATGATAATCAGAAAAAAAGAGAAGAAATCATGCGTTCTTATATCCATTAATCACTATTTGACATTAATTTGGAGTAACGGAAAAAAACAAGCCCAGTTACTGCGATTTGTTCACATAAATATTTAGAGGGTGGTGGTGGGAGTTTATTTCAGTTTTCTATCACGATAACTCATTGTATTGTATCTGATATTTCTTTTCTTTTTTTTTACGTTTCTAGGATGCAGATAATATTATAACGAAATTTCAGTCAACATTTGAAATATTTATAGATGATGATTGTAAAACAATTCAACAATCGAAGATTAGATCGTCTGAGAAAACAATGACCATTCAAACAGACAATCATTCTATGATACAAATTGAATTATCCACTGATATAGGTGTAAAATATAAAATCCCTAAGAAAATTCTAATCGATTTGCATACATTAGTGATAGAATTACGTTATGATTTAAAAAATCTGATTGATCGGATGTCTAAACGTACTGAACGATTAAATATAGGCTTTCAATGTTTTACACATCTTGATGAATTTGCAGAATTACGCAGTTGGTTACAAGAGTGTGAAGATATGTTACTATTAGAATCAAGAGCTAGTCGTGATATAATTACAGCTAAAACTGAACTTAAAAAACATGCTCATATTGAATTTCGTGTAAATACGCTGTTAGCAAATTGTGTTCGTGATTTCAGTAAGTTTTACAATTTTTTCGATCATTATTTTATGTAAATCAGTTAGTTTTAAAGTTTTCAATTATGAGTGCTGTGTGTACACATTTCATAAGCAGTATAATTATCAATAATAAAGCAAGGTGTACCTGGTCGCGGCCCAGATAGCTCAATGGTAACGTCTCTGACTGTGAAGCTGGGTGGCACGAGATTGAATCTGTCAGGAAACACCAGTTCCCTGAAGATTACAGGTACACCTTGCTGACGAGTGCCAAGTAGCACGAAACTCGGGTTCAGAGTTTCCTGTCGACTACCTCCAACCACCATCTAATCTCACAATAGTGGACTCAGTGTCGAGTCACAATGTATCATGATCGATAGCATTCAATCTGCACTAATAAAGACTTGACATACATGACATTGATCACCACCCAGTGATCAATCAATTGTGATTACATGGGTATATGTTTGGTTGTCTGTTTGACTTATCTCTTAAACAAATTCAACAATTAAACCATACTTCACTCGAAGCTTACTTTTTATACATTAGGCTTTTTGATATCTCGACACTGAAGTCATCTGATTATCCAACAATTTTTGGTCTAAAATATATATCAAAATAAGTGGGATCATTCATAATCAAAATCAGAGTGGACCCTAACATGCTAATCGAGCCGGAAATGTCTTTCACCAGTACTTGTAAATAATACCTAGTTGTTTATTCAGTAGCGATGACGGAATTATATTGGTGAAATAGTGTCAAAGGTTTGATTAACCTGACATTATACAGGACTGTATTTTCACTAAATTATCAGATCTTAGTAAGATAAGTAGTATGTTACTGACATATCATTTGGAGCTTTATGTAGTAGTATATTCATTCAATTTGAAATTATTATTTCCAGTGATCTGTTATCTCACCAGTTGAAATCATGAGTCAATTGAAGCTAGACCACCATGGAAAACCTGAGCACTGGACGGCTTCTCCTCTGGACTCTCAGCAGTGCGCACCACGAACCCGCACCCGCGGGATTCGAACCCAGACCTACTGGCTTCGCGCGAGCACTAACATTAGACCACTGAGCCGGCATCCAACGGTGTTAATGTCTAACTTCAACCAATCCACGAAGTTGCGCCACAAAAAGAAGTTTTTCTATTTTGCTTAATATTATCTCTACATTTACACTTATTCATTTGATTTCCTTGAATATTGCCAATAGTTGACTAATCACGAAACTCTATTCTGTTAGTTTATTGTTATCAAATTTAATGTTTTGACTATACTCTGAAGGTTTCAGTTAAAATAAAAGTGAAATCTGTCAACAACATTCACATCATATTGTGGATAAGTACTGCTATCCAACATCCAATATCATGTAAATATAAGTGAAAACAATAACAGTTTTCCAATAAAAAGCCATATCCTGTTCATGGGTAGTTCTACTACTATCATGAACGGCTTACAATAATAAATAGTACACCTGGAAAAAACCATTTTATTAAGTTAGTTATTATTATGGGAAAACTTTAGGTAGACAATCTTTGAAAATCAAGTAATACTTGTTAAGCATTTTATGTTAATACGGAATTCCTTAGTATTGTGTAACTACCATCTAAATAAAAATCAAATCTATGGTACTACTTCTTCACGGCAAATTAGTAATCTGTAAATCACTGAGCTGGGATACAATAGTTCACGTTTTTTGATTATCGATAATTAGCATTACTAAACGACCGCTATAAATTGCCCCTCATAGTTCAAATCTTTTAAGTTAATTTTTACATGCTAATTTTATGCCAAACTACACGATCAATGATTGTGACACATCAGATCCTCACAAATTTATTCATTTACAACAGTATCATCACATTTCATGACTTGTATTCACACGAATAAATTCCAAATTCAACAACTTAACATGATTGGAAAACGTTTTAATATGCGGTTGTTTTATGAATGAAACCTATAGTATGTTAGATGATTTTTGATTTCTGATCATTTCCCCAACGAAGCTCAGTAAAGACTTTGGTGGAGTTTTGTTCTGTGAGCTGGATGGTTTGGTCGTGGAGCTTTCATTGTTCTTCTGAATGACATCATCAGTACAAACTTCAAATAGAAGTGAAGTGTTTGAATTTCTCCATATGTGTTTCAAAGCTTGTTCTATGCACCTCGATGTTGATTGGTTCTTATTGACCTTAAATTCGTCATTGTTTACTTCTTTGTTTTGGTTGTGTCTCCCATTAGTGTTTGATTTTTGTTCTTTCTGAGTAATGACTGCCGAGTCAAACATGAGTGTTACTTCTAATTTTGGATAAATATAGTTTCTTCGAAGAAACTTGAAATCTCTTAAGCGACATGCATCAAACTTCTAATTTTCACCTCTCGAATTCTTTTACAATTATGACTTCCATTTTTAATAATATCTGACACATATCAGATACCATTGTAAAGTTGTTCGTACAAATTCAAGAAATTGTAAATGAATTTCTTAAGTTATATCTGAATACCAGTGTCAATGTCGATATAAAAATGTTCAGTCAACTACTTTTTCATCACCACTTTAAAATATCTAGTCACATTCTACTCATTTTAAAATTAAGTAGTAAGCATAGGTAGTCAAGAAGTAATTCCATTTGCAGAGAGAGAAATCCTTGAATCTGTGTAAAATGGGAAAAGTAACTTTGTTACATACTTTAATGATACTTTACAAGTGAAAATACAACTAAATTAATACAAAACTAGATCGAGCCGATCTTTAGCTTTATACCATTTTGTTTTAGTTGTAGGAAACCTAATTATTCATATGTGTATTTCGTTTTAACTGTCCAAAAGTCTATTGAATATTTGATATGGCGTTGTTGTTGTTGTTATCGTTGCTGTTGTTTACAATCAAATCGTAATCGGTAAAAAAAACATCTAAGTTATATTTCTGTGATTTAACAAGTGATTATATTGTAGTGTCGGTTGCTATGTTCAGCCCATATACCTTATTCTAGCTTCTGGACAAGCCAGTTTATCCGTTCTTCATGAGAATCACACATTTTGATCTTGTTAATTATTCGCTTATCAATCTTGACTTTTGTTATGTGAGCGTATATATGTGTGTACACTTCTTATCCTATTCATTACATGTTTGTAACTTATTTTTGTGTGACTATAAATATTGATTACCGCTTGATGAAATGGAGTTGGCTCACAAACCTTCTCCACCGCGTGTCATTTCGCTTCACTCTCTTTTATTCGCCTCATCCTTCTCATTTCCTGTCCCATTCTCGTATCTGTTATTCACCACCAACGCGATTTAACTGAAGGATTATGTGCGAGGATAGTCGACATGTGTATTTCAATGACAATCTGTATACAATCCAATTGGAGTCAGATATTATAATTAAACTAATAATGAACTGAGTGAATTTCATTTATTACAATTAGAATTATTCTCTCTCTAGATTTTAGATAATCTATATATTACGACTTTTTGACGTCTATTTAGCATTCAACCATGAAAAAGTGATTAGTTTTATAAGTGGACTGTCAAAACTATTATGTATAATTTGTTTTACTTATGATTTAACATTGAACAAAAAAGAAAAAAGACTGTTGATTTCATTTAACTAGGCAACTAGGCAACAACATTATCAAATAAAATTTGTTGCAATATATATATATTGAAGTAGATTTCAGGTTGTTGAGGGTTTTTTGTGGTTGTTGTTGTTGTTCATAATTAAAATAATAATAAGATTATTATTATGCTTCATTCAAAACCTAAAAGACATGAAAACTATTGTGTCACATCCCACTGTGTTTACCAATTTAAATGTGTGTTTGGTCACACATACATAGGGAGGAGTAATCGTGATCTCAACATTAGATTAGGGTCAGTGAACATGTACCCAAATGGCTGCAGAAACAAATACAATCAAGTGACCCAATAAGAGCAGAGGATAAACATCCATCATCCTCTATTGCTAAACATATAATTGAAACAGGTCACAAGATTGATTTAAACTCAACTTTTGTGGTATTGCATAAAAGTGTCAAAGGGTGTATACTAAGGTTTACTGAAGCCTTAGCCATACGAAAATTCAAACCCCCTTTGTGTATTCAAAAATAGTTTGTTCCTATCTTAAACCTACTCTGGTAATATTGACTTATTATTCAGAGTGATTTCGTTTCGAATTGTGTTCACATTATTATTATTACTTCACAAGTTGAAATTTCTAAAATCTCCACAAACTCCTTCTGATAATAATCATCTGCTCACTAGTGACTGACTTCAAGCGATACTCTTGGAATTCTAGTGAGAAGTCATCACCAATGGAGTTCAACCGGGTCTGTTGTGAGATATCAGCTGACTGAAGACAATGGTATATGGTGGCGCAACTTAGTGGATTGGTTGAAGTTAGACATTAACACTGTTGGATGCTGGTCGGCTCAGTAGTCTAATGGTTAAGTGCTGGCGCGCGAAGCCAGTAGGTCCTGGGTTCGAGTCCCGCGGGGTGTGAGATCGTGGATGCGCACTGTCACTGAGGAGTCATGCAGCAGGACGAAACGGCCTTTTAGTGCTCCCAGGTTTTCCATGGTGACTTTTCGAATTGTTTATTTATTTATTCTTTAGAGAAGTAGCTTACACAAAGTCAAATCATATCAGAAATTCATTTTTTTTGTTTTACTCATTGAGACATTGGAAGTTTATTATTTTATGATCATGAATATTGTATCATTAAAACAGTAGGGTAGACACAGTCAATTGATCAAACATCTAGGACACCACTATTTTTTCAAATGTTCATTGAATGATCTAAATTTGTTTTAAGGAGCTTTTATTATCTATCCGTCACCTAAATGTATATTTCCTCATCAAAAATATTTATAACCTATCACAAATTGAATTACAGAGAAAATCAAGTAGAGCAACCACAGTTGTTCGATGAAAACTACGCTAATGGTAACGATTACATCGCAATATTCATGGGATCCTCTTTTTGGTGGAGTTTTGTTCTCTGAGCTGGATGGTTTGGTCGTGTCCGACCACCAAAATCATCCACCTGAACTACAAATCTTCTCACCATCTCATGTTATCCTCACTTAGTCAATACTTTCTTGTTAGTTAGTTAGTTAATTGAAAGCAACGTATATGTTTTGTAACATTCGTTTCAAATTCAATAGTGTATTAGGCTTGAATCAGTTAAAAATAATCAATGGAATAAACTAATTTATTTTGACTTGTGCTGATGGGCGGCCTATACTCCTCCACGAAGAGTAACAGGAGTAAGTAAGTAATGATTTATACTAGGAACTGAGACTAACTGACTTCTGTTCAATTATTGAAAATTACCGTTTACTTATCAGTATTGAAAACGCATGTCTACTTGTAGTCATCAGTAATTTTTCTTTATTCAATTCAAGAATATTACTGGACTATGATTATTGATTCCTTTTTTTTCGTGTTTGGAATCGCTGTGAAGTTGATATATTACATTTTGTCTAAATTATTAATTACATTTTACTGGACACATGGGAATTGAGATTTGAGTTATTTTTGTGTGTGTGTGTGTTTACTGTCGTTCCGTATTTATCTACTCGTTTATTTGTCTATTTTGTATGATGTGCATAAAATCGTATTTTACTTTTGATGAAGTTCCCATCAATTTTTATGATAAGTTCTAGTTTCAAAAGAACTGAGTATGGAAATGCATCATTCAATCTTTTAAAAAGTCACATTTTAGTAAACATATTATATCTGTCTAATTCAAATAAGTCGTGTTATTACATTAGAGGCTTGTTGTTTTCGTCTGATTTTGTGTTGTTTCCTAATATCCTTGATGATTCAACATTAAAAAGTAAATGAATTTATCCAATATTATGTATTTAAATGGGTATATACATATGTTTAGAAGTAAGTTACTTACTTACGCCTGTTACTCCTCGTGGTGGAGTATAAGCCGCCCACCAGCAATCTTCATCCAAACAGGTTCTGGTCAATCCATTCTATTTGTTTCCGGTTGCTACTCATCCTTTTCATATTTCCTTCCATTTCCCAACGTAATGTGTTGTCTAGCCTTCCTCTTTTCTTTATCTCTTCACAATAGCAAGGTAGCGATTGTCTCGTGATGCAGTTTGATGATTTCCTTAATATGTCTGCTATCCAATTCCAGAGTGTTTTTCTAATTTCCTCTTCACCTGCAAGTTGGTTTGTTCTCTTCTACAGTAGGCTGTTGCCGATGGTATCTGATCAAAGGACATTTATTAACTTGCTTAGACAATTGTTTATAAATACTTGTAGCTTTTTGATGATGATTATGATGATTGATGTAGTTCTGTAAGTTTCAGCTTCGTACAGTAGGACTGTCTCGACGTTCGTATTGAAGATTGTGACTTTGATATTGGTTGACAGGCAGTTGTTTTGAGTTCCGTATGTTCTTCATAAAAATTTGTAATAGACCTCAAATTAGTATTTGATTTCTGCTGTAATCCATAATGAAATAATTTCAATTTAACACTTATGAACAATAAAATAAGTCGTTTTAGGTGAAACATGTTTCAGTAATAATAATACAAAACAATTCTTGTCTCAGACAAATACAAAATTAACGTTTTTTAAAGTTTTTATATCTAACATGATACAAGATATAAGCAAAGATGGATAGTGGCTAGCAGTGGAATCCAGGACGCGCGTTTCGTCCTGTTTAGGACTCGTCAGTTGGATGTACCTGCATCCACCGCTAGCCACTATCCATCTTTGCTTATAATGCTTGTAAATTAAGGCAATATAGAAGCAATACGCACAATATGCACACATGCCAATAAGAGACTGATCAATTTCAGTCCAAAAACATCAATGGGAAGATTCAAGTAAAACAATACCAAGTGAATGATACAAGATAGCTATTCTTACGACATCAATTGACTATTAGAAGAAACGTTTCTGAAAAAAATAGATACATCCTGTTACACATCAGTGAATTAAAGATCATGCATACTCTTGATGTGTCTGATTTCAAACTATCAACTTCCATCAGAAGATTAGTACTTCAAGCTTTTCAATTCATTTCAAATAAGAATTTTAGTAAAGCAAATAGAAACGTTTCGGAAGTTCATCAAACTTATCAACGCATGCTTCAAATGAGGTAATTAGATATTAAGTTCTTGTTTTTTGTTATTTAGCAATGAATATTGCATTGTTGATGAATTGATACATACCCTGATGTAGTGGATATTGTAATAAAATATTTCAAGATTGAATAATATAGAAACTAATGTTGTAGTCATTGAAAATGAAGATTCCACCAAGTCTTCATTGTTTTTTTTTGAATATGTGTTAGAATTACAACTAAACAGGACGTATATTTACTTCAGTTGTGGTGTATGATATTTTCTGATAGCTCCCGAATGCCCTGGTATGGCCGAGAGTGGGTTGGGCCCGCCCTCCCTCTAGAAATACTCTCACACGGCCACGCATATACAGCCTCTGCCAAGCAAGTCCTACTCACTGTCTTCTCGTGGCCACAGTGTTGTTTATCGAAATGAGAGGACGAAATGCGATTGTCCGGCGCTTTAACCGGATTCCAAACTAATGGTGCACATGGGCTCCAGGATCCTGAAGGAACAAATGGCTACCATGGTACTGCATCTCCTCACAATGCTCCACTGCCTTGTGAATCAGACTTTTAGGTCAAAGGCTTGGGGAGTGGCCCCCTAAGAAACCACCTGCTTCGGTCTTGGCGCCCGGGCAGTATCACATCCCACACACACAAATATGGTGTGGCGCATATATATTTGGTGCCCTCTTGTACCAATATTTATGTGTTCAAATAATGATAATAATATAGTATGATATTTTCTGATTGATTGTGTTTTATTTCTTGGGAATAAAAGATCAGAAATCATTGAAACTAATCAATGAGTTTTTGGAACGTAAAGAAAAATACAAAAATCAACTAGATTTAATTAAAACAAATGAAAATCTACAAAAAGTTGTTGAGCAATTGTCTGCAATGCAAGTTGAGAAGCGAACTACTCATAGTCAATGGTCACAGTCTATTCTACATGATGAAAATATGAATAAAGTAAAACAAAGTTCATTTGAGAATTTAATAAATCGTCGTAAACTTCGTAGTCAAATTAAACAAATACGTAAACGTATTCAAGTTATACAGTCTATTCAACGAATTATGGATCGTCAATATGCAAGTCTATTAGATGTTTGCGTACAGAAACGTCAACGTTTAGAAGAAATTCTATCTTTAAGCATTGTTTATGAAGAAGTTTCAGAATTGAAAGTAAGTTCAGCTACCTTAGTAATTTATGTTTCCTACAACGAGCGTTTTGAATGAGATCTTATACTAAATATATTCAAACTGAAGTTGAGTTATCTTTATTATGTGTAGTCATTCTTGTTATACTAACTTTAATATATGAGTCTTGATTGAACTTATTTATATTTATTATTATTTCAACACATAAATATTGGTACAAGAGGGCACCAAATATATATGCGCCACACCATATTTGTGTGTGTGGGCTGTGATACTGCTCGGACGCTCAGACCGAAGCAGGTGGTTTACTTAGGGGGCCACTCCCCAAGCCTTTGACCTAAACGTCTGATCCACAAGGCAGTGGAGCATTGTGAGGAGATGCAGTCCCATGGTAGCCGGTGACCAACAATTGGTTCATACACCATTTGTTCCTTCAGGATACTGGAGCCCATCTGCACCATTGATTTGGATCCGGTTAAAGCGCCGGACAATCGCATTTCGTCCTCTCATTTCGATAAACAACACTGTGGCCACGAGAAGACAGTGAGTAGGACTTCCTGGCAGAGACTGTATATGCGTGGCCGTGTGAGAGTATTCTAGAGGGAGGGAGCCCAACCCACTCTCGGCCATACCAATGAATCTGGGGGCCTTGATTGAACTGTATTTAAATATATTGATTAAACACCAAATAGTGATGCTTAGGATGAACTTCTTTGTATTTCTATGTTGTACTATGTTTTACTTAACCAATATTATTATCATTAGGATTATTAGAATTAGAGTATCGACAACCAATACAAATCTGCAACTAGATTACATGGTTTCAAAAACTTATTGACTTTATAAATGATCTTGATTGATTATGAAAAAGAGTGTATATATATACACCAAAGTAATCACTATTAATGAACTAGACAGCTAAGACTACAGGAACTCCAAATGATTGATGTACACTAATGAATTATATTATTCGAAATCATATTGCTCAACTGTGATGAATATGGAAACATGGATCTTTAGTGAAAATCACGTTTATGTTCACAACAAGTGGATAGAAACACTTTACATTGATTAAAAATAGAATGAAAAATGATATCTAAACAAAAAAGTGTTAAGGTAAACATACACGATCAAACAATACGTTTTAACATAAAATTGATATCTCATAGGTAGAACCGTGTCTGACGTACTACCTGCCATTCTTCATAATTACTTCAAAATGATCAGATTTCACGAAGATCTGCCTAATTCACCAGTCATACTTTAGTCAAAAGTCGAAGAACACTAGTCACTCGATAAATTTGAAAGTTTATTAAAAATGTATTGTACAATCAAGCTTTCAAATGTAAGAAGGGTTTGTCCCCACAACTTCACTACATGAAGTTCAAAAGTTGGAATGACCTAGTACATAGAATTATGCTTCTACTAGGAATCAAACGTTTTAAAAATAAAATTTAGTTTTCTGTAAAATTCAAAGTAATTTCACTTTGAAATATTGGCAAAAGTCAAATAAAAAGATATAAGCTTGATTTATTTACTGTGTGATAATGCCCAAGGCATGCAATCCGCACTTAATCAGTTGACAATCAGTGTCCGTAGGTATGGTATTTGCTTTGCACCTTCGAAGTGCAAAGTACTTCTACAAGACTGGCAGGATTCTAATCCTGTATTCACCCTGGATGGTGAGCAGATAGAAGTAGTCGAGAAATTCGTGTATCTAGGTAGCTGCATAAGTGCTGATGGGGGTGTGAGTGATGAGATCAATGCACGTATGGTGAAAGACAGCGCAGCTTAGGCCAATCTGGGCCATCTTTGGCGCCTTTGTGATGTCAGTCTGGTTATAAAAGGCCGAATCTACAACGCGTCAGTGAGAGCAGTTTTGCTCTATGCTTGTGAAACCTGGCCTCTCCGAGTTGAGGACGTTAGACGACTCTCTGTGTTCGATCATCGTTGTCTCCGAAGGATTGCTGACATCCAGTGGCAACACCATGTCAGTAATGCAGAGGTTCGGCATCGTGTGTTCGGGCACAGAGATGATAATTCAATTGGTGTCACCATCTTGAAACACCGACTTCGGTGGCTTGGACATGTTCTCCGAATGTCGTCCCAGAGAATTCCACGTCGTGCATTATTTGCCGACTCTGGGACTGGTTGGAAAAAGCGAAGGTGGTCAGTGTATGACATGGTGTCGTGGTATGAAAGAAAGCTGCAAAGTGCTGGCTTCTGTTGGTCCTTCACGACTCCCTGGTTGGGGTCCGAGAGATGGTGCGACACAGTGGCTAGAGATGTTATCAGGTATGGCTCAGAATAGAAGCCAGTGCATCCTGCTGTAACCTTCTTTTACTTTCTTCATAAAAAGTGGTTGTATCTTCCTTAAGTAAAAGGATTCTTTCTGGTTGTACCTTTTTATTTCCCTCAGTATTATTACTATCACACTACCTTAGACTAATCTGGTCGTTATTGTTCTCTTTTTTTCTCAGGCTCCTTACCTTTTCTTTCCTTCTCTTTAAATTCTCATTTGATTTGTGTGGTGCATGTATATTTGGTGCCCTCTTGTACCAATATTTATGTGTAATAAATAAATAAATGAACTAAATTACCCGATCCACGATGATCAATACTTCAAATGAAATTTTGAACGACATTATATCCGAACTCAATTACTAATATGCAACAGATCAATTTAGTTAGCTGATGATACTGAAGTTTAAACAATTTGATCGATAGACCTACTGATTTCAATTTTAAGTAGTTTGTTCTCTTTAACGTTTTTACTGATTATGATTTCAAACACTATTCAATTCATTTTTATTAGATGAACCTTTACTGAATTGAAGATAACGACAAATCTCTTATTTGACTTTTTTTAATATAATAAACATATCCGTTAGTTTCATTGTTGTAGAAGCCTTACTTACAAGGGTATACCAGTTCAAAATAGTTGTGCACTCAAATGAGCCTATATGAAAGGTGAATAGTTCAGTATTTAACCCTTAACAATCAGTATAAATTTATATATATAATCAGCATTCGTCTATGTATCATGACAAATGCGTTTACGCATTTATACAATTATTAACGTCATTATTGAACGTATTTCAATCGACTCATTTGAGAAAGTCATTTTCAAGGTTTGGATATAAAGTGTTTTGTATAAATGCTTCATAATAACATTTAGTTCTCTTACAACATACAATGATATCTGTAACAAAAAGTTCCTTTTGTCAACATGTTTGTGTTCATAAAAGTGTTTAATAGTTAATTTGCTCATATAGATTTCTCACAAATATCTACATATTCTACAAATTTCATCTCATTTTTTTTACTTCAGAATTGGTTAAATCAACAAATCACTATAGCTTCTTCAACATATACCGGTCGAAGTTTGAATGAATGTGTATGTATTATCAATCGATTTATGCATTTTGGTGAAAATCTTCTAGGTGAATCTTTTACATCATTTGTAGAAGTTGAACTACATTCATTTGATCCTATTTCAACAGTATATACCATAAACATAACTGATCAATTTGTACATACATCTGGTTTAGCTTCTGAACGTACAGCAAGAGTTATGAATATGTGTCGTTGTTTAATACGTACAAAACATTCAGATTCTCCACGTATTGCATTTTGGCAAGATATTATTTCAGAAACATGGGCTGATCTACGTGAATTAATTTGTTCACGAGTAAAATTATTAATTTCAGCTGCTCATCGATTTATTTTTATAATTCGTTGCTCTGTAAGTTTTTTGTTCTTATTCATTTTGCACTGATACACTTTCTTCATACACGTAAACGTGTCACACGAACTTTGAAAAATATAGGAAACAGAGTTTTTGGTGAAGTTTTGTTCTTTGAGCTGGATAGTTTGGTCGTGGAGCTTTCATCGTTCTTCTGAACGACATCATCACCATCCAGCTCAGAGAACAAAACTCCACCAAAATCATCCACCTGAGCTACAAATCTCTCCACCATCTCATAGGAAACAAGTCAATGATGAAACAATCGATCATGTATCGATATTATTCTCCACAATTTTCCATCATGTTAAGAATGACATTTAATGAATTTTTGTCTTGTAAAAACTGTCATTCTCTTTGCTGATCATGTTGGATTATTTCAAAATGGCAGGAACTGTATTAAGGTTACCAGTAGGTATCACATACGGGGAGATTATTTCACTGTTGAGTTTTCATAAGTTATCAGCAGATATATCGTAAATCCTTCTTCCTACATTTTTCTTAATTTGATGATAAGATTTGTTTTTGACATTATGGAAATTGTTTCCTCTGCATGTAATGAGTCGTTTCGATGAGGTTCGTGGTATGGTTTGCTGGTGATTCTGTAAACATCATGTTGCATACTAACCCTCGATGAATAATGTTCAACTAAAAACAAAGAATAAATTTCTAAGACTTTTAGAGTGATTTACTAAATGAATTCATGAGTCAATTGAAGCTAGACTACCATGGAAAAAATGTGGAAGCACTGGACGACCGTTTTGTCGTAGTATGGACTCAAGCGAAATCTGATTAAGTAATCCACTCTTCTAATTTTATTCTACGACCAAGAAAATGACAGAAATCTTAGTTCGGTCATTGAAATTTTAAGTCACTACATTGTATTGTAATTGTCAACTTGAAAGTAATCATCTTTCACCCATTGGCACATTCTCTACTAATCACAGGAAACTTTGAAACTTGTTCAAGAAAAATCGATCAACTGTCTCAATCCATTGGTAAAGATGTACAAGCCATTTGTAAACAACTTTCATTGTTATCTGCATTTGAACAAGATGTCCAAGCTCTTGAACCACTAGTAAGTTGTTAAATCAACCGTTCATAATATTTGTATCACAAATTAAATAGTTGCATCTGTTAGTTCATTGGACTTGAAGTGATTATGACACAGATAATGTAAAGAATGTCCTGAGTTTCAAGTTTATCCAGATCGGAACCAAAACTTCTTAACCAACAAAAATGATCTATCATATTAAGAAACAAGGATATGAAAACTGTTAATAAGAGAAAGTTCCATTTCCGATGACATCGTAATCATATCTATGGTCATTCTAAATATGAAGAATATTTTACTATAAGTTGAAATACTCTTACTTGAATGATAGGTTTGTAATAGTGGCTGATAGTGGAATCCAAGACGCGCGTTTCGTCCTGTTTGGGACTCGTCAGCTGGACGTGCCTGCATCTCAGAGTTAATGTTCACTCTGGGACTCGAACCCAGTACCATTCGCTTCAAACGCCATCGCGTTATCCACTCAGCTACTGAGGTTTGTAAGTTTCAAATATCGAAAGGATTCGTATTCCATTGATAATTATTGAAATGCAGCAGTGTAAAAACGTTTTCTAGAAGAGAATTAAAGAGCATAACTACCGGCATGGACAATATGAAGGAAGTGAAAAGAAAAACATATAGGTTGTAAAAATAACTGATCAACAAGAATGTAAATTTAAAAAGAGATACTAAAAACTTGCTTAATTACGACTGTTACTCCTTATGGAGGAGCGTAGGCCATCCATCTGCAATCTCCACTCAACTCGGTTCTGGGCAATCTTTTTCAGTTGTTTCCAATTGCTAATCATCCTTTTCATGACTGTTTCCAATACTTGGCGCAATGCATTTTTTGTTATTCCTCTTTCCTGTTTCTAGTCAGGATTCCAAGTTAGCGATTGCGTCGTGATGCAGTTTGATGATTTCCTTAATATGTGTCCTACCCACTTCTAACGTCTTTTCCTCATTTCCTCTTCATTTGGAAGCTGGTTCGTTCTCCCTCACAGTAGGCTGTTTCTGATGGTATTCGGCAAACGAACACTGGGTATTTTTAACAGACTATTGTTTAGAAACACTTGTACATTTTTGATGGTGGTTGTGGTAGTTCTTCAAGTTTCAACTCCGTACAGTAGGACTGTCTCAACGTTCGTAATAAAAACTCTAACTTTGATATTAGTTGAGAGTTGTTTTGAGTTCCATATCTTCTTCAATTGTAGGAATGCTTCCCTTGATTTGCCAATCCTCGCCTTTACGTATGCATTGGATCGTCCTTGTGCGTTGATGATGCTGATCCTCCAGGTATGTGAAAGTCTGCACCTCTTCCCGAGTTTCTCCATCGAATGTGATTGGGTTGGTTGTTCTCCGTGTTGAATTTGAGAATCTTGGTTTTTGCCTTGCTTATGTTGAGGCCTACTGATGCAGCGGCTGCTGCAACACTAGTTGTCTTCACCTGCATTAGTTCATGTGTATGTGATCGAAGGGTCATGTCATCTGTGAAGTCTAAATCTTCTATTTGTTTCTAATCTATCCATTGTATTCCGTGCTTCAACTCAGATGTGGAGGTCTTCATAATCTAGTCAACCACCGGAAGAAAGAAGAAGGGAAAGAGTAAGCTACCCTATTTGACTCCGGTCCTCACATCGATTGAGTCTGTCAGCTGTTCTGCATTCACGACTTTGCACTGTAGTTCATCGTGTGAATTTCGTATGATGATGATCTTCTCAGGTACACCATAGTATCGAGAAAGGTTACATAAGTCCATCCTTTCCCAACTGTCAAGGAACTTGATTTATAGTGGCTAATGCCATCAAATTGATTGCTCAATAATGATCCATAGTGTCGCTATTTGTTCCGTGCACGACGGATCCTTACGAAATCCTGTCTGTTGAGATCGAAGCTGGACGTCTACTGAGTTTTTCGTCCTGTCCAGCGTCACTTTGTCGAAAACCTTTCCTGGTACCGATAGTACTGTGATTCCTCTATAGTTCTCACATTTGCTCAAATCTCCTCTCCTTGGCATCTTGATGAGATATCTTTTTTTCCAGTCTGCCAGCGACACTTCTTCTAGCTCCCAAATCTTCCTGAATAGAACGTGAAGCATGTTTACAGTTATTTTTGTGTCTGACTTAAGTGCTTCAGCTGGTATACTGTCATATCCTCCTGCTTCCCCTCTCTTGATTTGTCTGATGGTCATCCTGATTTCTTTGATCGTCGATAAAGTGACATTATGTTCAAAATAGTAAGTAAATAGGTTTATGAATCATGGGATTTTCATATGTACAGCAAACAGTGGTCAAATTTAAATGAACAGATTTCAATTCATTACAAGGATTATTACAGTAAACAACTAGATTTCAAGTAAAAACATGAATCTAAATTTATTTTAAGACGGTTTAAGCATTTGAAGTGTTAAAAAATAGAACTATCCACTGCTTATCATCATTTTATTCAATGATACAGATTAATTGGGTAGAAAAAGCAGCGGATTACCTTCTTCCTCTTTATTCTGGTAATTGGATTAAACGTTTAAAAAAACCACATGATATTCTTCTCTCTGTCTGGTATCAACTTAAAGATAAAACTCATCTTCGTCGTATCAGATTAAAACGTTCTATTGCATTATATCGTTGGATATCCAATTTAGATGCTTTTTTCAACTGGACCCAACAATGTCAAAAAGAATTAGAACGTATTGAAATGGATATATGGAATATGAATCCACCACAATCTACTGTAATCAAGAAATCGAATCACATGTAATGTTGAGATTTTCTATTTTTTTCTATTTTGGTCATACTTTACTATGTTCTATTTGTTAAAATCCGATAGTGTTTCAAGAAGAAATGACATTTTAAGCAAGGATTAATTGGTCATGATCAACTTTGGATAACAAAAACAAACGTATCTTTTTACAAATCAAATTATATTATTTCACAGTATAGAGGTTGTGGAGATTAATAAGTTTTTTGATTGAGATCATGAATCAATCGATGTTGGACCACCGTTGAAACCTGGAAGCACTGGCGAGACTATAATTTCTGGACTAACCAATCAGGCATAAGATAACAGGTCGTGGATTTTGGCGCGAAATTCACTCATTCATTTGACGAAATAGCATCTTGGCATTAGATCACGATGAAAACCCTAAATCTAATACCTAGTCTTATCATCAACTGTAAATCATAATTCTAATTCTTCAAACAGGTTTATAACCCTCATTTGTCCTAATTATTAGATGCACACTATCAAGGTCATCATGGCATCTCTCAAAGGTCATCCATAAATTATAGTCTCACTGAAATCACTTCAGTTTTAGATGAAGCATACTGAAATATCTGTAATTCAATTCATTCATAGTTATATAATATACTCTTGTGGGCCAGGGTGATTTTACATTGGTTTTTAGGAGAACCAGACACCATCCAGACTTTCATGTGACAACCCAAGCAGTACAGCTCAATCCCGCTTCACAGGAGAACCAGACACCGTATAGGCTCTAACGCTAAAATCTGAATACTACAGCTCAATCCTGAGGCGCAACCACACAGGTACTGAGCACTCTGGTGGACCATTCGCACCATTATATACACATTCACGTCACATGTATAGTTATTACGATCAATGATCGCGTGGATCAGTTATGCACATCACGAACAGGCCAAAGTTGACCTATTCCGCTTACACGACAGTCAAACTCGTTAATGCTAGCAATCGTGACATGTCTTGCAATATCTCAACGACAATGGCCCTCAGGAACAGTGAAAGCAACCACCAGTATGAATGAAATCGGTTAACCAGCAAATCAATTTTTTGCGTGAACAGTCAGCAAAACTTGACAAAGCAATGCCAAACCGTCCGCAATATCAATGGCGAACCTCCAGCCTCATATTAGACCTTCAGCTCTACATAGCCATATAGCTTATACTGCATACAACACATTTGTAGAGTAGTAAACGAAATAGTCCAGCCTGAAGCGTTAGTGCTTAAATAACGCTTAAACACATTGTCTGGTTTCGGAATACTGTTACTGGACTACCAAGATCATTTTCATCGCATTTACGAAATTTTCATCTTTTCTGACTTTTCAGACCCTAAGAGTTAGGCGTAGTATCCCTTGTAATTAAATTGGGTTGTTATAAAGATTGTGAATTTCTAATCAATATGAACAATTAAAAGGTGACACTTAAAAGATCTACTGTCTATCATTCATGATTATTTATTCTTTACCATTTAAATTGTATTGAATATTCATAATATTAATTTGACAAATTCACTCAGCAACATGATTCTCATCATGGTGGATAATGTTTTAATCATCATCATCTATGATTAACAGAAGTCTCACATAAAGTAGGAAAACAATAAAAATGTTGTTCCAAATGAGAATACGAAAAAAATACTGACTATAATATCATATTTCGGGTGCTTTCATGATGCGCTTTTGTAATATGATGAATATCCATCGTATACATATCAACAACATATAGAAAGTGAACAAAATTGTTTTAAATAAATCTTCATCAGGCTTTGTTCTACTGGTATATATAATAATACATACATACATATATATTTTTGAATAATTTTTTCTGGTTAGCGATTTTCAGCGAGTTAGTTTTCTACGGGATGAGGTCGCCAACCCCGTGCCCAACCCTCCTCCTTTATCCGGGCTTGGGACCGGCAGTAGCCCCCGGAGGGACTCCAGGCGGAGTTTTATACATATATATGGCAATAACATAATAACATTGATATATGTGTAGTTCAATAATATTAGACCAGAAAGGGAATTTGTGAGTAAATAATAACATTAAAACAGATTGTATACCCAAGCATACTAAGGCAAAAGACACAAGTAAATAATATATTGACAGGTAAAGTAATTAAATAAAAGTATAATACAAAGTGTTTCAATAGTTGATCTAAGTATACCTTTTGTAAATAAAAGGAATGAATAAATAGTGGAAAAAATTGGGCTTTCTCCAGCCCAGAAAGTCACTGGGATATTGTAAACTGATTTTGAACACAAGGACTAGAGCTATTAGCTCGAATGTTCATACTTTCTGTCATGAACAGACTTTATTCGTAAAAAAACTGAAAACATTAGACAAGCCACTGTGATTGTTTTCGTTCTACCTACAACAAGAAGCTATCAGTTAATTCTTTTAAAGCATTGAAACAAGATGTTAACTAAACTAACCACGAATCAAAACAACATAACCCTAAGATTTAAACATAGTTCATAAGTCATAGGTTCTTCTTTGATTGTATAGAGTTAGGGTTTGTTATCTATACCCCGAAACATTAAATAGGCTGATTCGAATGAGAAGTCTAGCATACACATTAGTCATTAAAATAAGCATCGAAAGCGTTTTATATTTTACTTCTATGGTCGAAGATATAAATTTAAACAGACGTAAAACCTTCTGGAGATTTTACTGAAAACAGTATTATTTGTTAGATGTATTTTAAGAAAACTGTAACTTGTAAGTTCAATAGTCAATAATTAATTTTTGCCAAATCGACAGGAACTTCCGATGCAATCGTCTTAGCTCTATGAATTTTTGAAAACCAATAAAATCGTTGATTACTAATCTTATTAGTTTACATCGTTGTTTCTTGCCAACCCCGATCGTTGTTGCTACCTTGACGTGGTGGTCGGGCTTGCCTATCGTGATGAAGCAACCAAGCTATACTCGCTAGAACAACCGTTCCTCAAGGTCCTATAATGTCAGACAGGTCGGTCGAAGAGCAGTAAGACTAAAAGCAACGAATCCAAGGTCCGAAGGCGAAGTCGTACTGCTGACTGTACAGAGGTGTGACAGCAGTAAGGTGTTTCCTTCAGACAACCAGCATGACAGCGATGCTGCCTTCCCACAACGAGGAGTGGGGTTAGAAAAGATCGACCCTAAAAATGCACACCTCGCCTTATCCCACGGATATCCGTCTCCGGCGATAAGGTCTTAACAAGTACGGAGCTCACACAAAAAACTCATAAAAAGGTCGTGTGTGACCGACCTCAAGCAGTTGTCTCTTGAGCACTGCGGTCACGCTCTCAGGTCACTAAGACCACCTTTAATCCAATTTCTTTCTTGAGGTATCTCCAGAAGAACCCTTCCACGGTGTGTGCAACCGGGAAGTGATAACCTCCCTCATACCTCTAACAGCACTCAAGACCACTGTATTCATAATCAACCTATTCTTACCAACGATGTTTGTTAGATTTCAGTCAATCACCCAGGACTGAACGTAGTAATTGTTCTTTCAATTATGATATCATGATTTAAAAGTTCAAGAATGAAGACTTTTATCATTCAAAAACATTTTAGTATTCTTTATAAATCTGATTTTGGCATAGCTTTTACCAGTTCTCCACTATCAATCTACAGTTGTAAATTACGAGTATTGTTTCATAACATCAGGTAATAAACATCCAAGGATTAAGAGAAAAAGAGTATAATATTTATGATGGTATAGCTTACCTCTGGTCTATATCTTAATAGATGTATTTGGTTCACTTGAAAATAGTACATATGTGTACACTATGAATAGCTAAATAGGGCGTGGAAACATTCTTGATCATGTAGTCAGTATAAAATAGATCTAAATCATTCTAATTCAAAAGATAGATATATCATTTCAATAATGATTAATCTACCTCCGTTTATTATGTTTTCAATCTTTCTATTGATTGCCAATTTATTCCCAATTTGTTATCAATTAAAGTTTCTAAACAAGAAAAAAAAGTATAAACTAGGAGTGATGTAAAATCATTTGTCATTTTCAGAAAGAATAAACGATAATGTTTCTGAACGAATCAATCAGGCATAAGATAACAGGTCGTGGATTTTGGCGCGAAATTCACTCATTCATTTGACGAAATAGCATCTTGGCATTAGATCACGATGAAAACCCTAAATCTAATACCTAGTCTTATCATCAACTGTAAATCATAATTCTAATTCTTCAAACAGGTTTATAACCCTCATTTAGTCCTAATTATTAGATGCACACTATCAAGGTCATCATGGCATCTCTCAATGGTGTAATTGGTGAAAAATATTGCTGTTGGTGAAATAAATCCTCATCTGTTATGGATATTTTTCCTTTGCCTTGCTTTGAACAATAATCAACACTAACTCAATAATAATAATAATACAAAGAATTCCAGTTATCTAGTTCTCATCGTACAGAAGTTGCAAATGTATTGTATCCTGTGAAGAGACCTGAATAGATAGAATGGACTTAGTTCAATTCAGCCTATCATGAACTCTATGACGCTAGATGTTAGTCGAAATTCAGATGACAATGAACAGTTTTCTATCCTATTATAGAACATTTCAAAAGTCCTCATCCGTGACCCTACCAAGGGTTGATATTGGTAGTGCAATATGATTAGTTCAGTTGCCGGAATATTATGTAATGGCCGCATGATCTGTATGATCTGGATTCAACCACTTGGGGATTAGATATCAAACAATACTAAGGAGTTCAATGTTCGAATGTTCAGCAATTTTCAATGTTATTTCCACACGAAATGAGCGCTAACTACAAATATTTTTTTTGTTTTTCAACAGTTTTCTAGACATGATCAAACGGATATATTAAAAATAGTAGTTTATAATTCCATATTTTTCAGCTTCCATTCCTAACTCATTTAGGAGTCTGTTGAACAGTTGTTTTTAGTTCTGTTAGTTCGTACCACACAAATGGTACTCAATAGTTCTTGCGGTCATTTATTTCTTTTTACTTTAAAGCATTTATAAAACTCTATATTTATTCCAGATAATTTCTATCATTTTGGTGGAGTTTTGGCCACAACCAAACCATCCAGCTCAATAAACAAAACTCCACCAAAATCATCCACCTGAGCTACAAATCTCTTCACTAATGTCTATCATTTCTAATCAAAATAAGTAGTATAATTATATCGAAACCAACTGGTTTACAGTAAATATTGCGGTTGGCTTCAAAATCTTTAATTAGCATTTCAAACATCTGAATATGTTAGGTTATTATCAAGCGAACAGTTTATGTTTGTTCTTTCTTTGAATTGTTATTAACAACAGCAATTATCTACATTACTGTCAAACTATCAATTGCTAAAGTCTTGGCAATCCGGTCTTTTTAAACAAAAACTATGAGCTTCTCAATAGTGAATCAAGGTTTTTCTGTCACACATCATAAGGGTGATGAATTAACATTCAGTAAGATAAAATTTAGATTTTTATTCCCAACAACTGCTGAACTAATCACCCAACTTAACGAGTGTTTAATTTCGAAGTGAGTAAAGTAATAAATATAAAGCATTTCCATGTCGTTCAACCATGTCTAGCGAGTTATCAATGTCATTGGTTTGTTCAATAGCATTGCTTCAAAGTATCTTTTAATAAACTAACTGCGTGACTTTAAAAAACATAATTTTTAAAACAACACTGGAATGTTGTGTGGTTCATGCTACTTGTATCAACATAAGTAGTATATAACGTTAGTTAGCAATGGAATGTCTGGCAGCAGGATCTCAAGAAGATCAAGAAGGAAAGAACGGGAACATAAGGCAATTGGTATGTACATGCAGGAACAATGAAGTCTGAAACAGCCGACTGATATTTGCAAATGGAACAGCCAAGTTTTAGACAATTGATTGACATTGTATGGTTCTCAGATTTCACTAAGATATTCTGTAATTTTGTTTCGTTCACTACAGTAGTATCATGACTACAACAAAACAAATAATAACTCGTTATGTTGGTGCCTAATTATAGAAAAGAAACTAACTACTTTTCTATCTGCGAAATGTCATTTTTACGATGCCATGAAGGTTAAGTTACAAATTTCAAGTTTATTGAAGTAAAAAATGACTAACTTCGGTACATGAGCAAATTCAGACTTGCTGTTTGCTGAAAGATGAAATCTTTAAGTATCACAAAATACATCAGTTGGTTTTCAAGTTGTTCTGCATGAATTAGTCACCATAGTAACAAAAGAACCTTAAAAGTCCCATACTTAGATCGTTTTTTTTATTTTTCATAAGTAACAAGGTCCAATTTCGTTGCTAAGTCTGCTCATCTGTGAATTTAACAAGGTTTTATGTTCACTTTTATATTTCAAATATTTTCCATAGTTATTTACCAATGTTTTTACTCTAAATGACCGAAAGTTTATAAGATATTGTCCTTTTTATATTTCAGTACAACTGAGAATATAAAATATGCGATTGGTCAAGCACTTCAGTTGCGAGCCGAACTAAATGCTAGAGATGACAAAGTCAAGTCATATTTAGAAGAAGGTAAAAGACTGAAAGCTTCATTCAAACAACATTTGATGCAATATGATAGGTCAAGATATGAAAAGTGCCATCAGCCATACGAAATGTCTCAGTTATATTCGAAAATAGCAATGAGAAAACAACATGGAACTAATAATCCAACTGATGAAATACAAATTTGTAAGATCAGTGAACAGCGGAAAAAGTTACGGAATAATACCTTACAAAATGTGAATGTTACTGACAAGCATTATATTAAAGAAAAAGTTGAACGACACAGTCGAATTGGAGCAGTTAGATCAATTTCCTCTGATCCTCACCTTGAATCTGTGAGGTTAAATGCAAATTACAGTCAAAAGTCAGATTCATCATCTATGGCATTAAATCAAATGGATTTACAAAATGAGAGTGATATGGGCGATGAAGAAGACCAAATAATAACAGATCTTCAGTTACGTATGACACGATTAGTAACATCATGGTATAATTTGCACAAGAAATGGCATCAAATATATGAACGACTAGAATTACAACTTAGTATTAATGAATTTGCAAGGTGAGTTAAATGATAACTGATCACTAATTGACTTCTTATACTATTGAAATTTGATCATTCAATGAATGGTTTCGTTATTTTACACAACCATTTGATCGGTCTATAAGACAATTCACAAGAAATACTCTTGATCTTGAACTTAGTCATCCATTTAACAGCTACGTTTCAAAGGGTTTCTACTGCTGATGTTTTTTCGCAACTAACCTGTCTGTCACTGCTTTAATCATTTCGAATAACGTATGTGGCTAATCTCGGAAATCAATGCCTATGATTCGAGCTTTTTCACAAAGATATTTTCAAAGTTTTAGCTTTTATGATTCACCTATCAAATTCTATGTAAATCAGGATGCTAATGACAACCCGGGAGGAGTTTACACTTGTTTTTGGTATGTTATTGAGGTCCTCCTTATTATTCACGCATAATTAATTCATTAATCAGAGGTTCATATTTCTTAACGAATCGGTTATCAATGTAATCAGTCAAATTGTAATGCTTTTAAAGTGACAGAGATTTAACATTATACTGAAAATATTTCAGATGTATTGAGATCAATGACTACTTAATACTTCTATTGGCAAATAGTGTGAACATAATCAATCAAATAATGAACTGAGAAATAAGCGTTAGATAATGAAGAAGGTTGAAATCATCCATAATTCAAGTCAGCTAAACTGATTCATCGATTCAACATTTCAAACGTCAGCTCATAATCCGAGTGGCCTATATGCATTTATCTAACTCTGAAAGTTGAACTATTTTATCTCATTTTATGGTGTGATAGTGACATAAATATTATTTTTGCTTCGTTTTCTAACTATTCGTTCATCAGTCATAGGAAGAAATAGTACAACTGTTCAGTCTGTTTACTAATTTCGACTATCCTATGATCATTTGCGTACATGTATTTGTTATTTTTCTTATCAAGTGTCGCAGATTCTTTGGAACATTGGCTGGTACTTCATTCAGCAGAAGTGGAATGTTTAGATATGGGTGATTCTATCAAGGAAACACAAATATTAATTGATCGATTAAATGTTTTGGATCGGAATATTTTGCCACAAATCAGCAGATATGAAAAACTTAAACAACTTACAAAGGTTTGTTTAAATGTCACATTTAAAACGTTTAATATTCAATGGTTAAGATCATGAGTCAGTTGAAGCTAGACCACTATGGAAAACCTGGAAGCGCTGGACGGCCGTTTCGTCCTATTACTGGACCCCTCAGCAGTGCGTATCCACGACCTCGCACCTGCGAGATTCGAACCCACGACCTACTGATTTCGCGTGTGAGCACTCAACAACTAGACCACTGAGCCGACTTCTAACACTGTTAATGTTTAACTTCAACTAATCCATGAAATCGAGCGACACATCTACCATTTTCTTCACAACAGACCTGGTTGAACTCCACTGGTCACTATTTCTCACTTGTTATCCAGAAACAAATATTGGCCTAAAAGGTTATACTGATGAAATAAATACAAATATATATATATATATATATATATATATATCATCTATCTCCAGTAATCAACAAAAATTTGTACTTTTTGACCTAGCTGTAGATTTCTAAGACGATTTACAAAGGTCATAGGCACAACCGTCTTCAGCTATGCTATCAGTAATACATCCGTTGAGTATTAAATTTTGGTAAAGAAATTGCTTTTGTCTATGTAGATGGTGGTATGAAATGAAACTCAGTAAAGCTTTTGTCAATGTCTAGTTCAACTTGATACCATTTCAAAGTGTTGTAAATTACTAATTACGGAAATGGACGATTTTCTCTATTTCAAATCGACACTTATTGCATTCACTTTTAATAGCTTAAGTCAAAGACACTTGGAAATAAGCGTTTGAGTAACATCATGCGACAAGTGCAATGTGAAGGCTGTTATAAAAGTAAAGATTAGAGTCAAACTTGAAAAGTGCCCAAATAGCTATTATATGTTTTGAAATATTTTTGGAACGCAATACAGAGTATCAACCACTAGTGAATTACTGTTAGAATGCACAAAATCTTGAGTTCTTTTTAATCTCTAACTACAATAAGATGAGGTTAGTGGTAACTCAATGGGATTCTTCATGCATCGTAGTTGGAACCAAAAGTTCTGCTAAAGATTGTATTAAGAAGTGGGTGGTGTATTTCTCGGGGAGGGGGTAGGCAAGCTGAAGTATAATGTCCGAAATTTCATCATAATAATGTTCTATGACTTGTATAGTAAGTGATCAGTCATTGTGTATATTCAGCTCGGTGAAATGCGGGGAGAATCATGTGACATAATAACCATAAACATACATTGCCTATAATTATATCAGGTTAACATTCCAAAACATTACACTCTTAGTGAACTATATGAACAATTGTTCTAGTCATGTTCATACTCTTGGTTCCATAAATGTATAGAACTTTAGATTTTCGACTGACGAAATTGACATATTTTAGACCAGGTAAGTGAACTAATGATGTTATGCATTGAATGATATTTAAATGAAGCATAAGCACTAATCTAATGTTACCTTAGTCATTTTGATAGTTTATTATTTTATTTATTTTAACACATAGATATTGGTACAAGGAGGCACCATATACATATGTGCCACACAAATCTCATTCGATATGTGTGAGGGATGTGATATTCCCCGGATGCCCAGACCGAAGCAGGTGGTTTTCTTAGGGTCCATACCCGGAGCCTTCCAGCTAAAGGTCTAAACCACAAGGCAGTGGACCAACGTAAGGAGATGCAGTCTCATGGTAGCCGGTGACCAATAATTAGTTCATTCACCATTTAATCCTTCAGAATCCTGGAGCCCATGTGCACCATTGGTTTGGAATCCGGTTAAAGCGCCGGATATTCGCTTTTCGTCCTCTCAATTCCATAAACAACACCCCCGCCACGAGAACGCAGTGAGTAGGACTTCTCTGGCAGAGGCTATATTGCTGGCTAGATAAAAAAGGCCGGAGACCATACCACGTTGAAAGCACCAGTTCTCGTCCGATCACCGCAGTTAAATAACATTTTGATAGTGATTTCTTAAATCTCATTCTCTTTTAAAGAATAATAGATGAAATCTAAATTTTAATACACACTCACAGTTAAAGACTTTAAGTTTACTATTTTTCACACTTCACAATATGTCTTTAGACTATTTACATTTTTCCAAAAGCTCATTAAGAAGGGCAGACATCTCTTTCATATTACTTTCTTCAGTCTAGAATATAGATGCCCGCGCACTTTGGCTCCATCATTTATCAGCATGTTACATATACTTTCTTAATTTATTTTAGTTTGAACTCGCTGAGATCGAAGAAAATATGATGAATGTGCCAATAAGTTGTGTGAATATTGTTCACAGTTCGGATCTAGAAAATATACAAACACTTTTAAATTACTATGAATTGAACGAAACAGATGCATCAAATGATTTTGATGATTCTAAGCAGAATGTCGACACGATGACAGATGAGAATGTAAACGATACTACTGATTCACCTGAAGTTAGTTGGGAGGTGGCAGAAGGTCAGAATCTTTCATTCAGTAGTTTAACATAACACAGATACTTTTAATTTAATAAAATTTATTCACTTATTATAAAAAGTAGTTTAACTAAACTAAACATTTCGAAATTCCTGATTATTTGATATGATCACAGAAAAAAGTGGGAAAAACAGGATTTTCAGTTCATTTCGAGACTTTCTATCAGCCACAAATAATATAAAACCACATTTAGTAACATCATTGCTTACACGTTTTTCAAATACCTTACTTATGCTATTTGAACTCGACTTCCTTGATGATAATGATGACAACATGAAAGTCGCTGCTCGGATAGCTCAGTGATAACGTCTCTGACTGTGAAGCTGGTTGACACGACATCGAATCCTCCAGAGAGCACCAGTTTCCTCAAGATTACAGATACACCTTGATGACGAGTGCCAAGTAGCACGAAACTCGGGTCCAGAGTTTCCTGCCGACTACCTCCAACCACCATCTAACGTGAAAGTTTGTTTATAATCTAATCATATACTTAGAATACTTCAAAATATTATTTCACTTAGTATACTTCACTAAAAGAAGGATAAAAGTTATTGTTTGATAAAATGAAACAATTTAAAGGCTTGTGTTTCACGTTTGTTACAGATGCAAAAGTTTCACAAATTAAATAACTGTGATAATTCTGGATGCGCGCTGCCACTGAGGAGTCCTATACTAGGACGAAACGGCCGTCCAGTGCTTTTAGGTTTCCAGTGGTGGTTTAGCCTCAATTGGCTCATGATATCAATCAGTGAAATTTATAAAAATCTCCACAAAACCCATTCTGATAATTGAAAATTAGTTGAATTGGATGATAAATCTAATCATAGAATATCTCTCTGTTTATATCAGAATACAATATGTGACGTCATTGTTCACACGATACATGTCCAGGCTATTATTCAGTCAGTAAACAAACTAACACATTTGATTTATAGTTTGAATAATCTCTCAGTGGTTACTAGCTGTTATAATTCTCTCAGTTAGTAATGTTTTCATTTGATGTAGTATTGTGGTGCGTGTTACTTATATTGATATAAGTAGTATATTATGCGAATCAGGAATGTAATGTCTGGCAGCAGAAGATGAGGGAAGACAAGAAAGCAAGAGCGGGAATAGAATGCAACTTGTATGAAAATGTAAGAACAATGAAGTCTGAGGCATTATGAGACAACTGGTGGACATTTTGCAAATTAAACGATTTAATATCTAGTTTTCAGATTTTATTGACATGCAACATTCAATTGTCATCATCCGTGTTCAGTTCACTAAAGTATGTTTAAATAAACTAAACGTGTTTTCTGTACTATATATATGTAGACTAGAGCAATGATTACTGAATTTTATAGGCATCAAATTTATAAGTTACAGTATGACTACTAAATGGCTTCCAAGCGTAGTGTTTTGTTCGTTAAATGTTAACTTTCATTAGGCTATTCAATTTACTTCCATCATTTCTTCTAAACACTGTTTATAGATTCTATAAGTGACTATTTAATGAGAAAACACGAGTGGATTAATCATAATTGTAAATCTCGCGATCGTTCCTGGCATGAACTCTATATGGTCTTAAATACATCAGTTAAACAGCTGTTAGCCTATAAAAACAAATCTGATTACAATGAAGATAAGTGAGTTTACATGTTTATACTGAAATGAAAAAAAACTTGATCCATCATTGTTGGTTTTTCTGTCACTAGTACTTTACTTCTCAGACCAGTAGTATGAATGAAATACCCCCATGTACTATTTATACCGATTCTTTTTACTCAGAAGCTCCTATTCATGGATTGATCAAATAGTGTTTTCCGAAGTTCACGAAAAGCCGTAAATTTTGATGGGCTTCTGATGTTACTACTTAAAATATGTTAAAGTAGTATGATATTTATATAGAAAATACTAAACAATTACAATTGCACACAAATTAAACTATTTCGTGGTTTGTACAAATCACCAGTCAAATGATTCGTAAAATTCACTAATATTTCAAACATTTGGGATAAAGCGTTCGTAGATCGTGTGATTGAAATTGGAAGTATGTGGTTATCTTAAACAAAAATTCCGTTTTTATTGGATGCTTAGCTCTTACAAATTCAATGGAGAATAGTTAGCTCTTACTCATTGAAATCTTGTCATAAATCGATATGCATGATTTGCTTTACCAATGATCTAACTATTCATGGCCACTTCATTGAACTGTCACCAATTATAAATGGAACATAACACTACACATTTCATTGTCACGAGCGGCATTGTCAGCCAACTCAAGAACTTCAGCCGCCAGGTGCTCGAGGACAGCCGCCAAATAAACAGGGGCACCAACTCCGAGACGTTCTGCGTAGTTACCCTTGCGAAGGGGGCGATGGACACGACCAACTGGGAACTGCAGACTAGCACGGGCTGATCGCGTTTTCACCTTAGCACGAGACTTTCCACCTTTACCAAGTCCACTCATTATCCGTTAGAGCCGAATAACGTGTTAAATTTGCATTAGTTCTTCACTTTGTCTAAATAGTTATTTGAGGAAATAATTTCATTCTCAAGTTCTAAAAAACATTTTGTCATTTTATTTTGTGTTTAAGTCCTCAATCCAATACATTTCGTGGAGAGACTGGATTATTGGTGGGACAGAATCTATTAACTGCTTGTGAAACAAAGGATTATACGAAACGATCCAATACATTTCGCATTACATCTACGGCTACCGGAGCTCGGTATCTATTCCAAGTTCGTTTGATAATTGTCATTCATTATGTTTGATCATTTGAACATCATCAATCTACACTGAAATATAACATGAATTATGTGATGAATCGGATTTTAACTCACTGTGAAGTTAGGCAAATGATTTTTGAATGTTTAGTGTCGTTTTTAAAACTACAACTGTCTAAATAACCCAATACAGATGCACAGAAAGTCAAATGATCTGGCAGTAAAGTCAGATTATGCAGAAACACAATGAGGAATTCAGTTGAATAAACCTGACAGAAAAAACTAAAAATTTATTTTCTGAGTAATGCAACAGTACCCAACTTGAAGACCAGGATAACTGAAGAGACTGTATGAAAGTTTTCTGCACACCAGATCAGGTTCATTGACACATGTTACTTTGGCTTTCGTTGTATATGAGTGACAGATTCTGAAAGTCTATGATGACAGGGTTGATGAAGTTCTATCGATAAACCTAGAAAGTAAAATGTGGGTCCTAACCTGTATCAACTTAATATCTCATTTTATCTTTCGTCAACTATGCAAAGCGACGTTCAGAAATCCAATGGTTTAATCATCTGGTTGTTTCCAATATTTGGTAAAAAATATTGTGATTGTTAAACTATTCGACTAACACTTATTTTGTATTGGTTTTATAAATAAGTAAAAATCTCTATATTAGTGTAGAGTATTGACGAGAAATTAATTGTAACCGAATATTTATTCTCTCGATTTATTTTTATCAATTCGGCATACTTGCTTACTTACTTCTGCCCTTTACTCCTAATGGAGCATAGGCCGCCGACCATCATTCTCCAACCCACTCTGTCCTCCGCCTTCTTTTCTAGTTCCATCCAATTCTTGTTCATTTTTCTCATGTCTATCTCCATTTCTCGGCGTAATGTGTTCTTTGGTCTTCCTCTCTTCCTTTGGCCTTGAGGATTCCATGTGAGGGCTTGTCTTGTGACGCAGTTGGGTGCTTTCCTCAATGTGTGTCCTATCCACTTCCAGCGCTTCTTCCTGATTTCTTCCTCCGCTTCAATTTGAAATACACTGAATTCATTAGATGGTACACTGCGTAACGCCTTGTTTTAATATTTTATTATAAGAAAATGGCTATAGAGAAAAGATTTTAGTCACTAATTTGAAATATATCTCCAAATTATCGTCTATTCTATGTTGATATGTTGACTGAGCTACTGTGAATACAATATGGTAATAAGAAAACGAGCAACGAATATCTTTTAATCAAACGTTTTCGTTACTATGATGTTACGTTTTGGTTTTGTTTTACTATCAGCAATGGACAAGAAAGTTCCTCTTGTCATCAAACAACATGAAAGCAGTGATCGTGAATACTTTCTCGTTTTCTGACAAACTTGGACCTATCTTAGTTTAGTGGCCTAGGATCTGACTTCAAGATCGTACGAATGTTGTTATCGCCTATTCTCGTATATAATCGTCGACTTAAATCGCGTCAGCAATAACGGAATTAAATAAGTCGAATAACGAGAATTGATTTGTGAATACATATATTTCGTACATGGAGCGAATGAAACATAGCAAAGCAAGATGACACGTATGGAAGATGGCTGGGAAGCCAACTCCATTTCAATTAAGCGTTACTCAATATTTATAGTCAGACAAAATAAAGCTTCAGACATGCAATGAGTCATGGGATATGATGTGCACACACATATACGCTCGTATAAAAATAGTGAAGACTGATAAGCGAATAAATAACAAGGTCAAAGTATGGCTCAAGTAGAATGAATAAAATAGGATGTCCGAAAGCTAGAATAAGATATATGGGCTTAACATAGTAATTGACACTACATTAGCTTCATACTAGGGATTAATATAAATTGCAACCAGTTTTTTGTACCGGTCAGTTTATTGCGGTAATAAGTTTGTTGAGAATCACAACATAAAGTAAAACTTTGGGGATACTGTAGAATGACCAGAACTTAGACAGTATCTTCTAAAGTAAGGAACATCCTGCACATTTCCACGTTATGTGCAGAAAATTATAATGTTATCAATGGAAGTTAAAACTTGAGCTACAAAAGAAGTCAGGAGTCAATTTATTACTGGCTAATTTAAAAGTTAACGCTTGTCTTAAAGATGACAACTTGGTTGTCCAACGAGTTCCTACTGGCCATCAGAATAACTTTTCTCCATGTTTAGATACTTGAACTGTTTATTCAAGACTCTGGCTCGTACAATATAATCAATAAAAACACTATGTTGGGAAGATCATTTAAAATGCGATAGGACCCATGTTCGATTGCCTTTGTTTTCTATCAACCAGCTGGGCAGTGAAGATTGATAGGAGACGTCGTTACTTTTTTATCAGAAATCTACGAACCGCTGTTAGCAAATACCCAAACAATAACAGCTGACATTGCTAGGTGACTTACAAGAGCCCTGATGCCAATGCGGATAAATATGGATCCTACAGGACCTGCCAACGCTTCCAGGTGGAGCTTCCATAGATGTAAATTCGATTGAAGTGTCAATATTTCGGTTTGTCTTTCCTTCTTTAGAATTTTCAGCCGGTGATATTAAATAACAGTGTAAAACATTTACAGATTAGGAAATTTCGTATTGATCTGTGATCTACAGTATAACACCCGAACAGTGAACATACAGATGATTCATTTATTTTAGAATTATATTTCTTAGCATGTTTACGTATTATAAATGACAATCATAAACTTATTCCCATTGTTTCCTGTTTTAGGCTCAAACCAGTGAAATTATGAGAAAGTGGCTTGATTTAATTCAAAATATCAACCGACAAACGAGATCAACATCAGGTCCAACCCTTATCACTTTATCGAGACCATCTGAAGAATTCCAGAATCCTTTAGTCATTGTAGATATTCATGAAACATTGACTACATCGAAAAAATTAACTTTAACACAAATGTTGAGATCAAAGACAACTAATCAAATATCATGTATGCGAAGACATAGTTCAACCCAGGATAATGATCTTACAAATAATATATTAGAGAACACAGAATCACCACAAATTCGAATGAAACGATTTCCTTCAGTTCGTACAATGAAAGTATTTTCACCAAGACAAGTAGTACGTTGGCTGACATTTAAATATTCTTCATTTTCACCCTCATCCTCCTCCAGCATGAGTCATCAAACGCCTAAATTGATTAGAAGTAGTACATCACATAATATGGAATCTGAACAGTCTGGTCAACCAACTCCATTACTACGCAAAAGTTTAACTTATGGTTCCTTGCATAAAATTAGTCGATTTTCTATTACACCAAAGAGTCATAAAGATACATGACATGGATATCATTAGAATTGGTATGTAAAATACATATCGACTATAACATTGAATGACCGTTAATTTCCCCCCCCCACCAAAAAAATGATAATTTTGAATTTAGTTTATAAGGTATCAGCAAACATTCAATAAAGAGAATACTTCATTGAACCTTTAAATGTTTAGGTCTATATATATTCCAATTATGAACAATAAACAAATGATATATATTTACATTTCAATAAAAGTTATTTCACAGTTAAAATAAAACGAATTATATAAAAAAAACTATAGCCAGGTCAGAAAGTGCAACACAGTGACTACCGGAGAAAGTTTAAAGGCAAAGGTTAGGGTTAGGCTTGAGTTAGGGTTAGAAGGTCCGATGTTAATAGTGCATGTGTCCATGAGTATTGTGTCGTTTGTAGTGTTGTCCTGAATAGTATAGTGTATTTGGATAAGGGTGAAATGGAATGTTGATATTGATGAATTACTGTTACGGTTTGTCGGTCATTCTTCATGTGGCTGAGTGGTCCAAGGTGCTGGTTTCAGGCACCAGTCTGAAATGGGAATGACTTCGAATCTCACCCTCAAACGTTCACTTTCACAATCACCCACATCATACAGTCTCGACTATCATACATATACTAAGACAAACACACAATCACAACCAATGAACAACAACACTAACACCACATTCTCATTCTGTTCCGTGTCACTTCGAGACTTCGTTTCATTCACAACACCGACCAGTCACAGTCCGTTCCCTAGTCCCACTGACAGACAACATCGTCTGAATGTATCAAACTACTGTCATGTATGCCAAATGCTTAATTCACCTGTGCTTCGTGCTCGAATCCCGAGTTCGACCACGCGTATTGAGTACAGGCAGGCAAGCAGACCATGGTCAACCGACACATCTCACCAGACAAACTGACCATATTTCTGATGGATACCAACAGACGAGTATTCAAGTATTGAAGATGAAAACTGCTTATGTATCTAGTGCATGATACACACAAACGAACATTTCGGTTAGGGTTTGGTGATGCGTCAATTTTACATCAATTAGACCGCACGATGTTGTCGACGAGCTCACTACTTTAGTGACCCGGAATCTGACTCCAATTAGATCGAATGTTTGATTGCTGTCGAAATATATATGTCGCCTAACGTCGTATATTTCATCGACTTAAATCGCGTTAGTCAATAACGGAATTCAATAAGTCAAATACGAGAATGAATTTCGAATACGTGTATTTCATACAATCTTTGATCCAGACAAAGTATCGGAGAAGTGAAGAGGAATGACGCGCAGTGGAGAAGGTTTGTGAGCCAACTCCATTTATCCAAGCGTTAATCAATATTTACAGTCACACAAAAATAAGTTACAGACATGTGATGAGTAGGGTAAGAAGTATACACACACATATGCGCTCATATAAAAACAGTCAAGGTTTGATAAGCGAATGATTACCATGGTTAAAATGTGACTCTCATGAAGAATGAATAAATTGACCTGTACAGAAGCTAGAATAAAGTATATGAGCTAAACATATCAACTGACACAACATAGCCCCCTTGTAGCAAATAGAACATTTGAAAAAAATGTCTGTTTTCGTAAATAACATCAAATCGGTATGTGGATGGTGTTAACAAGCAAGGAGAAAATTGTACTAGGCCTGGTGATGCACAATGACACATGACGGCTGAGTATATGATACGAATGTGTTATACTTATGTAAAAGAATACGTGAATATCGTTAAGGCATGGGAAAAAAATGGAAAAATTAGCATGCGATTTATAAGCAAATCAATCAGCGCACAGAAATTTAACATGCATTTATATTGTGATAGTCTGAACGATAAAATAATACGTTCGTGATGAACAATTCGAAATATTGTGAAAACAGTAATAAATTGTCTATGGATATGAAAACTAAATAAATCGTGAAAATAAGTAGAGTAGAACATAATAATAAATTAGTCGGTGGTGCCGACACAATGGTGAAATTTGAACATACTCTGATGAGCTGCAGTAGAGTAAATAACGTCGATTAGCGATGGATGTTACTAATCCTCTAGTCGAGTTAAATGCGTCCATGGACATAATAAGAAGGCAATATCGGAATGAATAAGGTATGGTAGGAAAATATGAAACAGTGACATCCATGTATATACCAGTTGCTGTTTCACATATTACACAGATATATTCCAGTATTCCTGTTTGACATATAACAGGAACACGATTATGTTGATTAGTTTTCTTAAAAGAACATTCATCAAAATCTTCAGTGATTCGTTTATGTACAGAATATCTAGGTTTTTATAGTATTTTAGATGGCCTTGGGTTTCCGGAGAATTCTGACATCCTACTAAACATAGTAGCAGTATAAATAATCTCATCCAATCAGAAACTCGACATGTGAATTTCCATGCTGTGAGGTATATTCCCTTTTGAAAACCTGAGGCTGAATGTGTCAATGGTTATAAAATACGTAAACATCGCATAACAACTGATGAATCATATTGGTCATTTATATATATGCCATATCATTAAATATTCTAATTGTACTGCCAGTATTTGAAGGATGAGGTGGTGCATCAATTAAATATTCACTGATAAATATTCACTGAAAATTGAAGAACATATGGAACTCAAAACAACTTTCAACCAATATCAAAGTGAGAATCTTCAATACGAACGTCAAGGCAGTTCTACTGTATGGAGCTGAAACTTGGAGAACTACAACAACCACAATCAAGAAAGTACAAGTATTTATAAATAACTGTCTACGCAAGATACTCAACATCCATTGGCCGGATACCATCAGCAATAGCCTTCTGTGGGAGAGAGCAAACCAACTTCCAGCTGAATTGGAAATTAGGAAAAGACGATGGAAATGGATAGGACATACATTACGCAAATCGTCAAACTGCATCACAAGGCAAGCCCTAACTTGGAATCCTGAAGGGAAGCGAAAAAGAGGAAGCCCAAAGAACACATTACGTCGGATAATAGAAGCAGATATGAAAACGATGAATTACAACTGGACGGAGCTAGAAAGGATTGCCCAGGACAGGGTTGGATGGAGAATGCTGGTGAGCGGCCTATGCTCCTTCACGAGGAGTAACAGGCGTAAGTAAGATAAGTTGAAAGAGAAAATATGGATTTAACAGTTCATAATATTCAAGGCTTAAACTAACATTCTAAAAAAGAAAAGCCTTTAATAATATGCAATCGTCATAACAATACAAATTACATATAGCTAATAAATAAGACATATATATTTTGCACTACTCATAAGTAGGTTGAATTTCAATAGTGAATTAACCGAGAAACCGAGAAACACATCAAAATGTGACAAATGAAGTTCAGTTAAATTATTCACTATTTGTTGAGTGTTGTTTAACTGAAAGGTTTTTCTGTCAATTCGAATTATGAGAGAATGCAGAGAGAGAAAACATCAAAAGATAAACCTAATCAACAAAATTGTATGAAATATGATTTTAGAGTTCTGTAGAGAACTCCTATGATGTACATATCATCACACATACCGTTAACTGTAAATTAAGTAAGTTAACGCCATTGTCGTATTTGATTTCCAAAAAAAAAACATCAGAGCATCCAAATGATTAATTGAAACCAATTCACTGATTCTCTTATTACTAGTCTGATGAATTGTGCCCATGAGAATTTAAATGATAGATACAAATGATGAATAATTTGATCAGATAGTTGATCCCTTGTATTCTCTCTCTTCACTATTGTGCAAAAATCCCTCTAGTATACGCTTATTTGTGCTCCATTCACTTATATCATTCATTTATCTTTGCACAGTTTTCCACTTTTAGTTCAAATTACATTGAGCATTGTCTACTTAAACATAAACTTGATCACAATCATTCATTTCAAAATGAATCAATTATCACTTCTTTGGTAGGATTAGTGTTGATTAGTTAGACAATAATTATACAAAACTCATCAAGATGCAACTATAAAATAGTAACTAATCAACCGAAATTTCATATCTGTTTCATAGTAATCGTTATGATTTGATGTCCGGCTTCCTATCACGTCAACTATCCACCAATCAGAATATGACTTATACAAATCTTCACACTATGCCAAACCAATGACGTTCAACCGGTATGAGCAGTCTACCGTCCTTATTCGTTCTATGTCCTCCTATCCCTTCCACTTGAGTCCAGAACACAATACCAGCTTCTGTAGTATGAACCGAATCGAATCGAATCCTTTATTTCAGACATACTCGGTTTATATATCAATCAGACAGACCACAACGTACCATAAAATAGAAAATAATATGTGTACACAAATAAGCCAAAAAGTGGCTGTGAACGAGGGGGACAGTAATTAATAGACTGAGCATAGCTTAAGAACCGTAAATCGTATAATAATAAATTATAGGTCAAAATAAAGCTTATAATAAGAGGAATATAAATATACATAATGTAATTGTTGAATAGTTATACAATAAGAATATTTATAGAATATTAGTCCATTAATAGTCCTTGGAAGTTACCCGTAATTTAGTCTTCGCTCGGATATAACAGTAATCACTTATTTTGTCAGTCTCCATTACTTATTCAGGTGATGTTAATCTCTGAAGGAAACTTTTGAAAATTTCTTGTTTGAAAACAATAGAATCTGATCTCACTGAAACTGCCATAATTTTACATCAGATATGTGAATAAATGAATCAAATAAATTGTGAAAACACAAGAACTTTTATACCGATTTTTTCAGGATTTCTTGAAACACATGCAGCTCAACACTATCTTGATATGAGAGGTTGTAGCGTGGTGTCGAGTTGGGATTAACTTGAACACCGCTACCAAGAAACACGTGCAAGTTAATCAGAAGGCGAAGGTAGAACGTAACCAAATAAATCCATAAAATCCCCGAAACCAAATAAAAAATTAAGGGCCAATTTTTGGAAAAATAAAAAAAAAAAATTTTAGGTCTTCTAAAAGAGCGTACTGAATGGTCAACGTCATTA